CTTGGATCTAGGGCTGGTACTTCGGCTGTTTGCTCGATCCTTTCCTTTCCCTTGACCTTTTCCTTTCCCTTTTGCATGCTGTTTAGGCTGAGGTGATGGTAGAACTGGAGCTGCATCGGCCTTGGCCTTCGCCTTGGGTGCTGCCTTCTCCTTGGGAGTAGCTTTAGGCTTCGCCTTTGGATTTGCATCCGGTGCAGCAGCAGTTGGATTTGGGGCAGGAGCTGAAGGTTTGCCGCCACCTGCAAAGTCTCTTGCATACTTCTCTCTAGCGGCCACATGCTTGTCCTCTCTGATTCTGGAGATGTGTCTTTCGATGACGTCCAATAGATAGCGATAGTTTCGTCTTTGATCTCCTTCAATCCATGACTCGTACTGCTTGATGTCAAACATCATAAGACTCGAATTTCGAATCTTCTTGTATAGAGCGTCACGAAGCCAATCATCAGGAGGTACATCATCCGGCATCATGTTTGATACCATCTCCATCCATTTCTCGTAGAACACTTCCAGGTTTGAGTCACCGAGATATTTCATCGATACGATGTGCTCCATGGTGAAGGCTGTCTCTCGTTGACCTGGGGTTCTGAAGTGCTCCAGGATCATAGCCAAGATTTCCCGTCCCATGACATAGGTTCCTCTTCGACTATGACTTTGTGTTCTCAATCTCAATTTGATCGCTACATGACGAGCAACATCGCCGGCTTGGGCTATCACATTTGACAATGCAATTGACAACTTGGCGTCGATTGACTGATACCGTTGCCCTCCACTGTCATTTAATAGCTCGATGTCAGGATTTGGTCGAATAGCCGGCTGTAGCCATGCTTCCCATGCGGCTTTGTCTCCATCATTTGCAGAAAGAACAACACTCTTGATGAGATCTGATTGCCAAACCCCAAGATTCTGTTGCTTCGGCCATGGGCTAACATAGACCTTGTCAGCCTCCCGTCTTGACATTCTCGGCACTTCTTCTGCAGTGTAAGCCGCTGTGGAGACATCATCTGCTGAATCGCGTTGTGACCCTCGAACTGAAGGCAAACCTGGAGGTTCAGGAGGTGGCCCTGGACCGTTAGGCCCGAAAGGATCAGGAGGTCCATCAGGGTCAGGCGGACCGCCCCATCCACTCGGTGGCTTGTAGTAGTCCCTCTCAGTTCCATCAGCTATCTTGTTGTCAACCTCTTTCAGCAGATCAGTGATTCTCTTGCTTGATTGAGAAGGTTGTCGTTGAGAAGGTACAGCATGTTCACGATAGGAATGAGCCATATTTGTCTCATAGTTCAACTCCTTGTCGATCTGCGAAACCCAAGATTTCAGAATAGCGTTTTCACAGTTAGCCTCACTCACGTCATTCTCCAGTTTGTCGATGACTAATCTTGATGCGAGATCGTAGTTGGGAATGCCTGCCGAATAGGGAAGAGTGTCAGGGCTGACCCTAGATATAGATGTTTCAGAATCCTTGAGACTCTTTCTCAGTTCATCTAAGTGACGTTTCATGTCAACAATCTCAGAACTCTTGATACCGATCTTTTCATCCCTATCCTGGATTTCCCCCATGAACATGCATGATCTCTCATACTGTTGAACACCACTAGCCAACTTCATTTTGCGCTCACTCTCTAGTTCAGATTTTAGAGTTCGGACCTCAGCATTGGCGAGGGACGACGCCCCTACATCCGCAACTTCAGCCAATCTCTCTTTTAACAATATGTTCTCCTGTAAACATTCATGAACTTCATGATCTAGGTCCTGAACCCTGATTTGAGCGATTTTGGCTTGATTACGTAGATCTTCAACAAGCATCTCATCGGGGCCACGACCGTCGGTCGTAGTACCCTGAGTCAACGATCTTCGCAACTTCGTGTTCTGCAACTTGATCTCACCCTTTAATTCGCAGTTCATTTCCTGCTCATTGGCATAGAGCTCTTCATAGTGCTCTGCCCTTGCGATCGAGTTTGCACTAGCCTGTGATTCAAGCCTCAGGTGTGATATTGCTTCGGCCTCTTGGTTCCTGTATGATGCAATTCTTCGGACGGTATCATGTTCAGTGTTTCGATGCTTCAGATCACTTTCTAATTTGGCCTGATTTGCCTCGAAAACCTTCTTCCTAGATTCTCTAGTGATCTCGTCGATACTGCTTTCATACAGCTCGGCCTGTTTACGAGACTGAACCAAAGCTTCACTCAATAGTTGATTCCGTTCAGATAATTCATGAACTGCAATTGATTGTTGTTGGCTAATCACTTCGAGTTGGTTGCTAGAGAAGGATGCTATTTCGGATCGATTACGATATTCCATGATTGAGTTCTGGAAATCTGTCTGCATTTCTTGACCTTCATTGTATAGTCGATTGGCAATATCGGTGGTTAAGACATTGGTTTGATGAAGTTGTTGCAGTCTTGCCTCCGTATTACCCAATAGTCCTTGAAGGTGATGTACTTCATCCTTGTACTCCTCCTGGATCTCCATACCACGTTGATGGATACGTCGTGCACCATGTTCCATTAGGGCACCTCGGCGTTCAAGGTCTTGGATGCGTATTGTTGCACCTTCGTCTTCCTGAGATGCTACCATTAGTTCTGCTTGATATTCTGCAACCTCATTTGCGGAACATGACAATCTATGATTGAGTGCACTGACCTCATCAAATACATTTTGGTTGTGTTCCTGAAGATACTCAGTGAATCTGATCTCGATGTCATGAATCAGTTGATCTCTAGATGCAGCGTATGCTTCCATGTGGTTCAACTGATTACGTAGGGATTGACATTGTGCCCGTAGTTCTTCTATCATGGCAATAGGTTCACTAGCCACAGAAGTATCCGTTGATCTCCTCTTAACACGACTATCCCCGGTCCTCTCACCAATTCGGTCGGTCACGGCCCTGGTGGATCTGTCCCTTGGAGTAGTTCGTCCTCGAGATGGTCGATGCCCTTGGCGGACAACATCACTTCGAGCACTGTTTCGAGAAGATCTTGGTGTACTTTGAGTGGATATCCTTCGTTTGTTTGACGTGACTTGCCATCCGGACTGTGTAGTTCGGGTAGAGCGTATCCCACCACTGTCTGCCGTGTCACCAGGGGAAGATTGATTGACCTCCTCGACCGGCATGGCAGTGTTCTCATTGAAGGTAAACTGCGTGGTGCGCGAATCTCCGCTGCCGCCTTGCATCTTTGCGATGATGAGCTGATTGGTCCTTTGCGTCCTCAATCAATTGCTCAAAAGGCCCGGCTACCAGCACGCAGGTACCACTCTCCCGGCGGGAGAAGTGAGCCCTACGGCTGATAACCTGTGAACAAATGGATCCTTGTCCTGGATGTTATCTCAGACCTGTAGTACCCTTGCTACTGGTAGCCGACAAATGCCATGCGGAGTCACACGACGCATCCCTTTTCTCCATACGCTTGAGCCAATGTTTGGCGGTCACAGCATGTTGTTTTAACACTGCATGCTGTACATGTTGTTTCATCTCGTTCCCTTTAACAGAATGTAGCAAGTGAAATTAGGAAATTGGAAAATAGAAAAGATGAATATGAAGTAGGTGAATTCTTGATATGTAGAGAATATACTAAAACTCAAACGTCAGTATTCAATGTAAATTTTAAATACAAAATAGTTTATATTGGAAAGGATGGAGTGATGACAATGAAAACCACTAAAACCAATATACTACAATCCTTAAAAATTCAAAAGGTAAGGGATAATTTCATATTCGCCCATTGCACTACCTGCCATTCAGCCCAAGGTAGTAGTATAGATGGAGACATAACAATTTTTGATTATAACCATTATGACATTAAAAAATACAGAGAGTGGTTATGGACTGCAATTACAAGAGCAAGGGATTTAAACAAGGTAAAATTTTATAAATATAGTGATGATGTAAATGATGATTTCAACTATAAATGCATGAAAAGTAAATATGAACGAAAAATTGAAAATTACAAGCAACAGGATAGAAAAGCAAAAAGGAAAATACCAAAAGAAGGCTATGTAAATGTTGAATTGTTTTTTGATAATATAACTAACCAATGTAATTATTGTGGATGTGGATTTCATACAATCATAAAAGGGGGAAATATAACAACAAACCTAACAGCCCAAAGGGTTAATAATGAATATACCCATACATTGGAAACTATAATACCATATTGCGACAGGTGTAATTGTAGTTGTAGATAATGATTGAAACAAAATTAATATCATTTCCAGAATTATTTTTCCAAAAATTGCTATTGAAAAATTTCTTGTGTCTATTTCTCATGGAGCTCATTTCTCATAATGAATAAGATACGATTTGCTTTTAAACAAATACACTTGACATTAACATGTTCGTGTATAAGGGGGTGCTAGTATTTTTTTTCAAGGGCATTTAACCAGAAACTTGTTTATACCTGAACTTTGGTAGGAACTTTTGAAAGACGTTTTTTGCAATTACTTTTTCACAATGTCTGAACATGATATATGTTTTTTTTTGTAAAACACTTTTAAAGAAACATTAGCATAATACTTAATGAAGATTTCTTGGAAAATCCACCTTTTCAGGGAAAGAATATATTAAAAGAAATCTTCATAAAGTATTATGTAAAATGTTTTTTGTAATTTCTATGAGGGGGCCTTGCCCGTATTTGGTTGATGATGAATTTCGGTTATTTAGATTACTTGTTGAAAATCCTTTTGAAGATTACTATGTTGGCTTACATCTTCAAAAATGATTTATGTTATGGTTATTGTTGAGATGGTTGTGATTTTTTGTTGAATGATGGTTTTCTAAGATTGTTATGAAATCTTGGTTAGATGATGTTTTGGAATGATGGTTTTGAGATGTTGTTTTGAAATCTTGGTTGAATGATGTTTTTGAATGATGGTTTTTATGAGATTGTTATGAAATGATGGTGAAAGTGTAGGGGGGGTGCAGGGTTATGTGATGATAGGAAGATGGGCAAGGCCTACCCTAACTGTATGAAGTTCTCACTGCCAAGTCTTGAAAAAGCTTCAGCTGCCTGAACTGCGAAGCCAAAGTCAATCAGCTTCAAGTCTTCGCAATCAGCGCCTCCCGCACTGGTCTCTCAGTCATGGCGAGAACATGAAGTCCATGTTTCTCCAAGATGTTCAACGAGCTTAATTATGAATACATTGTGTCAGAGGCTTCAACAACTACATTAGTATATGTTCAACTAAGTAAAACACACTTCAAACATCTCACACCATCTACAGAATCTACCGGCCTTTTGACCTGTAACAAGGAGAGTCTTCCACCCTGGTTTCCCCAGTCCCCCATCGTCAAGCCGCCTGTGAAGAGAAAATTCTCTGGTTTCAAATCTCGGTGGAGCATCCCCCTTTGGTGACAATGCAGTGTGGCCCTCAGCATCTGCTCCATGAATTTTGCCACCTGACCAAAACTGGAGCAATGAGCATATCTATATATGATTTTAAATGATTTTAAAAGACATGAAAGCAGAATATGGATGAATATGGCAAATTGAAGCCATTTCATTTGCACTGCTATCGGCTTCAGCTTTCCGCAAAACAACACATCGAGCTTCGGGGTTGTGCTTTCAGTGTCTTTCGTAGTTTCTACTCACAATTCATTGTGAGGGTCAACAAAAAATCTGAGGGTGTTTGGTTTGCTGCAAACCCAAGAGGACCTTCACTGATTGCCCCAAGCTTGTAGATATTAATTAAACATAATTAAACAACATCATACCAATACTGTAGCTTCACCAGCTCCTGTTGAAGATATTTTGTCCCCATTAATCTACACTTGGCCATGGCCACTTCCCAACCTGGCACTGATCAGCCCCAGCGACCCACCCGTGGACCCATGGCCCATGACCTCCGTTTCCGGCAAACCGCGCTGCTCCGAGATGATCCGTTCGCAAAGCTCCTGGTGGCCATCCCAGAATCCCAGCGCCATGGATGCCATTGGGATCCAAATCCATCCATGGTGCCATGGGGGGAAGACATCCATCATCATCCATCAAACTCCTCACCATGGCAGAGCTCCGTGACGAGCCACAAGTAGTGTGGACTTTCAAAGTACCTCAGTTGGGTGGTCAAAAAGTCCAAACCGACGAAAAAGTCAATCCCTACCCCTATAGAGGGGGGGACAAAATCATTGAGAAAACATGATTGCAAAATGGAATTTTAAAATGAAATTTCAGTACGATTCCCCCTCCTCAAATTCCATTTTTAAGAGGGTAGGGATCGAAATACTACAAATTTGGAGGGGTCATTCAGATCATTCACTATAGATCCCAGATGATCCCAGCTTGTGAGGGTTTCACCACTTCAGCCAGAAAAGGCCAGAGTTATGATCTGTCGCCTCGTGTTGCCTCATGAAAGACATTGGCGCACTCAACTAGTCGACATACATGCGGATGATCCATCTTTTTCCAAGCCTGGAGCGGTTTGACCAGCTTGCGTAACTGCATGTTCTGGGGTACATAAAAAATAACTAATGCCCCAAAATCCAGAGCCCCCTGAACTTATTGTTTGTGATTGAGTTCTCTGTTGATCTCCCAGGAATTATGGGAAAAGTTTTAACTTTGAACGCATGTTATTGGCCACATCGGTACGCAAAAGGTTCGTGACTGTCAGCTGAAACTAAGATCTCCCAGACCTCCAATTACATGACAAGCCTATCCACTGGATTCCACTGGTATGGTCGTCCCACCATCAATATAGTGGGATATTAATGGAATATTTATGGGATATTAATGGGATTCCACTGAATCTTTATAATGGGATATTAATGGGTATATTGGTCCCTGTCAACTGGGGATGACATGGGATGACCATCTCCTTTTCTGCGAACATAAACCATGTAGATCCATGTAGTATGTAACTGTAATTGGACCATGGCACAGATATCCGACCCTCAAATGGCTCTGTCTGAAAATAGGGAACCAGCATTTTGGATCATTTAGCATCATTCAACATCATTAACACCATTTTGGAGGGTTAAATCACCACAACTTCACAGTGGTTTTCCATCACCAGCATTGCCGATTTATGTTCACCTCGATCTCACCAGGTCTGAGCCAGCGCTTGTCGATTCGCTTCACAGCCCGCTTGATACCTGTCCTGCGATGCACGGGGATAGCTGCGCTGCTTTGTTGGCCAAAGTGAGAAATAATGAGAATGTAATTAAGATTGATGTATATTCATGAACATTGATGTATGATGGAATATTGATGTGCATTCATGTATATATTGTATATATAATATATATAATATTATATATATAATATGCATATAGTGTATAATATATATATTATAATAATAATATATGTTAATAAATATATATATATATTATATTATATTATATTATATATAATATATGTGTGTGCTCCCATCTTGCAGGCCCATTGCTCATGATGTTTATATATGTTTATATGATTTTATATGATCCATTTTATACCTGCCTGCATCTGGATGGTCTGGATGACATTCATTTCAGAATTTCTTCTGCCAAAATAATCGCAAGGAACCCACGTCCTCCGATGCTTGGCAAGCCAGACCACGCCATAGGCTCCAGAACCCAAGGGCTGATCACTAGGGAAGCAATATGCCTCCACAAAGGAAGGAAGTCAAGTTCCCCCCTCCGGCTACATCAGCTGAATGCAACATCGTTTCGGGATGTTTCGGGTGCCCCAGGGTCACCAAGGATTCATCCACAATTTACAATTGTTCTATCATCTTCAACATCAGAGCTCCACAATCAACAACTCTCAGTCATGTTCAATTGTTCTATCTATCTGTATATAGTATATTTGATCTCACATGTTTGGCGGGAATGTTACAGGGTTCCTTGAGAATTGATGATTGAATCTCAGAATCTGCAAATGATTCAATTTGTTGCGTGAAGATGAAACAGCTACTCCCGTGATATCACTCCTGGCTTGGCAATGGCAACGTGGGTGCGCCTCACGAATGTCAGTCTGGCAGTCCTTCCAGAACAGCCTGGCACATCTTTGTCTGAAAATGGGTTACCCCAATTCCAATGGACTATCAGGATTTTCCCCATGACATGGCCTTTTAGGGGTATATATGGTATGCCCCACTTCCAAATCTAAAAATGGACCGGTGCCACAGCTGACTTCCAATTCCCCAGGCAGGCAACGAAATTGAGCCATTGTCACTTGTGGATCAAGGTACTCGTCTCTGCCAGGTCCAACGGCATGCTACAGGACCTAACTGTGAGGTTCTGGGCTGCTTGGAAAGGCAAGATTGGAAGCCCCTTAAAGAGGGGAAGTTTTGGGGGGTGTGACAGGATGGGACCCTGATCTGAAGGTTGGACTTGTTTGTCTTAGGATTTGTCTCCTAACCTTACAGCGCAAGCCCTTTGAATTCGGAGAAATCCACTCTCACCGAACAAATGAAGAAACAACTGGAAAAAAACGCTGATCTCAAAAAGGCACCAACAAAGATGCAACCTCTGGGTTCTCAAATCTCCACAACCCATGGTCTAGGATCGCACTAGTTGTGCCAAGGGACCGCAGCTCCCGGAGTTGTCGCTGAAGCTGCATATCTTGCTTCTCAGACAGTGCCCGTAGTCGATTCAGTCTGCAGAGTATCCAACAGAAACATGATTTGAATGTCGGTCAAGGTCTGCTCTACTCAAACTATCCTCTTTTGATCTCTTTTGGCTATGTAGAACCAGGGGGTACTGTGGGTACCCTAGCATCTTCCAACCTTGCTATCTGCGTCTCTGGTGTACACGACAGCAAAAATGTGTTGCTAAACATAGATCAACAGCTAATAGTCTGTTTCAATAAATACTAAATCCTAAAAAAAAAACAAATCGTTAAAAAATCAACTGGGTGTACCATGGTGTGTCCAACAAACACTCTGATGGGCATTGTCTCTTGAATAGCCAATTAAATAGGGATGGTGGATTTGACCTGCCTCTCTCGGCTGCCTTCAAACAAGGATAAAAGGCTGATGCCCACGGCTAACCCGGCAATCGTGCACCTCAGTTGAGCTTTGGGCGCAGTGTGGGGATAACAATCCTAAACTAATCCTGGCTTCAGAACAAGTCTGCTTTGCTCACGTTTTATTGCGGCTGATTTCAAGATGAAGCTGATGACTTCCTTTCCGGCACTCCAAATGGGTTCACCAACCCTTTCTGTAAGCATCAAAACATTACATTCGAGAATCTGCATCAAGCGCATTCGTGGAGGGTATTGCCCTCTGAGCAATGGCTGCAGGATATGGGTTGAGGTCATCGAGTCATCAACCATGAAATCGGCAACCAATCTAAGTGCTGAAGTGCCTTTAATCAATGGCAAATCACCCTCGACTAGTTGCTGCTGTCAATGAATTCAATAGATGTCGTGGTTTGCTCATGCAACGAATGCTGCCAACAACTCCTTTGGCCCATGTCTTGTATTATTTCTATTTATTTCTTAACAGTGCAGCACTACCCTGAGAACCCCACACAGCACGATCTGTCAAGCGGGCAGTACGGGCACCCTGTGCAGCAAGCACAGAGTTGGACACTGGACTGGTGGTGGTGCAGCTTCCGGGGAATATGCCCAATACATCCCAATACCAGTGCGGTGAAATTTAGTGCGCTGGACGACAGGGATATTGATTGTGTATGATGTTGGAAGTTGGAGGTGCAGAGTTTTGAAGTCAGTCTGGCGATTGGGGTGTGTATGGCGATTACAGCAGCGGATGCTAGAGTTTGGAGATGTTTGTGAGTCTTGGGAATGGGCCACTGATTTTGGTCAAATGCAGAGGTTCCAGGATGGCGGACCGACAAACTGATGTAAAATTTAAAGATCAGGCCTCAACCTGACAGGTCGAGAACTACGAGTTGATTGGAACTTTAACAAGATTTCCCTCACCATATTCATCTAACGTCACCCATGTGGTAGATCTCGACATCTGCATAAGCACTACTCCACTACTGTATGCCCCCTGACTACAGGACCGTTCTGTTCGCTTGGTTGTAGTCTTCTTCAAAGCAGCTCGGAAATACCACTAGTGAATAGAGATCGCTTATCCTGCCCATGCCATCATGCTTGCATGCCCAAACTCATCCATCAATCAGCAGCAAAATGATAAACGTAGCTGTGCCTGCAAGAAGAATTGGAGTTGCTGACTGTGCAGCATAGACTGGCCGCCTTGCAACAGCGCCGTGCTCTCAGGTCTTGCTCTCGATGTCAGAAAAATGTTTGGTTAGTGGGAAGGGGAGACGCGATAGTACAAAAAAACAAAAAAACTGCAATATATAATAATAGGAATGAAAGGAATACGCATTATATTATATATATATTATATTCATCTGCAATGGCTATTGATAGAGCAATGCAGTGTTGTGGAAAACAATTGACATATATTGCTAGGTCATCTACCACAAATGAAGCAGGTTTTTGATACTGTAGGCAAGAGTGACCAAATTTTCAGTGGATACAAACGGATCAAAACTTCATATATGCATTCGCAGCTGCTAAAAACCGGACCCCGAGTTTCTGCTCTTTCAGCAGTTTTGTATCTGATCATATTTCATCAACAAATATCCTCTTGCCGCTGAACGATACACCTCTGACCAGCGGGCCCAACCCTCGAGGCTAAGACTAGCTGATCCTGCATAGGAACGGCCATAACAAACCTCGATTTCGGCGCCCTTCTAACGATGTCTGAACAGTTTCATTTCAAGCACTGAAAATATCTACGGTTCAATGTATTCTAATATATTCTAATCCATTTCTTCCTTCCCAAGAGCTCGTGACCCAAGAGGAAGTTTCTGTGCAACTTTGCATGCTTCATATGGCTATACCACAGACATGGAACTCCTGATGTTGAATGGCCAGTACGATTGGTGATAATGAAACTGCACATAAAATACACTAACAGTCACTAACAATGGCCAATTCAGCTTTGAGGCAGAGCACACGGACTTCCAAATTCCCAACATGTTCAAAATTGAGCTCGGAACGCAATATGATAGTTTGAACCTATTTGGGAAAGCACAAAGTCTTCTCATCGCCCACACTGTGAAAAGGTAGCTGCTTGAGCCAGCTACAGTCATGCCACTTCAAGGTTCAAAGCCACCTTGTGACGATGAGGTCAGCAGCCAACCAAGACTCCCGGCTAGCAACATGTTCTGGCAGTTGGCAAAAACGTTCATTTTAATTGGAAAGTCCTGTACAAACGGTAGGGAGAGCCTAGCTCTCGCCACGTGGTCACGCCACGTTGTCATTCTATGAAGTGAACTTTGCACTCAGCTCTTCCCATTGCTGTGGCGTCCTGCCCACAGGAAGAATCAGCACAAATTGCACAGACAACAAAAGAAAAACCTTTTAGCACTTGACTTATAGTTGCCTTGTCAAGCAACTACATAGTTAATCTGCAGTGCACCAATATCTTCCAACCGTTTATCTGTAAAGGATTGTAAATTCAGTGATGATAAGTGCACCGTTTATCAAATCAAGTGCTGTTTTAATGTTTTTAACATGATCCGATGATTTCAACAGAGATGGAGATGAGATTCGTGGAACTCCAGGTCCTCACTCGGAAGTCCGTGCCGAATCTTGCTCTGCCACGAGCGCTTCCTGGGAGGAAACATGTTGCGGTCAACAAGGCACTGAACAAAGGACGTGTACTATGTGGACTATGTACAATCATAACATGCACGTACCATATTTCGACCTCCAAAGTTTGGGATTGCCAAATTAAATTGGCTACACTATTCTGTACAGTAATTAGGTTGTCTTGGAAAACACATTGAGAATCAACCTGACTGGACGATTACACTCTTCTGCTGCGGCGCACCTTCTATGGAGATTATATAGATAAAATGTAGGAGTAGGATCCAAGACAGGACTCAGAATGAGCCGTGAAAAAATGTGAAAAATACTCCTGCCCCATCCCATCATACTGGTTGGTTAATGGGCATCCATATTGGTTATCAGATATAATCAAAACACAAATAGGTAGTGTTAATCCCTATAATACCCTATCAACAACGGTATTTGTCACAAATATGCTCAAATGATAGTTCGTATGATTCATTAATTAATACTACGTCAGTATGAACAACTATCAAAAATAGATTTTGATCATTACACATTATAGTGACCCGCAGCAACTGAGCTCCAGACTCATTGAAAGCGCGCTTGAGGCTGCCTCAGACCTTACATCTTCGCATGCGACTTGGCACCCCAAATCTTTGCTTTCCCCACCAATTAAACAAGACCAGTACAGTAACTTGGATGATAAATTGGGGTCCCCCATTTCAAGAAACCCAGCGGCATCTGGCATCCGTGTTGTGAGTTGTTATTACATCCACAGGCATTTCCCCCCATGTGCCAGGCCTTGACTTTTGCATGGCTCTGCAAAGACGCGTTTCAGCTGTGCGCAACCTGTGCTCTGCTTGGCATGGCCACCAAAACCAGCCGGAGTTTCCAAAGCCGCTAAAGTTGTAAATGTCATCTGCACATGCCCACATGCCCTCAAACCCCCCCACAGATCTCCCACACTGCCCCAAAAGCAAGTAAGAAGCAGGGCCCGAGTGCAAACAGCGATCTCATGTGCACGTCCAATTTGTGTCCCATCAACATGTCCCGATACCATTGTATCCAATGACTGTATCCAGTTAAATGCAACCTTATCCCTTCCCAACAAACCCATCGGATGCCTCACTGCACCTGGAGTACAACGGACCTGCAACTAGATTCAATGCTGGGTGGCACTGATGTCAAATCACTTGAGATCTCATGACTCAATGTACCGGATCTGAAAATGGGAGTATACTTCCCGAAAATTCAAGACAATCCACTGGGTGTGGGCAACCTATTTTCGAAGCTCCAGGTGCCAGGCCAATCGACCAGGCAGGAAGCGGCAGAGTAGCAGCAAGGCTGCTGCTGGAGACGCTAATCCGCTGGTCTGCCAGGGTTTGAGTGAAACCATACATGGTTGATCATGGTTGTGTATGGGTATTAGGTGTGTGTGTGTATATGAGATTATACATACCTAAATATGGTTACACCCTGTTACACCCAAATATGGTCACTTTTTGTTCCCCATGCACCAAAAAATAAAAATAAAAAAATGTTGTTTGGCAAAATAGAAAGCTTAGCCAGCAAATATATTATGGGTGTTATTCAGGACATTCAGTCCAGGAATCATTGATAATCATGCCACAGTCGGGTTAATCCCACTCCCCCCAACATTAAACAACCCGCAAATGGTCCCAAAAATGTGATTTCATCGCCCTGCTAAACCACGGTTTCTGGGGGATTTTAATATGAACGGGGAATAGACTACCCCCAAAATGTCGATTTTAGTAGGGAAATAGTGATTAATTAACCAATAATTAGATGGAATGGGGCAACCTGTTTTCACACAAACCCAGGTTGGTACAAAGACTGGTGCAAGACTGGGACTTTGACCCATCCCTACGTTGGGAGCCCGGGAGCAAAAACTCTGCCCCTCACCTGACCGAGCAATGTAGAAGTTACAAAGCCCGCACCAAGGTCAGCAGGCCAAACCAAAAGAGCCTTGCAGCGCTGCTTTTGGGGTCGTTCAAAAGTCAAGGAATCATATGGAATCATGGCAATGCAATACAATGCACAAATAGTCACTAATTGTACCACCAATTGTACACAATGGTACCATGGAATCTTTGGGCATCCTTCAGAGTCAACATGACGCTGCCTCACTCGTTGCTCCGTTCCGGAAACAGTCCCTGCAGTCGTTCTGGGCTCCAAACAGCCATGCATAGCATGGCAAGCCATGAAATCGCTTGAATCGCGGTACAGGCAAGTCGATCCTGATGTTGGTGATTATCAAGGGAGATCACAAAGACATTCAATTCTGAAAGATGAAGAGGCAAACAAGCCTCAATGGAAGAAGGGTTCTAAACATCTAGCCCCAATATTGACATTGCAGAAGCATCTTCTTCAATTCACAGCTTTGCCCTGACAAACCTTCAGTAAATGTGCCAAAAGCCCTCTCTGAGGTGAAAGCACTAGCTTCCAAAAGATCTGCGCTGTGGCATGCAGGATACCTCCATGCCGGTGGTTATCTTGGGCCCCGAGGCCCCGTCAAATATTTGTGAGCTCGTTGCAAACAGAAAACTAGATGCACAACCTCTTGGTTGGATCTCATTGGACAACCTGAAAGGACTTATTTCTACTCTTGCAATTTGCTTTCATCTTTTTAACTCAACCTCTTTTGGTTTGAAATTTCGTGTGAACAGTTTTTCATGGGAATCCTTTCTCCCGAATACTCTTATTTATATATATATGCATATAAATATCATTAGCGCAGCAATATCTAAATGGCTCATAATTGGAATGTGAATTGGTGAATGATTGATTCTTCCAGAAACTGTAAATCATCGCCACTCATGGGGTTTATCATGTTCTTGATATGTTCATCCAATTAAATCCATTTTCTCAATGAAAAACGCCCCAAAAAACGATCTCTGAGCCCCAGACCCGGCACGCCATGGGACCGCCCGGCGGGAGGGTGCCATGTTGGTGGCGAGGTTGGAGAGCTGAAGGAAAGCCAACGTCAACAGACCAATCCACGGAGAGGCCGGAAAGAAGAGAAAAAACCTGCCGCCAGTGACCCTTAAAAAGTGGTGAGTGGTGTTGGAATATAGTGGGACAAAAAAAAATCCGACGGATTTTCGACGGTTCTGTTGTTAATTGTCCTTTACGTGTGTTGGTTTTTACGTGTGTTTAATTGGTTTTAAAAGTCTTGAGCTGTTGTTTAAACAGGATTTTTAGGGGGTTTTCAATTCAATGACTTTTATATGACCTGTCCCATCCAAATGTGCGGAGATTTCCAGGGAAAACCTCTGCATTTCCAGGGATAATTCAATTCACACGGATCATCCGCATGCATGGGATATCACCTATTAAAGAATGGCTTTAATAATTCGCCATTTGAAGGCAATTGGAGTTGACAATTGGAATACATGTGGGAGGTACTTGGTAGCCAGTAGAACTTGTGGTGTATAGAATCAAAAGAAATGTTATATGATGACTGCGGGACAAGGCCTCAAAATGAAAATGGAACATGAATATACTAGGGATGTACGGCCCTGGCATATGGAATCAGCATTTGATTCGGATATCATGGGGTTAGCGGTCCACCTGTGAGGGCCAAGCATCAAATGGACAGGTGCTGAACCAAGAAATAGATAGAAATAGTACAAGATCAGTACAAAAACTAGATGGTGCTCTCAAAACACGAACCTGTATTTAGACTAATTTGCAAACAAAACACTTGCACAATCATATGCATATACACAGATCATATGTATACTGTATATACATACATGATATCCCTACATATAGTCACATAGTGTGGTGCGCACGTGATCCGCTGCATGTTTATTTCATTCACATTACAGTATAAACTTCCTTTGGGAACCTGAATCCAGTCACCCGTCTCACGGCGGCACATACCCAAAACGATGATCACTTCCGAGGATGCATCTCAGCTGGAGCCGATTAAAACGGTTCAAAGACGGGTTTTCTTCTGGTTCTGCCAAGCGAATGCAAAAATGAAGACTGGACGATGAATCTACAAAAGTTGTTCACCTTCATAGTCTTCCAGTAAATCCGCCCGCACCGAAGGTGCCGAGGTGTTTTTTCCCCAACAGCAGAATGCTTTGGGGTCTCAGCCCACATAGCCTTCGGGGTGCTCCGGGGCACTGCTCGACCCTGCCGCCTCGTTTCGCCGGTTCCGGGAACCAGGGTTCCGAGAACCGGTTCCGGGAACCAGGGTTCGGGGCAAGGTTCCGGGAACCCAGGGTTCCGGGAACCAGGGTTCGGGGCAAGGTTCCAGGAACCCAAGGTTCCGCAAACCAGACTTTCAAGCAAGGTTCTGGGAACAATGGGTTCTGGCTACCTTTTGGGTTCCGGGACGTCAAGGTTCCGGGAAGGTTCCGGGCACACTTGGCTTTCGACAAGGTTCCGGGAACCTTACCATGGTTTCGAGCAGCCAGAGCCTGGATTGTGCCAAAGTTCTGGAATCACCGGAACACCAATTTTGAGACATCCTGCAAACCCAGAGTTTGGGGAACCAGGATTCTGGCAAGGTTCCAGCAACACTGGGTTCCGACAAGGTTCCGAGAACCACCACAGATGCGGACCCACAGTTTGGATATACTTCCTGGATTATGCCACAGGTTCCGGACAGGGACAAGGTCAGAGTTCTGGCAAGGTTCCGAGGTTCCGGAAACAACCCAGGGGTCGGATATACGCCGTGGGTTGTACCAAGGTTCATGCTACGGACAGGGTCCCAGAAAACCAATTTGCAAGGAAACCAAGGTTCCAGGACCAAAAGGGCCCGGTCAACGAGCAATCGCTGACAGGGGGGGGGACAGCGTGACAATAAATCAGCGCGTCTCGGTTCCGGAAACCCAGGGTTCCAATATACGCTGTGGGTTGCGCCAAGGTTCCGGAAACGAGGGTTCCAGGAAGACAAGGTTCCAGGGACACAAGGTTCCAGGAACACAAGGGATTCCGGAAATCCCCCAGCCAATCTTGGGTGCTTTGTGGCCCCTCACTGAATTCCGAATTCATGTTCGTTTGCTCAGTGGGCGCACAGCGTCGGTCGACTGACCTGTTCTGATGTTGCTGTAAAATCTTCTGTTTGAACTGTTCCGATGTCGCATCTACCAAAGCACATGCCACATCAAGCAATTAAGTTCGATGCCTTGGAACACCTAAATATTGGCAGCAAACCTGTGTGAGGCTTCTCGAAGCCAGGTAGATGATTTTTTGAAGCTAAGTGACCAAACAGCAACACACAATGAAACTTCAGACACAGTTGTGACACAACAACCAAGTATTGACATGAAACTAATTCTGGAATCATGATGGACAATTTGGCCAAAACCAACTGTTTCACCAATCACTTGCGCAAACTGACCGATGTTGTCCAAGCACGACAAGATAATCCCAAACCAACACACACACACACAATTTTGTAAACACTTAATGACACACCGTGGTCTGCAAATACTGCCATTCGTTTGTAACCAAATGTATGTAAATTCAACTATGCGCGCTTTCTTAAAGAACATGTCTCATCCTGCCTTTGGTCCAAAAGGGGAGGGGGCAAGGCGGGCAAAAAATCGCCGAAGAGACTTAGGCTATGGAATCCTGTTCCTGCCATCATTAATCCGTCTTGGGTTGCAAAGTTGGACCACTGTTTGAAACCAACCGCTGCCGGTTCCGGGAACCAGGGTTCCGGGCAAGGTTCCGGAACTCAGGGTTCCGGGAACCAGGGTTCGGGGCAAGGTTCCAGGTTCCGCAAACCAGACTTTCAAGCAAGGTTCTGGGAACAATGGGTTCTGGCTACCTTTTGGGTTCCGGGACGTCAAGGTTCCGGGATCCCCAGGTTCTCGGCGCCAGGAAGGTTCCGGGCACACTTGGCTTTCGACAAGGTTCCGGGAACCTTACCATGGTTTCGAGCGGTTCTGGAATCACCGGAACACCAATTTTGAAACATCCTGGAAACCCAGAGTTTGGGGAACGAGGGTTCCGGCAAGGTTCCAGCAACACTGGGTTCCGACAAGGTTCCGAGAACCACCGCGGATGCGGACCCACAGTTTGGATATACTTCCTGGATTATGCCACAGGTTCCGGACAGGGACAAGGTTGCGGAACAACAATTTTCAAGAAGCCCAGCCCAGGTTCCAGAGAACCAGGGTTCTGGCAAGGTTCCGAGGTTCCGGAAACAACCCAGGGGTCGGATATACGCCGTGGGTTGTACCAAGGTTCATGCTACGGACAGGGTCCCAGAAAACCAATTTTCAAGGAAACCAAGGTTCCAGGACCATATAGGCCCTGTCAACGAGCAATCGCTGACAGGGGGGGGCACAGCGTGACAATAAATCAGCGCGTCTCGGTTCCGCAAACCCAGGGTTCCAATATACGCTGTGGGTTGTGCCAAGGTTCCGGAAACGAGGGTTCCAGGAAGACAAGGTTCCAGGAACACAAGAGATTCCGGAAATCCCCCAGCCAATCTTGGGTGCTTTGTGGCGGGTTCCGCACATGCCGATTCATGTTCGTTTGCTCAGTGGGCGCACAGCGTCGGTCGACTGACCTGTTCTGATGTTGCTGTAAAATCTTCTGTTTGAACTGTTCCGATGTCGCATCTACCAAAGCACATGCCACATCAAGCAATTAAGTTCGATGCCTTGGAACACCTAAATATTGGCAGCAAACCTGTGTGAGGCTTCTCGAAGCCAGGTAGATGATTTTTTTAAAGCTAAGTGACCAAACAGCAACACACAATGAAACTTCAGACACAGTTGTGACACAACAACCAAGTATTGACATGAAACTAATTCTGGAATCATGATGGACAATTTGGCCAAAACCAACTGTTTCACCAATCACTTGCGCAAACTGACCGACGTTGTCCAAGCACGACAAGATAATCCCAAACCAACACACACACACAATTTTGTAAACACTTAATGACACACCGTGGTCTGCAAATACTGCCATTCGTTTGTAACCAAATGTATGTAAATTCAACTATGCGCGCTTTCTTAAAGAACATGTCTCATCCTGCCTTTGGTCCAAAAGGGGACGGGGCAAGGCGGGCAAAAAATCGCCGAAGAGACTTAGGCTATGGAATCCTGTTCCTGCCATCATTAATCCGTCTTGGGTTGCAAAGTTGGACCACTGTTTGAAACCAACCGCTGTTGGGGATCTACGTCGGCTTATTTTTTTGTGTGTGTGTGTGCACGCATTCACCGGAAGCAATTGCAATAGCTATTAAGTTTTTAGCTTGGGGGAGGCCTTTATTGCTCTAGAACCCTGTGTTTTTCCACGTTTTTTAAAGAGACCTAAAATCGTCTAAGTTGCCAAACTTGGGATCAACATGGCCCAACATAGGCCCAACATGGGCCCAACTTGGCCCAACATAGGCCCAACATGGCCCAACATGGCTCACCATAGGGCCAATATAGGCCCAACATGGGCGCAACATAGCCCCAAGATGGCCCAACATGGGCCCAACATAGAGCCAACATGTGCAACATGAGCCCTACAATGCCTACAAAGAAAGGCCCAACATATATGGTTTTATTGGAACTTCGGAGCTAACACTCCAGTGCAGGCGGTTGTCGTCGCGAAGCGACCAGAATAACCACCGGGAAATCCTACGAATTAATCAAGTGCGACAAGGAAAACTATATAACACAAAGGTCTGCAAACCGTGGAAATTGTGCAGCTGGAACAGAAATGACAGACATAGAACAATATTTCCTTGTCTTGTTTCAAAATGCCTGAGCCTCAACAACTTGTGGAATCTAAGGATCATACTAAAACAGCAGGAGGGCGCGATGTTCAAGTCAGTCTCTGGATCTCCAAATCTGCGGGTGCTGAACAATGCTGAACAGTTCGACCATTCAACGATGTCAAAAGCCAAACGGCCAAATTTCATCCACCAGCCTTGGAGCCATCATCACTCTGTCCAGGTCCAACAAATCGGAGTTCCTGGAAACTCCGATTCCGAAATTCGGGGAATCAGTTCATGTTTTGGAGGCCTGGTGTATCTCCGATCAAGAGAAAATATGATAGAACATGATATGTGTTTTATACAGTATAAGTTCAAACCATTTCATATATACACTACAAAAACTAATCATATATATATATTATAGTTAAATTATAGTTATATATACGTACGTGTTCAGTGAAGGGGAGTAACGGGATCTGAAACTTGCTCTTGTCACTTTTCTCTGCGAGGACCAACCCGTGGAGAGAAGGCCCCGCAGCTGAAACGCTGCGGCCGGTCATCACTTAAAATCAGCTGAAGGATACCCTCTGGTAATTGAAAATTCCTTGGATTGGTTGAAGGGAACATCTACAGGAAACCATGGTTTTTACCATCAAATATAGGGCTTTCCGGTAACATTTCCCTTGAACCAATCCAATGAAACATAGCCGTGACAGCTGTGTGATTATGTTATGGATGGCCCAGATAATTCGATGATGTACCTATTGGACATGGGGAGTTTCCATAATTAGCTATGTTGAATTACCAGAGTGTTCAAATACAAGTTGGAGACATCTTTTTATCAAGCAGGTCAGACAAATGCTTACAGCATTTTGATGACAAGTGGATTGAGTAGATTCTAGGTCCTAGGTGCAAACATACACATAAACACTTTGTGTGTGTGTGTGTTTGGTGTGAGCATATAAATGTTGAATTGTATTCACACCTGGAGTATCCTTCAATAATGTGTTCATATATACTTGTAGAAACAAGGAAACTACTTTGCACTTGCAGTCTTCTTGATCATTGTTTGAGTACTTTGCCACATCTGAAAGTCTCCAATCAAAATGACCAAACTGGTATAAAGTAAACATCTGCGAACCCTGTCCTTTCTGGCGCAGACTGATTGGTTTTCGGGTTGACCGCTGAGGAAATCAGTTTGAACAGCACGCATCGAAAGCCCACCTGCGGCATGTTGTGGCGGTTTTTATAAGGGTGTTGCATGCAACCTCCTAACGAAAGCCTTTCACTTTGTAGCAGAAGATCCAGAAGAGGTTCAACCATTAAAGAATCCATGCCATATACATAGAAGTAGGCAATGGTGTGTATATATATATACTATACTGTAATTATATATATATACATAATATATACAGTGTACTATTATAAATTACTAATTACACGAACGCACACGGCCCCACACACAGCTCCAATCTGCTATCATCGAACCAGGCGGAGCCTTGAGGCAAAAAGCTGCAAGGATGGTCATCAGCTGCTTGTTGAGCCTTGCCATCCTGCACCTGCACCGATTTTGGTCATTTCTGGTATCACCCATCCCTTGATATCCATGATATCCTGCAGCTACCCATGTTTTGATCGAGACTCGAGACTCAACGCCCAACGGCGGGACGGCTCGAGCTGAGGGTCTGACGTAGCGCCCCAGTAATTCCACCAAGTTTCCGCCTTGACTGGTGGATTCAACCCCCAAGGCGTAACGAAGTGTTTGAGACATTTTGAAACCAACCAGCCACCAGTTTGTTTTTCTCCAGGCTCCAGGCACATTGTGGTTTAATAAACCGCTTCAAAATGTAGAAGCTGAAAAAACAACAACCAGTGAAGTAGTGAAATTATCTCAGCAGATCCCTACCCCTATAGAGGGGGAGGGCGGGGGGGGGACAAAACCAACCTGTGGAATTCCACTTTTTTTTGCTTGGAAACCCTGGGATAGTGATCCAATTGCTCAAATGGAATTTTAAAGTAACATTTCTTGACAAGCCTTGGGCACTGGTTAGAAAATACTTGCGAGGAGCTAAGCGCAAGTATGATGATGGCAACACAATTTTTGGAGGGGTGCCACCCCTACACATGTGCTGCTTCAGTCTGACATGTGCTTAGCTCCTCCGGAGCTAAGCGCAAGTATTTAATTTTCATCTGTTTGCCAATGATATGGAATGACGAGGAATGTTGATCATTGAGAACAATAAATGCAAAAATGAAATTTTAGAATGAAATTTCAGTACGACTCCCCCCCTCAAATTTCATGTTTAAGAGGGTAGGGATCTCAGCAGCACAAGCTACTTGAAAGTGTCTGCCATTCTGGGAAGAGTCGTGTGACAAGTCTTGTGCGGGAAGCACAGCACTCGCAAACCAGCATATTCACCCAAGACAATTGTGTGCAGGAAGCACAACACTCACAAACCAGCATATTCACCCAAAACAATTGCCAACACTAGATACAAATAGGATGTCCGCGTAAGGTCTTCTGATTACCAGTTGTTTTGATTAGGCAGTATCTCTTCCAGACTGGTCTGTCCTCCAGTGGACATAAAACGAACATGTCGCTTCCACCGTGAATAAGCCGAGCACACTGAGAAACTGGATGCTAAAAATTCTCCAAAGGAAAAAGCATAGGCTATCACATGAGGCTCCGACATAGGAACAACTCTGTGACACCTCATACCTGAGCGCTGAGGCAACAAGACAACAGGCCAACATAGGCCAACTGTGCCACATTCCACTGGCATATTCCAGATCTAAGGGGATCAAAGGGAGTTGTATAATGTTGTATATACCCAGTATACATAGTTGATATTGGTGAACTTGCACACGGCAAATCCACTTAGTCCAATGTTACCCTGTTACCCATCTTCGCCGACAGAAAAAATCGGGAAAATCAGTCCAGGATTCTGACATTTTGAAGGAATCAGGGTAGAAGGCAATGTAGAACAGGGACGCATACCTGACAAATCTGACAATTGGCATCAGTCTATGCCAGTCTTTTTGACATACCATGACATACCCTACGGCGGCCCTACGGGAATCAAGCATGGCTTGCTGGAAAATGATGGAAAATGTACATCTTGTTGGGGATTTCCCAGCCATGTTTGATGACACCGCAGGGTGTTTTGAAATCACAGTTCTCCACAAACAGTCCAGCTCCAAATCAGCCATCTGCTGCCGTGTCACGAATTTACCAATTGAAGACCCAAGGCCTTCATCAGGCCCCGATGGGACCACAGATTTGGAATTTGTTCAAGAGAATCTTGTAGAGATTGTACTGTATAGATAGAGATCATGTATGATCATGTATAGAGAAACCATGAGAAACCTTTTCTGCATCTGGAGCTGCCACGAGATCTTGCTTTGGGGGCCGCTCCATGTGGCTTGCTTGGGATTAGGGATGAGGAATACTTCGACATGCAACGTGTCACTTGAGGACTGCTTGAGGATGCCCAATCACAGGTGCCTGGCGCCTTGTGATATCAAAAGAGATTTTGCCTACAGATCCTACAGGCACTGTATGGCAGATTATCATGACCTGGCCTTGAGATGGTATGCGTGCACGAATTCGGATCTGGTCTTGTGGTTCTCCCATCTTGTGAACGTCAAGGAAATGAGCCTGAAGAGTCCTGGGCTTCAAGATGCTTAAGGTCATTTTGTCAGAAGCCATGCTGTTCTACAGATTTGAGGCATTGAAGACTAAGTTCAGAAACAAACCATGCTGAAGCGTGCTTCCGTTGGCAACTCTTTGTGTTTAGCAGGGGATGCGTGCAAAACTTGGAGGCCTCCGAACTCCGAGCCACTTTTTGTGTCCTTGACGAAGAATCTACAGGAATCTTCTCCCCACTTTTCGGAAACATCTGGGTTGTAATTATGGGGGTTGCTTCAGTGCTTCGGCAGCACCAAAGAAGCGTTGAACAACGGAGTCGAGTTGCGGTTCAGCAACCAGATCTCCAGCACCACAACAAGTCCAACAATGTGCTGCGAGAAGCTGTACCTCAGGCTCTTTGTTTGGCGATAATGTCCGCCACTCAAACTTGGGAAACCCCTAAATCCATTTTGCGCATTTTGGGGTACATCCTGGTACATCCCATTTTCAGACACTTCCATGTACAGTAGTTGCAACCAGCTCACTCAATCCGATGGACGGTGAACTTCTCCTCTGGTAAAGGCAGCAAATCACAGGTGACGGCAGCCTCAGATGATTCGTTTTCGGGAAGTGGCAGGACATCAAAAGAAATCATCAAATTATGCAGTCTACAGTAACATGTATAACATATGCCAGAAAATTAAATGTGCAAAACATGACAACGCATATGCACATATATATATATATATGTATGACTGCTTAAATAGCGCAGTTGCATATGCTACAAAGATCTACAAAGTATATATAAATATATACACATAATATATATATATATAATATACATGTGTATTCCTGTACCTTTGCATCTTTGACATGCCGCTGGCCGCAGCTTTTTTTCACTGCATCAGATGACCACCAGAATCAAAATGTGTCTCACTTGGTCGTATCACCCAGGCTGGGCAGTCTTCTATCAATTCTATTCCGGCTAAACACATCTAGACACTGCGGGGACATTTTTATGGTGACGAATTTGGCTGTCGACTTTGTTGATGTATGATATTTGGCATAAACGCTTGGGCGACACTTCACTGACATCCAGTCAGACTGTTCAAAGTGAGTCTGCTGCAGCTGTCCGTAGTCCATCGGAGTCATCTGCTCATCAGCTGCAGGTCTCCAGGCTGGAGGATGTGCCACCCACTCCCATTGGAAGCAGGCACTGTGCGCAGTTGGAAGCGGGCTATGAGTGTTAACTTGGAGCCTGGATCAAAAGTGCGACTTCAGATCGCTGGAATGCAAGTTGAAATCCAGGAAGAGACCACTTGGAATCAAAGAACTTTTTGGCAAGTGTCCGCATCAATCGTGTCTTGGATACAATAAGATATTAGAATGTCAATTGCATGATATGACCAGGCCCCAAATTCGGTCATCTGGTGGTTCGAAAGGTGGGCTCAGCCTTTGCTTCTTTAAAGCGCCTAGTTATTTGGACAATGCTTGCACTGAGACCGAGAGGTCTTCGAACGCGGCATTGCTTTTCATTACGATTGTGACTACATTGCTACATCGCTTGGGCTGCCAATCAATTCACTTCAAATTTCCAGTCACAGGGCACCCGAAGAGCTTCTGACAATGACTAAGTACATATCACAAATATATATATATATTATAAGTATGTATGATCACGTATGTATATTATATGCTACGTGATTTACTCAGCAAGAACTGGAAGCACGACGCTTCGTAAGGCAACCCAAGTTGCCAGTTGAATCAGTCCTCACGGAAAGATCAACATGGGACCACTTGATCAGATCCCGTCTGAATCCAGAGTTGCCCAGAAGGAGCTTATCGCTCCTTCACATTCCTTCACGACAATGACACTGACATACTGTGACTACAACTGAAATTGAACATCCGATTGGATGTGTATGTCTGTGGATATTCTTCCAGTAACTGTGCAGTGGCACCTCTGAATTTTCTCCATGCAACTGAGAATGCAAACGGCGCCTTTTGGCCAGTGGACGAAGAGCCTGTGACGAACCACCTTGGGACCTTGTTGGAAAGAATCTGTTTCCTGTGTGACGTGCTGTGACATGCTGTGAAATGGTGTGACTGTGGAAACGGGCGAAATCGCTATCCTGATCTTGACCCATGCTCATGGCTCATCGTCCTCGTCCTTAAACTTAGCACGCCCGTTCAACTGCTAAGACTGGCCAAAAGCTCCTTCCTTCGCACGACTCACGTTGTATGTTAACTGAGCCATCACAGCGCAGGAAGAACCATCATCTGGCGATCCATATCAGTCCTACCGCTTGTTTTTACTTCAATGAGATCCCGGAAAGTTCAGTTGCCATTTGAGAAACAACCTGTCGCAGGTTTATCAGTGGCAGGTTGAAGAAAATGGAACCAAAATGAACCAACCGAGATTTTGATTCAACACTTACAAGCATCTCAAATAACTCGTCTTCCAGTGCTTCAATAAAGGCCTCTAAAACACTTTAAAGTAATTTTTGCTGAAACTGAAATTGATGACCGGTTCGGAGTTTTACCCATCAAAAAAGCGGGGTAGGACGGACAATGGAAAGAAACTGCAACCAGATCATCATTGATAGTTTTTGTATATTCTGTCTGTGGACATCATTGAGGTTCATCCATGTTTGTCCAATGAGGATGTTCTGAACTCTTTCAGTAGATTCTGATAGTTGGCTTTCAAAAATCAATGTTTTGCAAAGTTGTTCAGCTGGAAAAGTCTGTATAAGTTCCCAGGCATCGGCAGAGCGCCGCAGTTGTTCAACGGGATCCCATGGAACAGAAGATCACTGATACAAGAAGCCCCCTCTGTGCGGACGCCCGGAGAGGTCAAGCTCCTTGTAAAGTCTGTAATTATGAGGCGGCAGTGGCGGCTGTAATTGATGCCCAAAGCACTTTCTGACGAAACATCACAGGGCTGAGTTGTGGCTGTTGATTGATGTCTACGGGCGAAAGAACATCGCCATTCGCGCTTGGTGTGCTGCAAAGAGTGTTGTTTGGTCTAGTCGCCTACCCAATTTGAAAGTGCTAAAGAGAAGGATGTGTTCTCCTCTCAGTGGACCGCACACAAAAAAAGCACTGCCAAGTTGCGCTTGTTCTGTTGGTCGCGTCTGGCAGATGCCAAACATGCGCATGAAGCGCGCGACCAAGAGAAGCTTCACGTGCGAACGCACAAAAGCTCTCTGAAACTGGGCGGAGGTATTTTTGTTTGTTTTTGATTTATCATCGTGTTTTTGTCGCACAAAAACATGATTCTCTGGGGCTTGGGCAGCACGTCCGTGGCCCCATGACGGATTTGCAGGGAGATGCGTCACATGGTGGAGCAAACAAGCGAACAAAAACTAGGCATTGACGTTATCTCTCACCAGCGGAAAAAATGAGCTTGCATCATCTTTAGAGTTCTCATGACTCATCCTGCATCCTCCAAATCCGCCGCAACGTTATTTTACATAGGTACATCATTGGGTTCCGGAATGTTCCGGAGTCCGAAACTCTTGGTTTCACCAACCGAAGGCATCTCCATATTTCTGAACCCAGTCAAGGTGATGGAACTTGGGTCGCTTTGCTGGGTCCATTTTCAGCATCCCCGCGAGAATTTGATGGAAACCTGGTGTCATACAGGAAGCGATGGGGACCCGTTGCCTGTTCGAGGTGGCCAAACGCCTTCGCTGCAGCAATTCAGTCAATCCGAAGCGCTGAGCGAACATGAAGGCCAGACAGGCATTGGGTCGGGTGCTTGACCATGGGTAGCTTCCCATGGCCAAAGCATAGGCACAGACTCCACAGGAGAAGACATCTGCTGCCAGGGCATCGTAGCTCTGTTGTACAAACATCTCTGGAGCCATGTAGCTGGGCTTTCCACGATGACCCGTGGCCATTTCCACATTTTCGGTGACTGCCATAGCAAAGTCGATCAATACCACCTGCTCAGCTACAAGTAGCAAACCAGAAATGGTTCCGGCAGAGTGACATTCATATTTGACACATGGATATTGCATGATATGGCTTTGTTTGTGAATGTGGTACCCCCAGTTTCAATGGATTATGATAGATAATGATAGATTATCATGTTTCTCCGCATGAATGATCGTAATAACTGGGGCGTTCAGGTTCCGTTAAATCTCCCAAAATTCAGAAACACCCATTAATATAGAGACGATGTTCATCTGGTGATCCATCGAAACACAAATCACAAATCCATCTTTCAATGTCCTTTCCAACTCCCCACTGATTCTAAACAGTTTAGCAGGAACTGTCAGGAACTATGATTTGGGTGACACCTGCCAGGCACTTGTCTATCAGCCTACTGCTCAAGTTCCATATTAGCGACACCGTGCACACAGCATGGTTATCAGATGTTATCAGCACACCTGAGAGCCATAGCGAAGCAGAGCATTCTCCAAGGAGATATCACCATGTGCAATGCCTCTGACGTGAAGTGCTCGTACTGCTTGGATCAAAGAGATGACGATCGGGTAAACCTGTGGCCATCTGTGGCAGGTTTAGCCTATCACCATCACCCAGGAATCACCCATAGATTTTCTTTGATCCCGAAATATCCCGAAATATCCCAAAATTGCAAAAGGAGCTTGATCATATCCATGGAACTGAATGGAAACGAGAGAACATTGGATACTCTGTGGCAAAGCAAAGACATGACCACGGTTAAAAGTTTAAGAACATACCAGTAGCCGTCAGCGACTAGATGCTATACCAGCTTTTGGACCCATCTTTAAAGTACCGTTACCGCCGTTACCCTTGTCTAAATCTCGTGTACAGATGTGTACAGTAACTATGTCAACGTCAACTATCCCTTAGAATCTCCGCCGTTTCGCGTGCTGCTCTCGATCATATCCTGGTTCTCCTAATTTCGCTGCGATATCAAAGAGATCTCCTCCTGTGTCGGAAGCTCAAAGCTGACGAGGCGACAAGCTGAAAATTCACCCAGCTCCAAATCGAGAGACAACAGATTACAAAAGATATCAAAAGATGACAAAAGCATACACAGTATACACTAAGTGCTGGATTTTATTTCGGAGAAACTCTGCGAAGCCCCGCTGTGAATGGCAAAAATGACAAATATGGGAAATGACTCGGAATTGACTCGGAGTTGACATGAGATAAATTGGATGTCTCAACATGTCTCAACAACTGAGTAGTGTTCAAGCCCCTCTATCATTCCATTCAATCCTGGTTGGTTATTCACAGGTCCCACTTCACGGATGATGATAATCCATGATAATCCCCAATTCATAGTGGACAATCCCCCGAGCCATTTATCAACCAACCATCAATTCTCAATGATGCGTGAACCTTCTGTAAATCAATCACTAATGGTTTACTAACGTTCCCATAATCCGCATAATCCCCATTGATGGGTATCAACTATATCCCCAGATATCTTCAAGTCTTCAGTTTAACACATGTTCATACTCATTGAATAAAAATTGAATAAAATTTGAAAAGCTATACATCAAATCTTATCAACCAACAGTAACCAACAGTAACCAACATCCACCAACAACAACAGGGGTGTCACTGGCACCCGGCCTGGAAGATACTCTGAGACCAGCATCCCGTCACCCGACTCGGTGCGAAAGGCGCCCAAGGAGCGGCAAACTCCTGGGAGCTGCTCCGGTCCGGGCATCCCAAATCGCATCCTTGGTGAGCGGAGTTTCGTGGACGAAGAAGTTCGAATATGTACTAGAAATCTATGGAAATCAAATGTGATCAAATTCTGTGATGGATTTAAAATGTTTGTGTATGTGTGTATATATATAATTATTAATATCATTATTATTATTAAAATTATTATAATTATTATTATTATAAGTATTATTATTATTACTATTATTATCATTATTATTATTATATATTACATTATATTAAAATTACTATATACCTTATTTGAATATATTTGAATGATAAGTTTTCCAGTTCTGTCGTATGTTTCTCAAAGGTCTAATTTCTTCCAAGTCTCATGATCTCAATCTCCTTCCACGGGTTCTCAACTTCGCCGGGCCATGCCTCCTGATAAGACTGGGGGCTGTCGCGCAAGCGGCTTCGTGGAAGATGCTTCACTGCCACAGACCCTCCAGTCATCAGGTCATAGTACAACTCAACTTGCCCGCCGCTACGAGCAGCCATCATGTGTACCTTCCAAAACCTGCCAGGCTTCGATGGCGGAGTCATGCCTAAATCTCCAGCCAAAAGCTTCCAAAAGCTGGGAACCATCCATCAACATGTATCAACATCCATCAAGATCGATCAAGATCGGCCATCATCCACTGCCCCGACAACTCACCCCCAACAAGAGCAAGAACTAGAACAAGAGCAGCAGCAGCAGCAGCAGCAGCAGCACCAGCAGCAGCAGCAGAAGCAGCAGCAGCAGCAGCAGCACCACCACCACCACCACTGGCAGCAGCAACAGCAGCAGCAGCAGCAACAGCAGCAGCAACAACAACAACAACAACGACGACGCGAACACGGCCCACGCATTGCCGTTGCTCTCCGTGTTTCTCGCCTGAAGCGCTGTGCGTTCCAAGGTGGAAGATGAGGTCCTCCAGGGTCCAACTCATCTTGAAGTGAAGGCACCTGCGACGGCGTAGGGCTCAACACAAACATGTCATCTTCGATATCGGACTCCAAACGGTCAGAGGCCTCGGCCGCAGAAAAGTGTACGGAAACGCTTGGAAATCTTATAGGATCAGTGTGGATCAGTGTATTTTCATCGCATGGACTCTGTGTGCGTGTGTGTCTGCATTGATATTGTATGTGAAAACTGTGTATATAATATGTTCATATACTGTACATCATGAATCCACAGATCAACTCTGACATTCATGATGTGTGCCATCCAAATGTAGCGGGAATTCATGGAAAATCGTGCAAGATCATCGGCTTCTAGATAACATCAACATCAAAGCATTCAGTCCAGCTTCGGACTCCGGCCATTGGAGGCCCTGAACTCCTCGTGGTGTTACATCTTCTCTCCTAGGTGTGCTAACCTCTGAAGCATCATCTGAACTGGCGCTGAACCTGAGTCAATGCCGTGGACATCCAACTCTCAGTACCACTATCCAGGTCTAAGGGGGTCCGACGTGGTCGAAGATGGTCTGACATGGTCTAAGGGTCTCACATCTTAAAGAGAGGTGCGTAATGTCACTTGCAAAATCTTGCAAACTCCATTTAGTCGAGATGTTCGTTTTCAACTGGATCAATACGACTCAGGGACATTCAGCGACAGCGCAAAAATGAATGTACAAAAATGAGAAATGTACATAAAAATTTGCCGTATTCTCTAGCTTTCAGGAACACTGAAGCAGTGTCTGTTGGAATCCGCAACGAGATCCACGGCCAGGATGTGTCTAAGGTGCCGGGAGTGATGCTGCCTTCGATGCTGCCTTCGCAGACTTCGCACTTGCCCATGTCATCTGCCTTCAAAAGGCTGCCGCTCGCGCCGCGCGATGACACAGACTTCCCCAAGGGCATGGCCTACACAGCCAAAAACGATGCGAAGGGCCAACAGGCCAAGACGAACTTGGCCGAAACTGGCAATTTTTGTTGGCTTCTTCTCCCTCGAGCCGGAACTCACATGCATGGACTGTCAATGACTGCCAGAAACAAGCCATGTTTGGGGTGCAATGGGTGCAATCTAGTGCAATGGCAGGGCAGTGTCAGCATCACAGCTATCAACGCACCAATGCCATCGTCAAAAGCACACTTTCTGTGAGGACACAAAAATCCAAAAGCCCAGCACTGGGTCAGGGACCAGTGCCGCCGAAGCGGCAGCAAATATTAGGCAAAGCAAAAAAATTAGTCCACGCCTGTCCAGAGACTGCCATCGGCATGGGCTCAACCCATCTCATCCGAAAATGCTGAAATCATCAAAATTGCGCTGTCTCTTTGCACTTGCATGCGTCATAGTCAAGTTAAACTTGAACACATTTGAACACCCTGTTCATGGGACACTGCCAGCTGTGATTCGTTCAATTCGTCTTGACATTCCAACATATCCACAGGATGCAAAATCCAACTTCATCAAATTTTGACTGGAGAGATTCTGATGGTTCAATTCAATGCTATCACAGCCGCCGTGCCTCAGGAAGTTGAAGCATGGACTTGCCTCTGCTGAGGAAACAACTTGGATTGCGAGTGCAAAAACGGAGGTGGAAGCACTCGAGTACCGCCCAAAGCCTCTTTGGATAATAGGATCCGAGAACATCAGCCCGTGACACCCCAGTTTTCCCAGCTTCCATAGCTTTATGATATGATTGATATGTTGCTGTAATTATGATATGTTACGGTAATTCTAATTCCTTCAACTGGGTTCATGACCTGAATATGAAGCCCACCCAGCACCTGCTCTTCCATGGCACCCGTAATGAGCGAACGTTTCATCCCACCATAGAACTGCCGCCTCAAAGACACCCGAGACTTTTGTAGTGTAAACTATCAATCCTCATCTACAGACCGCGTGTCCGGATTTCGAACAAGTTCACCGTAAACTGGTCGAAATGATTCCAATTTGTTCTACGTACTGTATCTTTTAGATGCAGTCTCAGCTGGGTTTCAGTTTTGGGATGGGTCTGTCCTCCTTGTGATATTCAAGGTATCTACAGTCCTTTGGCATCATCTTTTGCAAAACTTGGGGGAGAAAGAAGCAAAACTGGTGTGCAAGACGCTTTCGGCAAAATAGACTCAGGAAAAATGTATTGATTGGTTTGCTCCTGAACCTAATGCTACGAGTTTTTTTCCCTCGAATGAGAAAAGAGTCCGGTGAACAAAAGACCCACTCAGCGCAGCCAGCCTGGTGCTGCCAAAAGGTCTTGGATTTACCGAATCAGATGGCCTGCGCCGGCGTCCACTCATTGCGTCTTCAAAATGCACAGCATTGTTTGCTGGTTGGCCATATTTTTCTTTTTAATAGGTGGGTCAAAATCAAGGTTTTGGGTACAACTTTCATCAAACAAACTTAAAATATCTATCAGTTTAGACATCAGTCAACGATACCATGTTTGAGTACCCCATTTCAACCCACGTTCGAAAAAACATCAAGTGACATCCCCAGTTCCATTTGCTCAAAAAACGGGTCCTTACGAAGCCGCTGCCACAGCAAATGTCGAAGGATCCATCGGATCCTCTCCAAGGCTTAGACTTAGATTGCTTGGAATGCAGGGAGACTTTCGTCTCTGAAGATCCAGTATGATCCACTCATGATCGTTTGGCCTCTCTTGCAGAGTGCTGAGTAAGTTAAGCATCTGACCAATCAAACCGCTTTATTTTTGGAGGGAATCCTTTGGGTGAAACAGGGTCACCAATCCTGACCCATATGCCACACAGCTTCTTATCCAAAAACTGTTCTTTCCTGAAATTCCATCCGAAATCTTCCCATCCATCCATCCATCCTGGCACGTCCCCACGAATGAGCAAAAGCTGCTTGCGATTCAGCTTCCAAGCCTTGAATCGAATGCCAGGAGTTTCATAAAACTAAATAAGGCAAATGATATAAGCACTGAAAATCATTGAAAATCATGAAATCAGCTGCATGATGCTGCATGTGGAGCCAGTCAAAAATCGTCAGCTTCCTTGTTTGCAGGGGCGGCACCGTAGTGTTCAATGTTTCTGAGCCTGAGATTTGAACTCCAAGGGCAAGGCTGAACCACGAAGCCATCAAGAGAGCCTTGCAAAGTTGGGATGCTGAGGATAACCTCTTTGACTGTAGTGAATAGATGTGAATAGTCTGCACGGCTGAATTATGTTTAGTTTGTACCTATGTAAGTTTGCAATTTGCTTACACTTTTCCATAGCACTGCGCGTGTACTTCAATTCAGGCAGGTGAGATTGCTGGGCCCCAGGCATATCCAAGCAGAGTGTTGAAGAAGTGTTCTTTGCCAAGCAAAGCAATCAGCACCTGTCTCAGATCTCATTGCTGCATGGTCTTCATGGATAAACCTTTGCCCCAGAAGCCTTCCCACATCTTCCCACCGCAAAGGTGGATGCAAATTAGATACACCTGGCTATTCCCAGCTGAAGCCATGATTCTGGGAAGCAGATTGTCTGATGCTCACTCTGAGACATCCAAACTTTCCCCTCGGGGCCTGAGCGATGATGCCAAAAAGCGCGGGTACAGCAATCCAAGTGCCCATTTGCCTGACATGGGGATGTGTGGGAAACGACAAGCAGCGCGGTACCATGGGTGGGCTCGGCCAACATGCAGTTGAAATATCTTCCAGCCAACTTCCAACCATGGCTCCGCACCCGCCGCTTTAGCGAGCCTACCTTTTGACCCTTCGGGGCCACAAAACATGAGAAAAACAAAGTGTTTGGCGACTTTTCTACCTTTCCCCGCACTTTGATCTTCTTTCTACTGACTCTTTCTCTTCTGACTCTTTCTCTTCTCTGACTGTTCTCACAACCGTTGCTGCATCTGTCCGTAAGTCGGAAGTTTGACTTCTAAACTTCCTTCGTACGTAAGGTTAGCAAGAAAGGAAACCATTGGTCTGGTCTGAGAGTACCCCTACTTTGAGACATACTCACATCATCCCATATGTGTCATATCCATCTGCAATGCTTGCAATTCTGTGCATATACCACGCTTTTTGGTTGCAGCAAAGGGAGTTCTGCGTTCAAATGTTCTGAAAGTTCCAAACTAAGCCTAGCATAGCCTAGCTACAACTTTTGCATACAGTACTTTTGCCTTACTCGTCCATTATTGGACGGGGCCGTTCAGAATTTCAGCATCTCTGCCGTCATCTCTGCGGCACCTTCTCCTCTGCCAGAGCAGACATCGTCGACACACTGCTCGAAGTAGCTGGAATGCGCGACAGATCCCAAGTGTTTCTGGCAGAGAGCCCTGGCATCAGCCTGCGCTTGGGGGTCACACATCTGGCTGAAAACCAAATTCTGGGGATGCACATCAAAGTTTTGAAGATATTGCTGGGCGTGAGAGCTACCACCAAGCTCCGACCAAGTTTTCTTGACCTCAAATTCTTGGTCCTCTCTCGTAGCCAGCTGCAACATTGAACTCTTCGAGCTCGGGTGCTTTTGGCCTTGCCCTTGAACTCCCCACTTACAAAGGCTTTCCACTTCTTCGCCATGTGCAGCTTCATGATGTGACGACCTTGTCGACTGACTTTCAATGTGGCAACCAGAACTTTCTCAGCAATGAATGGCTGAATCTTTTTCATATCCTTGCGCTGGTTGCCAACCAGCTTCATGCAAGAAGACGGCCCGGAAAGAAGCACCTCAGGAACTGTTGAGTTGACGGATGACCACTTCTTGGAGTTGCTCTGGGTTTGCCACTCGCAGCGTTCCGACGTGATATCCATGCTGGATGGCTCTGAACTCGAAGTATCAACCAACAAAAGGCCTTTGGTGAAGGACTGACGTCCGGCACAGTGGGCAAAGATTTGCCACTCCACATGGGGCTGCAGCACGCCAAAGTGCCATAGTAGGAAGGAACCTTCCGGCAGCAACGTGTAGTGGCTGCCATCCAAGGTATGGATATGCGGATCACCAAGCACGCCTGAGACTAATGATGGATTGATCAAACCAAAAGTTTGTGTCGGTGGGCTGGGCTGGAGTCAAAGTTACCAGGAAGGAAAGGATTGCCGGCAGCATCATGGACGCCCCCAGCTACAACTTGGAGTACAGTTCCACTACTTCCCTCGCGGAAAACCAGTGATGGTCCAACACTTGATGGTCCACCACCTGATGGTCCACTAACGAAGTTGAGGTTGACCAAAGGGCCCTGTCCCTGTCCTTCCAATAGACTCTTGATGGAGTCTAGCTCTGGTTGACGATTCTGATTCTTTGGCACACCAATTGCGTCGTACGTTGGCGCCAAGCCCCAGGGTTAAGATTAGAAACATCGTCACCCACGCCGGGACAGCCAGCCGACAAGACACCAGTGAAAGATACGAAAGATGGAGGCGGAATCTCAACCGTATCCACAATCAAACCATTTCCATCAAATGGTTGACTCGCAAAGGTCACCGTTGCCACCACGCGACGGTCCACATGCAACGAAGTTTTGATTGGCAACTCCACTGAGTTCAATGGTCATATCACCTGGTGGAACATAGGGCTTAAATTCACCGATGAAGATCGATGAAGTATATGCCGGCGGCTGAGACCTTGGTGACCTTGGTGGCCTTGGTGGCCTTGGTGGCCTTGGTGGCGAGGTGCAAATGAGAACTGATGTCGCATTCATTGGATTCGTTGGGTTCGTCGCTTTTCTGTCCACTGATGACCCCGAGGGCCAAAAGCAAGACATGGACACACAGTTTCATGTTGATGGCCGTGTATGCAAGCAGCGATGTACCGTTGATACTCGTAGGTCAAGGTTCAAATCACGAAAACTAGGTCTAGGTTGCTTGAGCCAAGCCAAGCGGTGACAAGGTACAATACAATGTACTTACTGTCAAAACCTGTCAAAACCTCGGTTGCACTCTCGATTTGGGGTTCACGCACAAAATTGAGACCGATTCATCCACGGACCGATGGTCCAGATCCCAGGCATGCCCAATGATCCTTCGGATCTGTGTCTGTAGTCTAGATGTCCGCCCTGCCTCTTGAAGGCTAGTTGAAGGCTAGAGGCCTCCGGGTTTTCAAAGTCAGAAGGTGACGTCATTATAGATGATGAATTGCCAACACACTGACCTTTTACTGTAGACCATTGTCAATAGTCAGAGAGTGGCATGCGAATTGTTTGACTCCAGGCAAAGGGTCCAGTTCTACCCTTTGTTTGGTGGTTTGCAAATCAAGAATCAGAACCCTGATGGAAAAGTCAGTTTACAGGTTTAGGGAATTTTTTTTGACTTTGCAGCTTTCAGAGGGCAGTGCCCGCAAGCAAAGGTTTAGGGAAAAGAAGACTGAAAAAGTAACTAATCAACCCTGTTCTCCTCGCAATTGAGCATGGGAACATGGACAGGGCCATTGGTTGGCTATTGTTCAACCTCTGGTCTGCCTGACCCTGCGGGCTTTGCTCGTCCAACACATTGCCTCAAGGCCGGTTGTGGGTCATGACTCGGAAACATCAAATTCTATCTGTTGTCATGGTCATTTTGTAAGTCTATATATCTCTATATACGTACATGTAATAGACAAAAAAACGTATATTGCGAATTATTGTTCATATAGTATCTACTACTATATCTATCATATATAATATATATATAAATATATTATATGTCAGAGTCATATATCAAATATCATCTATCATATTTCATATCCTGGTATTTATATATATGGTATATCAAATATCATCTATCATAGTGTCTGTTAAATATATATATATATACATTCGATATTACATTTATATGTATACTGTAAATATTCGATATTTTATATATATATTCGATATTATATATATATTCGATATTATATATATACATATTCGATATTTATATATATAGTATATATTATATAGTTATAATATATAGTATATATTATGTAGTATATATTATATAGTATATATTATATAGTATCTATTATGTAGTATATATTATATAGCACATGTATAGTATATATACAGTAAGTATTATAATATTTATATATGTATGTAATATAAATATATATATATATATATTATATCGTATATACTCGAGGCCCAGGGGTAAGGGACGAAAGCTAGCTTGTCAGGGAGCTTAGCATGAAAACGCAAAGGGCACAGCGCAGCTGCGCAGCTTTTTCGTCAACGTGGCGGAGCGGGCGTGAAGGTGGGGCATGTTGGTAAGGTGAACATGCAAAACCTACGTATTGAGGCGATGTTATATGCTGGAGGGGACCAGGATGAGAACATATGATTATTATGCACAGTTGCACGAAGAGGATGAGGAAATTCAGCACAGCCAACATGATGACTAGTCATTGGGGGAGATTCAAAGGTCCACCTTCGGCATCGGAGTGGACCTTTGGAAGCGCGGGAAGAAGTAACGCAGTGCAAAACCGAAGTTGAGGACGAGAGGTAGGTGTGCGGGCGCAACATGAAAATGAAGCTAGGCCAAGGTTCCATACAGTGTGAAGTGAGAAAAATGTGAAGTGGTGAGGGTGCAAAGTGAAGTGTAAGGTGCAAAGTGTGAAAGTGTAAAGTGTAAAGTGTAGTGTGTGGACTGTAAAGTGTAGAGTGTGGAGAGCACAGTCTACAGTGTGAAGTCTAAAGTGCAGAGTGTGGAGGGTTAAAGTGTAGTGTGGGGCGTGGGGTGTGGGGTGTCAAGTATAAAGTGTGGAGTGTAAAGTGTGGAGTGTCGAGTGTGAAGTGTAGTGTAGTGTAGCGTAGCGTAGTGTAGTGAAGTGTAGTGTAGTGTAGGGTAGTGTAGTGTAGAGTGTCAAGTGTAAAATTCAGAGTGCGGAGTGTGAAGAATAGAGTGCGGAGTGCCAAGTGTCAAGTGTGAAGTGTGAAGTGTAGAGTGTGGAATGTAAAGTGTAAAGTGTAATAGTGTGGAGTGTAAAGTGTAGAGTGCGCAGTATCAAGTGTAGTGTGTAGAGTGTAGAGCTTGGGGTGTACAGTGTAGAGTCTGGGGTGTAAAGTGTAAAGAGTGAAGTGTAGAGTGCGGAGTGTCAAGTGTAAAGTGTAAAGTATAGAGTGCAGAGTGTGGAGCGTAAAGAGCAAAGTGTGGAGTGTGGAGTGTCAAGTCTGGAGTGTAAAGTGTAGAGCGTGGAGTGTAAAGTGCAGAGTCTAGAGTGTGGGATTGCGTGGTGTAAAGTTAAATGCGTGAAGTGTAAAGTGTAGAGTGCGGAGTGTAAAGTGTAAAGTTCGCAGTGTCATGTGTAGAGTGTAGAGTGTAGAGTTTAGAGTGGAAAGTGTGGAGTGTAAAGTGTAGAGTGTGGGGTGTCAAGTGGAAAGTGTGAAGTGTAAAGTGCAAAGTGTGGAGTGTAGAGTGTGGAGTGTGGAGTGTAAAGTGCAGAGTGCAAACTCTAAGGTCTAGAGCGTGGAGTGTACAGCGTAGAGTGCGGAGTGTGAAGTGTAAAGCGTGAAGTGGAAAATGCAAAGTGCAAAGTGTAGGGTGCGGAGTGTCAAGTGTAAAGTGTGAAGTGTAGAGTGTAGAGCCTGGAGTGTGGGGTGTAAAGTGTGGAGTTTAAGGTTTAGAGTGCAGAGTGTGGAGTGTAAAGTATAGAGGGGGAGTGTAAAGTGCAAAGTGTCGAGTGTGCGCGTGTGTAAAGATGCAAAAGATACCGATGCTGGCAAGTTGCTGATGGTGTCCCATGGGGGTTTGAGCCCACGGCCAAACTGCTTGTGAACCGGGGGGAAGGGGAGGGGAGGTATGAGGGCAAAAGACGTAAAATGTGTCGAACGCACCTTCCCTGGTAAAATATGAAAATTCTCTCAGGGAACATGAAATTTCGACGTGTCAGAGTTGCCACATACAATAGGCCAAAATAACCACAGGTAACAATGCATAAGTTCCACAGGCAAAGAGCTGGAAAATATACTGTAAGTCACGGTTGAACAAGCACGATTCCTGAAGAATTCAGTTGTTCAAGTAGTGGAATATCAGCCTCCAGTTTTTCTCTCCACATTGCCACGAGATCACTGAGACTGTAATGGGACAGTATTTTAGATTTATGTTTTCCAACGGCCTTTTGCAGGAGCATGTGCCCCCAATTTTGGCGAACAATGGACCCTGCAAAGTCCCCACCTTCGATTCTTCTGCTTCCCATTTATCCTGGGAATAACATTTGTCCGAGATAAAGGTTGGTCACGCACCACCCAAAGCTCTCGGCTTAGCAGCCCTCTGGGTCACACACCTGCTGAGGCCAACACGTGCTGCCATTTTCCTTCAACTTCACCCTGACCAACGTGCATCTCTGTCGCTTTCTGTTTTCCTGCTGATCTTGCAACCTTCATTCTGCTCATACCAAATGGAGTCAGGTCGTCCCCGCCTGGACCCGTGGGAATGCGGAGAATGGCAAAGGTCTATCCGATGTCGTCGCACCTGTCGGCGCTGGTCCACTTGTGCGTCCCAACCTGTGCGCTTTGCAGAGCACTTCGTCGTCTCACATATCTTATGACATCATATCTTCCGAATTCTCCAAACCCCGCGGGTGCTTGGCACACCATGACACAATTGGACATTCGAGCCTCCCCGGAGATTCCATTGCCCAGCTTTCTCCCTTCGCGGACAAACACCCTGGGCATTGCTTCGTCTGATAGTCGAACCTTCCGGAGCAGCCTGACGCAGCACTGGCAAACAACATCGACGCCACACTGCTTACAAGTCACCTTGCAGTACCCCGTAAGGGGGGAAGACCCCATGTCATGACCATGATGAAGGTGGTATGATGTGACAGTAGAGCAATGCGATGGGAGAACCCTACTTGGGTGCCCCACGCCGGCATTCTTTGTACATCCCGTCCCTGTCCAAGGATCATCGGTGCCATTCCAGATACCTTGGCACGTCTTGGTGAAGAACAGGAGGCATCACAATTGCACCCACGGACCCCCTCTACCAGGTGCCCCTGTTGTATTTCGACTGTCCTTACCCGTGCTGACACTTTGGTCTCTGTTTGGCGATGCTAAAACCGATGCTTCGCCACTTACCATAAATGTTCACCTCTCATTGCACACAGATCGCTCTCTATTTGGGGTGTTCATGTCCATATCTTCCGAACTCTATATTTATGAAACAACGAGCCAGCTACACATTGGAAATCTTTAAAATATTTTTCATTTTTATCATTTTGATTATCATTGCATTTATCATTTCTTTGATCATTTTTTCAACGTTTTTTTTCCATCTTCATTTTTTAATCATGTTTTATTTTTATTTTTTATCATTTTCTTTATCATTTTCGTTTTCTTTTTTCATTTTTGTTTTCCTTTTATATTTGTTTTTTCATTTGTACTTTTATATTTTTTATGTTATTTTCGTGTTTTTTTGCAGTTTTCATTTCATTTTCCATTTTTTGCAGAATTTTTGCAGCACTGGAAGCAAAAATGATGAAACGTGATTTAAAAAAATGAAAAAATGATTAAAAAAAGATAAAAAATGAAAAACACGAGGAAAATTACAATTTTTCATTTTTTGGAAAATTTTTGCACCACTGGAAGCAAAAATGATGAAAAATGATTTTAAAAAAAAGAAAAAATGAAAACACTCGAGGAAAATTGCAATTTTCCATTTTTTGGAAAATTTTTGCACCACTGGAAGCAAAAATGATGAAAAATGATTTAAAAAAATGATTAAAAAATGAAAAAAACCCGAGGAAAATTGCAATTTTTCATTTTTTGGAAAATTTTTGCACCACTGGAAGCAAAAATGATGAAACATGATTTTAAAAAAAAAAGATAAAAAAATGAAAAAAACTCGGGGAACATTGCAATTTTCCATTTTTTGGAAAGTTTTTGCACCACTGGAAGCAAAAATGATGAAACATGAAAAAAAATGAAAAAATGATAAAAAAAATGGTAAAAAAATGAAAAAAAACGCGAGGAAAATTGCAATTTTTCATTTTTTGGAAAATTTTTGCACCACTGGAAACAAAAATGATGAAACATGATTAAAAAAATGAAAAAATGGTTAAAAAAATGAAAAAACACTCGGGGAAAATTGCAATTTTCCATTTTTTGGAAGATTTGTGCACCGCTGGAAGCAAAAATGATGAAAAATGATAAAACAAAAATGAAAAAAATGAAAACTCCCGAGGAAAATTGCAATTTTCCATTTTTTGGAAAATGTTTGCACCACTGGGAGCAAAAATGATGAAACATGATAAAAATAAAAATAAAAAAATGGTTTAAAAAAATGAAAAAATGAAACAAATAAAAAAACACATGATAAAAAAATGAAAAAATGAAAAAAATGAAAAAAATGAAAAAATGATAAAAATGATTAAAAAATGTTTAAAAAAATGATACCTAAAATGATTTTTAAAAAATGAAGATGGTAAAATAAATGATAAAAAATGATGAATGCAATGATAACCAAAATGATAAAAAAAGATGAACAAAATATTTTGGCCTGGCCCTGTGGCTGCCATTTTGTCATAACTCTATATGTTCTGGAACCCTTGCACTTGTCCTTGCCAGTGCTTGAAATCTGCCTCTGGTCTTTCCTCTTGTCATGATCTTAGGTGCTGACACACAGTGGAGATGATCTGGGCATCTGTACTCCTGACACAGCCCGCCCATTGCCTTACATCCTGTCACTTGCCGACACCTGCCCTACTACTTCCCCTTGCCCCACCTCTTTGGCGAGGAAGGTGGTGACAACGACTGCCGGCCCCCACTGGCCTCCACATAAAACTGAAACGTGTCTGACACCAACCCCACTGTACCCATCTTGCCTGTGGGCGGCTCGGCCGTCATCAGCCTGCATCGGAGCTGCGTCGGCTCAAACCGATGTTGGATCAGGCTGATGAACCAACACCTTGGTCACCCAGCTCAATGATGGAATGATGCATGAGATTGATTCTTCTTCTGAACTCATGGGAACATCCCCAGGCATGGCTGCCTGGAGTGTATGTATCCAAACACACGGTGAATGGCTGAGCAACCACCTCTATAGCACAACCAGTTTTTCGTCATGCCTACCGCCGTGTCAATGAGCTAAAAAATCTCTTCCGAATCGTTCGTCCGTGGGTCCGACTTCCAAGCTTGCTCTGTTGAACATGGTCTTGAATGGTTACATACAAACATTTGATGCCGATATCAAAATGTTTTACTCTGACCCTCTCTACGCTAACACCTTGGTTGAAGCCATGGAATATCTCTGCCTACAGAACAACTTCACATGTTCCGTCAACATACAACCTTTCCCCAGTCAACATGCACCCTGTGGGATTCAAATTCTCAGGCAACATCTTTTGTGCTTGCTTCCCTCAAAAGCTCTCTATGAATCTGCGCTTAGGCTGCCCGGCCCATCTTTCCAAAAGATGATCCCCGGCTCCGTTGGCTCAGCCGCCTTGTACCTAACAACAGCCATTCATGCTCAATTCATCCCTTTTTCCCGAGAGCGCCTGCGAAGGGTTCTTCGTAAAAAAGCAGCCGTTATATACATCTTCACACCCTCACATTTGCTGATCTACATCTTCACACCTTCACACCTGCTGATCTACATCTTCACACTCTCACATCTGCTGATCTACATCTTCACACCTTCACATTTTCACACCTTCACACCTGCTGATCTACATCTTCACACTCTCACATCTACTGATCTACATCTTCACACCTTCACATCTGCTGATCTACATCTTCACACCTTCACATCTGCTGATCTACATCTTCACACCCTCACACCTGCTGATCTACATCTTCACCTTCACATCACCCTCACATCTGCAGATCTACATCTTCACACCTTCGCATCTGCAGATCTAAATCTTCACACCTTCACATCTGCAGATCCCCTCTCGCTCTTCCTTCTAGCGGTGCCGCCGGAGCGCCACGAAACGCAACCCTTTCGCACGAAATGGACGTTGGACGTCAAAAACTGAGGAAAAACTGCGATTTTACTTTGTCCATCGCGACCCTTTCGCACGTAATGGACGTTGAGCGTCAAAAACTGAGGAAAAATTGCGATTTCACGGGTCCGGTCTCTGTGTGTAAAAGCTTCTGTGTGTAAAAGCTTCTGTGTTGAAAAGCCTCTGTGTGTAAAAGCGTCTGTGTGTAAAAGCGTCTGTGTGTAAAGTTGTCTGCGTGTAAAAGCCTCTGTGTGTAAAAGCTTTTGTGTGCAAAAGCATCTGCGTGTAAAAGCGTCTGTGTGTAAAAGTGTCTGTGTGTAAAAGCTTCTGTGTGTAAAAGAGTCTGTGTAAAAGTGTCTGTGTGTAAAGGAATCTGTGTGTAAAAGCGTCTGTGTGTAAAAGCGTCTTTGTGCAAAAGCTTCTGTGTGTAAAAGCGTCTGTGTGTAAAAGCGTCTTTGTGCAAAAGCGTCTGTGTGTAAAAGCTTCTGTGTGTAAAAGCTTCTGTGTGTAAAAACGTCTGTGTGTAAAAGTGACTGTGTGTAAACGCGTCGGTGTGTAAAGGAGTGTGTGTAAAAAAGCGTCGGTGTGTAAAGGAGTGTGTGTAAAAAGGCGTCTGTGTGTAAAGGAGTCTGTGTGTAAAGGAGTCTGTGTGTAAAAGCTTCTGTGTGTAAAGGAGTCTATGTGTAAAAGCGTCTGTGTGTAAAAGCGTCTGTGTGTAACGGAGTCTGTGTGCAAAAGCGTCTGTGTGTAAAAGCGTCTGTGTTTAAAAGCTTCTGTGTGTAAAAGTGTCTGTGTGTAAAATGGTCTGTGTGTAAAAGTGTCTGTGTGTAAAAGCGTCTGTGTGTAAAGGAGTGTGTGTAAAAGTGTCTGTGTGTAAAAGCGTCTGTGTGTAAAAGCGTCTGTGTGTAAAGGAGTCTGTGTGTAAAAGCTTCTGTGTGTAAAAGCTTCTGTGTGTAAAATGGTCTGTGTGCAAAAGTGTCTGTGTGTAAAATGGTCTGTGTGCAAAAGTGTCTGTGTGTAAAATGGTCTGTGTGTAAAAGTGTCTGTGTGTAAAAGCGTCTGTGTGTAAAGGAGTCTGTGTGTAAAAGTGTCTGTGTGTAAAAGCGTCTGTGTGTAAAGGTGTCTGTGTGTAAAAGTGTCTGTGTGTAAAAGCGTCTCTGTGCAAAAGCGTCTGTGTGTAAAAGCTTCTGTGTGTAAAAGCTTCTGTGTTTAAAAGCTTCTTTGTGTAAAAGTGTCTGTGTGTAAAATGGTCTGTGTGTAAAAGTGTCTGTGTGTAAAAGCGTCTGTGTGTAAAGGAGTTTGTGTGTAAAAGCGTCTGTGTGTAAAGGAGCCTGTGTGTAGAGGAGTCTGTGTGTAAAAGCTTCTGTGTGTAAAAGCGTCTGTGTTTGAAAGCTTCTGTATGTAAAAGTGTCTGTGTGTAAAAGTGTCTGTGTGTAAAAGTGTCCGTGTGTAAAAGCGTCTGTGTGTAAATCTTTCTGTGCGTGTAAACGCGTCTGTGTGTAAAAGTGTCTGTGTGTAAAAGCTGCTGTGTGTAAAAGCTTCTGTGTGTAAAAGTGTCTCTGTATAAAAGCGTCGCGTTTCTTCACATCCGAGGAATGATGGTACCGAGCTTTTTCGGCAATGTGTGTAGGAATTACCATGGCAAAATGAGATAACACATGTCATTTGTAGCATCATGGTACCGAGCCTCCTGTGCACTTTTGTTGCTCACATTATATTTCTCCATGTTTTCTTTCTATCTCCCTTTCCTCCTCTCTCTCTCTCTCTCTCCCCCTCTTTCTCTCTCTCTCTCTCTCTCTCTCTCACCCTCTCCCTCTTTCTCTCTCTCCGTCTCCCTCTCTCTCTCTCTATCTATGTCTCTCTGTGGTTGCAAGACACGTGTCATCTGATGCCCTTTAACAAATATCCTCTTCTTAATCAATCTTACTTTTCACACCTTATCCCTCCATAGCTCATATAAAATTCACCAACCATTCACCGACTATCTTTTACGACTACCATGTCAGAGCTGCTTGAAAAACATCTTTTTCGCTCTCGGGCCAACCGTCGTCTAGTTCACGTGACATGTCACCGGATGCTCCTGCACTGCCGCCAGGACACAGAGGTCGGCTGTTGTAACTGCCATGCGGCACAAATGCCCTGCAGCCACTGTCTTCTGTGTAGACCAGGTATACCTTCTTCTGGGCCTGCGTGGCTCCACACTTCAGTGGGCCCGATAAAATTCTTTCCACTTCGGACCACCCGTTGCGGCTTTAAACCCCATCAAACATTACGCTTCTGGATCTGGCCCAAGTTTTTACAAGAACCATTTCCTTTGGCTTCCTTTTTAAATTGACCACGAACAAAGCCCAAGACTGATGCATCATCCATTGCAAATTGCCCTCACACACCTTGTGAGGGTAGGATTTTCGTCTCTAGACATCATGAATCATGACCATATCCAGCCCATGTCACCCATGACCAAGAGCAACTACTGGCCCAGGACTGGAGGACTGTTACAATGGATGCCTCCTGCCTTCCATCATCATGTTCGGGCAAAGATTCCGCCCGAATTGAAGTTGATCCAGCAAGTAGCTGGTATTAGCACAAATAGACAGAAGCAGCTCACAAAGGCACTGCTCCGTCCCGTTGGTTACTGGTTGCAGTAGTCAATAATCCACAACAGTGCTGAGTTTAGAGGCCCTTCCATACTAAGATGGTTATGATTAGCATCCCGAATCAATAAAGCATGGGGTTTCTTCATTGGGCTCGCAGGCTCTAAAGAAAAAGCGGAATGTCACAAGGATACAAGCTGAGTAATTGATCAGGTAGGGTGGCGGTTACCTGATTAGGATACCTTAAAAAAATCTGTGTAAGATGGTTCTTGAAATTCTGTTTGGCTTGGAGCGGGGTGTTTCCAAGCTATACCTCTATATCTCTCTGTTGAGCCTTGACAGCATATATAAACTGTCCTCAGTACTCATTCTATGCCCTGGTAGGGTTGAGTCCAAAACAAAAACAGTGGAGGGGAGAGGGGGGGTAATTAACTGAGAAGTTTCTCTCGATTGGAGATTCCAGCCCCCCAATACCTCTCTAAAGCAAGAGGGACTTCAACTAGCAGAAGCTAGCTTTCGTGATGATATAGCATATATTATATAGTATATATTATATGTTATTTTTTATACATTGTATTACGTATACAATATATTATGTATATCCTATATCATATATCATATAGTATATGTATACATGTGCGTGCGTTTTGCAAATCATATAATATATATATATATAGAAAGAAAATTATTATGTGGTTATATATATATGCTATACGTATATTATACGTATATGATATGTGTAATTATTTATACGTACTCAATGTATGTATGTATATATACATATATATTTATTTACTTTTCAAATTCAATATACGAATATTTACATATACATATATATATATATATATGCGTATATAAAATTATATGTGTATACATGTGTGCGTGTGTATACCTTTATATATGCACATATTTTAGGAGTATAATATATGTGATGTATGTCTATAAATATGTTGTTTTGGTCTCTTCTATATTTCTATCGTTCTTCTATATTCTTCTATTCTTCTCCTTCATCCTCTGGTTCGTTCGTGTTTGGCTCAGATTTGTTCATTAAGCAAGCAGCTTGCCAGGGAAGTCTTTGCACGCAATGTACACCCTCGTAGCATTTAAAAGGACCCTGAATAGTTTCCTGTATATTACACTACTGGATATGGCCAATGTTGAATTTTGTATGATTTTGTGTTAAATGAAGGGTGTGTGTCCATCACATCTGTCTGATTGCCCAGAAGCTGCTGTGGATTTACCCAATCAGCGAAGTTCAGCCGCTGCCGGCCTTTGCATGGCACAATCTCTGCCACATAGCCATCATTCATGAGCTTGAAGACGTCACAAACATCTGACACTGCTGCCATGATCAGCAGGATTCGATCTTCCCTGGCAGTGGCTAAAGGATGCCACTGGGGCATAGAGGACCGAGATGAAAAGGCATCCCCTTTGCAGTGTTGGGGATAAAGCATGCCAAAATAGACTGCTCCCATCATGAACATGTCACCATGTCACCATATGTCACCATCCATACTATCTGCCTTTCGGGACTTGAACCATTGATCCACCTTGAAAAGCGCGATGTGACAACTTTGCCATCCAAGCGATGCACCTGCCAGCGACATCCAGCGACCGCTGATGGACAGCAAGAAACGTGACTCACAGCTGCACCTGAACCCGCTGGTAGTGGCATGCCTGGCAAACTTTTGAGTTGCTTCATAGGCTTCATTTTGGTGAACAATTGCCAGGCTTCCCCCGTCCAAAACCTGCAGAACAATGATTAGAAGTTGGGTGGAGGAATATGTGGGGATTTTTTCCGGGTGAGTTTGGGGATTTTTCTTCGGATTCCTGTTCCCTTATACTTGCAGCATTTAGAAGCTATAACCTTGGTTTTCACGTGGTATTTGCACGATTTTGCAGTTCTTATGTTTGTTGGGTACGGGGCGGCAGGGGTTAGGCGTTTAGGTGTGGGGTGGGGGGTGAGAGGTGGGGGAGTTAGGGGTTTGAAGGTGTTGAAAGTGTTAAAGGTGTTGAAAGTGTTAAAGGTGTTGAAAGTGTTGAAGGTGTTGGGGGTGTTAGGTGCTGAAGGTGTTGAAGTTGGTCTTGTTGTTGGTCTTGTTGTTGGTCTTGTTGTTGGTCTTGTTGTTGGTTTTCTTGTTGGTTTTCTTGTTGGTCTTCTTGTTGGTCTTCTTGTTGGTCTTCTTGTTGGTCTTCTTGTTGGTTTTGTGCTTCTTGTCCTTCGTGTTCTTTGTGGTCTTCTTGTTTTCCTTGTCCTTATTGTCCTTCTTGTTCTTCTTGTTCTTCTTATTTTTCTTGTTCTTCTTGTTCTTATTGTTCTTATTGTTCTTCGTGTTCTTCTTGTCATTGTCGTTTTCGTTGTCGTTGCCATTTAGGGGCTTAGGTGTGGGGGGCTGGGGGGGTCGGGTAAGGGGTTTGAAGGTTATAGATGATGCTGGTGCTGATACTGATGCTGATGCTGATGCTGATGCTGTTGTTGTTCTTGTTCTTGTTGTTCTTGTTCTTCTTGTTCTTCTTGTTGTTCTTGTTATTCTTGTTGTTGCTGTTGTTGCTGTTGCTGTGGTTGTGGTTTATGTTGTTGCCGTGCAGAGAAGAGAGGAGAAGAGAAGAGAAGAAAAGAAAAGAAAAGAAAAGAAAAGAGAAGAAAAGAGAAGTAAAGAGGAGAGGAGAGGAGAGAAGAGAAGAGAAGAGAAGATAAAAGAAGAGAAGAGAAGAGAAGAGCAAGAGCAAGAAACTCAGCCAATCTCATCCAGAGACTACGCAGAGGAAGGGAGACGAGCACATCGCATGATAGCACCCAAGCAGAAAGGAGAGAAGAATCCAAGCGCAGGCGAGGAACAGGAAAGAAACAAAGAGGCCAACAACATCCCCTTGTGAATTTCAACGGTCACCCAGTGTGCCCCATTCTATTGAGGTACCTGGGTTCCAGTGTAAGGGTACATTCTGAAAATCATTCTAAAATCAGGAAAAATCAAATTGCAAGAAATTCGCCTCCATAAAATCAAGAAAAAACAGCGCACCATGTGGTTACAAATGCCTGCGTGTAACAAACAAATCTATAAAATCAGGGACAGTGTTAAAGTTGGAACACCTTTTTCCCCTTAAAGTCATCCACCTGGTCCACTATAAAATCAGGATTTCCAAAATGGTGGTTTTACAAAATCTTTTGGGACATGCGGGCCCTTAATATTGGGTACCTATCTCTGATTTAAAATGGAGCTGTTTGAAAGGGGTGTCAATAGAAGCTGGACCCGGGTCCTTGATTTTAAAGAACGGTTTCTTTTGGGATGGTTGTGCCATCATCAATTTCCATAGTTTGCTGAATCAGGTTCAATACAAAAAAAGAAAAGAAATTAAGAACTGAAAAACGAAGAAATTGGAAAACAAGTGCCATTTTGGGTCACTTTTTGGCACCGGGATTGTTGAAGCAAAACCTCTGGATGAAATCGAAAAATAAATCCCTAGTTGGGGGGCCCTTCAAACCTGAATTTGCCATTTTGGATGGAAAGGTTAAAAGATGTTTGAAGCCTGTAATGACCCAACTTTGTGGAGTTTCGCGAGCAGGGAGGTTACACTCTGTAATTAAAGAAAGAGGGAGAGAGAGAGAGAAAGAGAGAGATTTGGTCCATTTTGACGCCGAGTACATGCACTTAGTACCACCAAATGATTTCTGAATCATCTGTGGAAAGGCAATGTCAACACGCGCAGTGTTAAAGCAAAGCCTTTCTATAAAATCGACAAATCAGTCTCTATCTGGGGGCCCTTAAAACCTGAAATGTTCCATTTTGGAATCCTGGTGTGTCTCACGATGTGGAAAGGGGCAAGGATGTTTGAGGCATGTACCGACCAAATTTTGGAATTTGAATAGGAGGCAGGAGGCGGAAAACATATGAACATAGCCCAGTTTCTGGAACTTTTTGATTTTGTAGAAACAATGGGTCCATATTGCAGCCGAGTACATGCATGTAGGTACCCACTGATTTCCGAATCACCCCCAATCCGTCCCACTTTCAAGCTGTGGACAGGCAACGTCGACACGCGCAGTGCTGAAGCAAAACCTCTCTATAAAATCAACAAATTGGGCCCTTAAAACCTGAAATGTTCCATTTTGGAGTCCTGCTCTGCCTCACGACATGGACAGGGAAAAGGATGTTTGAGGCATGTACCGACCAAATTTTGGAGTTTGAATAGGAGGCAGGGAGGCGGGAAATATATGCACAGAGCCCAGTTTCTGGAACTTTTTGAGCCTTTTTGGTTTTATAGAGACCGCCTCCAAAGGCCCAGCCTTCAAAGAATAAGAACAATAAAAAAACTACAAAGCTCTGTTCTTTCGGGAAGGGCTCCCAAGAGGTACCTGAAACGGTTTCAAACCAGTCTGAAATCCTCTCTATCTATCCATCTGGCTATTGTTTTTTCTCTCTCTCTCTCTCCCTCTTTCTTTCTCTCTCTTTCTCTCTCTCTCTTTCTCTCTCTCTCTCTACATCATATCTATCTATCGATTATATTATAACAATCTCTAAGATGTGGTTCAAGTGCTGCCCGAAACCTCAATAACTATCATATCAGTCAGATGCTGCATTGGCAGCTTATCAGACCCATTCCCCTTGGGCCTTGATAAGAATATTAACTGGATGCGGCGATCGCTTGCAACACCAAATTTGCTTCAAAAACCTCCCCTCTATAAAATCATGATCTGTGGGCCCACAAGTCAGAACCATAGCAAAAATAGTTTCTCCATAAAGTCAGGTTCCTGGGTCCCCCTGAATTGGTCATAGCCACATGTTGGCTTACAAATGGTTTACAAAAAGCCTTCTATAAAATCAGATTTTTTGTTTTTTTGGACACTTTGGGCACAGACCTCAGCTGTCTAAAATGTTCATTCTAAACTACGATGCTTGGGTATACCTATTTTATAGAGGAAATGTAAAGGGGTATCCAAGAACATTAAAGATGTACAAGGGTTAAAGAACCAGGACCATATGTGCTAGGGTCAAAACATCGTATATAATGAATGACCATCCATCTCATGATGGCAATCCTTATCATGGGTATACAAATCTCTATGAATGGATTCATGACAAATTGTTTTTATGGGAAAGTAACCCATGTTTTTGCCATGGCACATCAAACAGAAACAAGTAGAGAATTAACACAAACACCACAGCAAAACAGAACAACCCAGGAAGAAAAGCAGAGAAATGAAAGCAGACAAGCCAAGAAGCAAAGAAGAAGCAAAAAGAATAGAAAAGATAGAAAAGCAAAAAAAAACGGAGAAGCAGAGAAGCAAAGAAGCGGAAAAGCAGAGAAGCAAAGAAGCAGAGAAGCGAAGAAGCAGTAAAGCAGAAGAAGCAGAAGAAGCAAAAAAGAAGAAAGGCAGAGAAGCAAAAAAGCAGAAAAGCAAAAAAGCAGAGAAGCAAAAAAGCAGAAAAGCAAACAAGCAGAAAAGCAAACAAGCAGAGAAGCAAAGAAAAAGAATTGAAGCAGGAAAAAAAGCGAAAAAATAATAAAAAAGAACCCTAAAAGGCGCCCAAAAGCAGAAAGCAATGGAAGGTTTAACAAAAAGGACGGAAAAAAAAACACAAACTCACCCGAAAAAAAAAAACTAAATAAATCTCCTCCCTTAGAAATTTTCTCGGCGTTTTTGGGTTTTGGGGTTTTTGGGTAGGTCAAGTAGCATCATTCAAACGTGCTTTGCAAGTCACCACTACTGCACCCTGCCTGTACAGGTCCAGGACCCACTCGCACAACCTGGCGCAAGGCGTCGCTGAGTCACGGATCGATGTAGATCTTGATACCAGTACCTACCAGTAGTTGCCTATATATCTTTTTCTCTCTCTCTCTCTCTGTCTCTTCTCTTTTTCTAAGGCATCTAAGCCGAAGGAAAACGTATGAAAAAGTCTTACCATTTTCAAGGTCGCCTAGACGCCACACAAAGACACCGTGTCAATCAGCATCAAAACAGCAAGTATGATAGCGACAATGAACAAAGCACAAAGCGAATGCATGGTGAATGCCTTTCAAAATGTTTCCAAAATACACAGCACGTCACTGCAGCAAACCTCCGGTCCATTGGAGTCTGATGAGCAAAGCCGATCCCAGATGTTGCGCAAAGGCGGCTGTGGACGCTGCCAGGGTTCCCACTCCTGGCGCTCCTGGCGGGAAAGGATGCAGCAGCACACTTCTATCACTTATTGGATCGCGTTGGCACATCATCAAAAATCCTGTGATAAATCCCAAGTGCTATGGTTTTCTCAATTTGGTGTTTGACAAGGCGCGCAAGCGACATAAGGGTTCGTCCAAAAAAGGGGCACGCCCCAAATCCACTGCTTCATCATCATATTCCATATTATATAATTTCTTTTTCATTGAGGGCATCCCTATGTTCAGGCACACATACCAAATGGCTGCAAGCTCCTTGCCCCACGCAGCATTGGCCTTCCGCACGCGCACACACAGCAGGAGAAGGATTCGGACAACCGCTGGAATGCAACACTTAACCACTGTCACTAGTGCCCGAGGCTCTTGGAGCTGCAAAGCCACTTTGACATACTTAACAATCTCGAAAAATGAAAAGAAACAAACAACGCTGCCTCTTCCTCTGGGAACTTTAAAAGACATCAAACTATATTGATATATATATATATATAATGATATATCATGATATATACATATACAATCATATTATAGATATAGATATAGATATATATATATATTATAGTATAATGTATACTGTATCAAAACACAATACGCACGGAATTGCAAAATCAGAATCTCACTATATCTCACCACAGTTCCTCAGAGCATATGATGTTCACCTCTGTCCAGGAATCGTCAAACATGCCTCCTTTTTCGCCGCCACGGCAGAGTTTCCCTGCGGTCAATTTCTGGCCGGCTTTGGATCAGTAGATCTAATTTATCTACAGAATGTCTACAGAATATGTGGTTAATTTCAATGTAGCTAATTTTAATGTGTCTGTGTAGAGTATCTGACATTATATCTACATGTCTGTGTATGGAACTCAACAGTGCGATAGGTAGGATCTGCAAACACATGTAGAAAAATGAGATGCCACAGATCTTTCTGACCTTCAACAGCCTTCGGCAGCTCCACATCAAACATCTCCGATAATCTCCGATCTACCATGCCTACTCTCTGCTGACATCATGTTCCTTAAGGTCCATGTTTGAGACATGTTGAAACTCTATCTGATGCAAAGCATGCAACACATTGAAAAACCATATCTATTTCAAATCTCCCTAAATATCTTTACGACTCCCTTGCCACACGCCCAGTGAGACAAGCTGGGAATTGGACAATCCGCCACCACTTTTCAAACATCCCAGTGGTATCTTTGGATTGCCCACTTCCACTTTGGTATCTGGCCCGCTTTGCCTTCAAACGACTGCGCAAATACCAGGAATAGGCTTCTCGCACTGCCGGGTCCTACACATGCTGACAAATCGCACTGATGCACCTATGAAGTCTAACAGCATCCCACATGAAACCCACAGTATAATCAGTATATCCGCCGACCCCGGCTGCGCAAGGGGGAGCGCACCAGGGAACAGGAGTTTGCCACTGCCGCAGCCAAAAACAACAACAGCAACAACAAGTACTAGTACTAGTACTAGTACTAGTACTAGTACTAACTACTACTACTACGACTACTACGACTACTACTACTACGACTACTACTACTACGACGACTACTACTACGACGACTACTACTACGACTACTACGACTACGACTACGACTACTACTACTACTACTGCTACTACTAGTACTAGTAGTAGTAGTACTACTACTACTCCTACTGCTACTACTACTACTACTACTACTCCTACTCCTACTGCTACTGCTACTGCTACTGCTGCTGCTGCTGCTACTACTGCTACTATACTGCTACTCCTACGGCTACTGCTACTCCTACTACTACTACTACTACTACTACTACTACTACTACTACTACTACTGCACTACTACTACTGCACTACTACTACACTAGTACTACTACTACTACTGCTACTACTACTATTACTACTACTACTCCTACTCCTACTCCTACTCCTACTACTACTACTACTACTCCTCCTCTTCCTCCTGCTCCTGCTCCTGCTACTGCTACTGCTACTACTACTACTACTACTACTACTACTACGACTACGACTACGACTACGACTACGACTACGACGACTACTACTACTACTACTACTACTACTACTACCTGTACTACTGCTACTACTACTACTACTACTCCTACTGCTACTGCTACTGCTACTGCTACTGCTGCTGCTGCTACTACTGCTACTGCTACTCCTACGGCTACTGCTACTCCTACTACTACTACTACGACTACTACTACGACTACGACTACTACTACGACTACTACGACTACTACGACTACTACTACTACTACTACGACTACTACTACTACGACGACTACTACTACTACTACTACTACTACTACTAGTACTACTAGTACTACTACTACTACTACTACTCCTACTACTCCTACTCCTACTACTCCTACTACTCCTGCTCCTACTACTACTACTACTACTACTACTATTACTACTACTAGTACTAGTACTACTACTACTACTACTCCTACTACTCCTACTACTCCTACTACTACCACTACCACCACTACCTGCAATGGAGCAGGAACAATACTACAACAGCAGCAACAGCAGGAACAACAGGTCCTCAGAACGTTTTGGGGTGGGGCCCAAGTAAGGTTGTGTTTCCCTGTTTCGCAAACGCCCCTACAGTTTGTGTCCTACAAGCTCGTTGGCTGCTAGATTTGGCTGCTTTGGCTCGTAGAAAGGCAGCAGCTGCTGGCAACGATATATACTATACGGACAAAGGTTTGTACTGTATTTGTCAGGTTTCAGAAGAGACGTCAGGGGTTTTGGAGACGCACTTGGGCAAGCCATGCTGTTTCAGCGTGGCGAAGGCTGCCTTTCAGTGGCAACAACACCAGCAGATCCAGCAACAGTCTTCACTTCACTGCCATGGTAATCCTAGCCACAAACCCCTGCAGCAGCAGGATGAGGAAAACTATGGCTATGATCCCCTTGCTCATTTCGGGTGATGTTGCTTCCAGGTGATTTTATAGAGAAAAAGGGTCTACAGAACACAAGTCCATCCATGAGAGAGCCCCCGAACGCATTGCAAAATGGAAGTCTATGGAACCCAAAATGGCTGCCCACTACAAAATACAAAACAAAGATCAGTACGAACCACCAAATAAGGGCTGTCTACAAAATATATTCAAAAAAAAGTTGCCCCTTCCAGGCGTCGTAAGTGTCCAAAACAGACCGTGTGGGATATGCTCAATCCTGCGTTTTGTAGAGAAACCATCAGAAACCCTTGTTGCGGTCTACGAACTCCAGTTATTTCTCCCCCGCGGCTCTTCTTATGGCATGTCTTAGCATGTCCTAGCACCAGTATGAAAACATTCCGGCCTTGAGATTGTCACTATCTTGCAGCTGTAGCGGATGAATTTCCAAAAATGTGCATGGTATTAATCATAGTTCCAATCTATTTTCTTATTTTCCAGCTCTTGGTGTGGTGCAGCTGCTCAGCTCCGACCTGTCCCGACGGTTTTCAAAATGAAAATGCGTTTAGGCTTTAAAGAAAAATAAAGAAAACATATAATACAAATGAAAAATATAAGAAATATATTATATAGTTTACTTTAAAACATGTAGAGAACACAGAAAATGTGGAAAATATAAGCTTAATTTTGTTTTTCTGTGTTTCTCTTATCTTTCCATTTTGAATGAACCATTTCGATGAGGAAACGCGCAAATCATTCACCAAACATGGACATGCATGGGGCCTCTACAAAATACAAAACCAAGCATGGCAAACATCCATTACCACCTCTACAAAATAGAAGTCCATCCAATCTACTCCCATCAAAACAAGACACAAAAATGCAAAAAAATGCCTCTACAAAATCATTGCCTAGCAAACTAGGGTCTTGCTGCAAAATGCATCTTTATTTTTTTTACGACGCTCAATCCTGTATTTTGTAGACAAAGTTGGGGTTTGAACTGGTGACCCTGCACTGGCTCGAGAGGTGTCAGCACCTCATTATTTTGTAGAGAAAATGATTACAGGGATTGGCTATCAACACCAGCCAAAGCAGAAGCAGCAGCAGCAGCAGCGGCGGCGGCAGCAGCAGCAGCACAACTAAGACTATGTGTAAGGAGCCAAAGGTTGTTAAAATGTGTAAGGACACAAAGTTTGCTGAAAAAGATCTGAAGTTGCCCTACATGTCAAGTTGATGACTTGCTAAAATACATGCACTTCAGCCCAATATATCAAACCAATGGACCTGGAATACGTTTTTGCAACATGTCTGAATTGATCCAACATTCTTGTGCGAAATTCTCTTTAGCATGTTATAGATTTGCTGCGATGTCCGAAATCTCTGGCCTTTCCCGGCTTCTTCACATTCTTTTCCAGGGTCGGCGGCAGGGGCGGCAGCCCTTTTACAGGTACTTTTTTAAGTCTACTGAACATGGAAAATCTCGGCAAGCATCAGATATCATATCATATCATATCATATCATATCATATATATATAATTACGTATATATATATTATATATATTATATATATGTATATACTATATATATTATATTATATATATTATATATATATATATAATATATATATATTATATACATATATCATGGGGATTCAACCAACCACTCTCCCCAAAAAAGGTGATTTACCAAGTAATGAGGGCGCATTGACATGCATTAACCATCTGTTTTTGGGAGGGTTAAACTGGCTACCTTTGGGGTTGATTGACGTTGGTTGAATCCCGATATTTCTCCCTCCCCGAGTCCTGCAGCTTGACTTTTTTCGCCGAGTCGGTTCCGACCTCGGTGAGACTTCTGCGACCTGGAAATCCTGGAAGTTCAAGGGGATCTGGGGGAGTCTGAGATTAAGACTGTACATTGCTATTTGTACAAAATAAATCGAATGTCAAAATGTTCATAAATGGACAGTAATTGTATGTAATTATATATATATTTATAATTATATACATTCGTTCGGTGGGTCTAGGTGTCAAAAAGCATCGAGCATCAGCATTTGCAACTCAGAAACACGTCTCTCCTAAACTTTCAAGCCTCGATAACCTTGCTTACCAAAGGCACAGCCCCACTTCCCCAAGTCACCTACCGGACCTACCGGTCCATCTTGTTGGAGCACCTTCAGCAGCTCCATCACCTTTCCAGATCCAATTGGAAGCTGTGGCTGTGGCTTTCTCGGTCTGTGGCTGTGGCATGATGTGTTGATTGTGTCGCCATGTGTCGCCTCCTCACATTGCTCTTGCTGAAAGGCCACTGCCAGCGGCTCGTATCCATCATCGCATGGCTCTGTAGCCTCCGTTGATCCATGTTGGCTCAACAAATTTGCGTGTCGCTACATCATCTGAATTGTCCGCATCTATTTCCATCTTCTGCCTCCGGATCGATGCTTTCCAAATCTAAAGCTCTTGGAAAGTGGTGCTTGGTTGAAAGATCCTGGCATTTCAATCCCTGCAGCAACAAAACTCTCAGACCTAATGATTCAAAAAAAAAAACGCGAAGGTCATCTATGAATCTGTGCACGTGTCTAACGCATTATCTTTGGGGAGTTCCAAATGGAACATGTTTGCAAGTGAAAATCCTCCATCTGGCAGTCCTCCAAGGCTGCCTCACCTGCTGAGATCAAGGCATAGATCCACCTGAAATCGGAGGAGAAGACCATTTCCACTGTGAGGCCTTTACCTGAGACGGGCAAAGCATCTCCATGGACTCCAAATGGCCATGGCGAAATCCAGATTACTTGAAGTTAGCCAATCATCACCAATCACCTCAGTCAGGAGCCATATGTCTTATCATATTATAAATATATAACATTTTATAATCATGGAGTAAGTAACATTTTATAACATCACGATCATCGCATATGATCACCACTTGCTCCATTGAGGTCCTGACCCGCCAGCATGGCTACGATGGAGTTGCGGATCAATGACCTCAAGGGCCGAAGTGCTATGGTTTTGTTGAAAATTGTTGGGAAACCTGAAACAAACATGGTAACATGATGGAAAAATGGCGCTTGGCAGTTGGCATGTGTTTTTGTTCCTACACTACAAAGATTATAAGTAGGTACCCGGTATAAGTAGGTACAAGTAGGGATTTGGCACACAAAGTGTCGGTGAGTATCACAGCATCCCATGGCTCAGTTGCCGACAACAAATCGGTGGCACTCGACAAGTTCGGATCCAAGGTATGTTGGTAAAAGACCTCGCCTCAGCAAGTAGCACAGCCTAGCACAGCCTATCAGAAAGCCACAAGTTGTGGCACCACCAATCTTCACCAGGTAACTTGGAGCATGCCCCATTTCCACATCCATCTCGGATTCATGGCCTTCGCCGCCAGTTCAAAATTCTGCAAGTATAATAACTTAGTATGTCCTGGTGTCTCTAGAAGCTAAATCAGGATTCGCTTTTCCAATCTGTCGCAACACTTTTATCATCTTTTGTTCTTGATTTGTGTAGGGCCTTGAGGTGCAAGTGAGCAAGTGCCTCAAATTTCTGTGAACCGGTATTAGAAGCATGCACGGCTTGTATTGAAGTAGAGGTTGGAGCTCGATGGAGCTGTTGTCTGGATTCCAGAGGAACAACCACTGGATGATTTTGCTAGTCCAAACAGTTGTCCTGGTATGTCCTGGTCATTGGGTGTCCATACTATGCCAGAATCCGACTGAGAATCAAGCATGCCATCTTTTAATATTGTTTACACGTCATGCGCTCGTCAATCGCTCATCAATGAGTCCAGTAAGCATATCTGAATCTCATTCAGAAGCTCCAATATCCCAAGTATCCGAAAGTCTTACGGTTGCAAGTATAGAGGACGTGTTCACAATGCTTTGCCGGCCTGCCGCGCCGCTGGTATCCTTGGGCACCACTTGCGCTGGTGAGCTTGGGGGTATTGCAGGACGTCATGGTGTCACTGGTGATGACAAGAAAAGGGACACCAAAGGGTTACTAAAATGTGCAATCAACTTCCCTTCCTGTCTTCCAAAGTCTCCCTGTGATGTTCTCACATTCTTCCTCTAGTCCACCTTGCCTCCCAAATGCATCAGTTGGATATCTGATTTTGCAAATACAGCAGACAGTAAGTAGAAATCAAATAGATATTAATAAGTGAACATGATGATATCCAAAATCAAAAAGGATCTACCTGCACAAACACACAACTGGCCAACTTGCTCATAGCCTTTTTTCCTCTCTCAATGCCAAGCTCCACACAACACGCCGGAAGCTACCTCCATGACTCAAACAACCTCAGTTCTGCTGTGGGCCATGATAGGAAATTGCTTTAGGTGGTTGGCGTCAGTGTTTGCATCTCCTCACAAACCACTGGGTGTCAAAGCGAAGCTGCTTCTTAGCCTCGGCTGTCATATGCAGCTGCCAGCTGCGCATGTCAAAGTGTCATCACTCTGGCATGGTTGTCACTTGCGCACCTTGACCGGAATTGAATGATGATGCATGATATATATATAATGTATATATATAGCATGTATATATATATAGCATGTATATATATATATATACCCGAGGGGCTAGGACTTCTCCGATGGGGTGGGGTTGGGTAGGGTGGGGCTGATAACGTTCAAGTACACTTGCGTACAGGTGTGATGCTACGCAGTTGTACGTTCACTGGCACGTCAGCAGACTTATGATGCTACGCTGAGGATGACCATGGGAATGTTAAAAAGAAATTTCAGACAGAACATGATAACAAAGAAATGTAAGTAGAACACACACACACAAAAAAAAAACTGACTATCAAGATGCGGCTTGGTTCACGATAAGAAAACACTGCAAATACCAATGCAAAATGGCCTCTTTCATGTTCACTGGCGTTTCCCAATGAATTTTACATGTTGTTCATTTAAAAATGAATATGTTGAAACAAAAAACACAAATAAAAACAGGGAAAACCAACAGTTCTAAACCTTGCAGACAGACAATAATAACAAAGAAAATATTAGTAGAAGACACAAGAACCTCTGACTAGCAAGATGCGGCTCGGTTCACAACGTTACAGAATACTGCAAATACAGAAAGGCCCTATCTCATTTTGACTGGCGTTTCCCAATGAATGTTACACTTTTGTCATATAGAAATTAACATGTTAAAACAAAAAACACAAAGAAAAAGCAGGGAAAATTAACAATTCCAGGATAGAGGAACCAATGAAGAGTACATTCTGTACTTCAACTTAAACGGACGCAAAAAAAAATGTGCGATATTGTATTGTCCGTCAAAATTCAAGTTGTCAAGACAAATCACCATGCTCAAATACCACAGCGAAAACACGATTTTCAACATGTCCAATGACCCACAAACATGACATATCGGAGAACTTGGCGCCCTACCGTTTATGTGTATATATATATATATGTACATACATATATATGTATATATATATATTGTATATATATATATATTATATATAATAAACATTAATATGCGTTTTTCATGTTCTATAACATACAGTATCCAAATACCCATGCAAGTATGTCCAGCCTCTTCCACGGGAGGTTTTGATGCTCCTGGTTGCTGCAAGGTGACAACTGCGGTAGCATCTCAATCAAACGCTAATGATCTGCTAAGCTAGTTGTCAAAATATGTCAAAATAAGAAAGTGCTATTGATGCAAGAACTCCCTCAGAAAATCTGTGCAAAACGTCCATCAGTCTCTGTTCACGGTGATTGGAGACCATCAGCAGCCCAAACTGAATTTTCTCAAATCTTTAGCCACTTTACAACCTCGCCTTTGCTTTGGGGCCAGTTTTCCTGCAAGCGGCCAAAGATGGGTGGATCATCTCAAGTCCAGCTAAACTCTTTTCATACTCAGCCATCTACAACACATAAATCTATCTAGACCTTGCTGCATCTATCTAGAGGCTGATTGCAATGTGACAAGGGGAAACAAATCCCCGGGCCACAGGTGGGTACCTTAGTACCTTGCAGACAATGTAGGACAATGTAGGAAGACGAAATGATCAGCGCATGGAATAATGAGTCAAAGCCTAGCATTGATTTTCTGTGATCATACCAGTAGCCGTCAGTAGCCACAATATCACAAGCCGCGTGGCTCTTCCAAGCTCTCGTGAAGCGGATAGACAAGCTGAACATTACTCAGGCCACCTCAAACATCGATCAGTCTCCAAGGGCACCTCTTTTCCCTTTCCTCTGATCCAGGGCCGTAGATCCCCGAAAGCTTTGAGAAAGGCTGCCTGGCATCGGCGGCTTGGTGGGGTTGGATCAAGTATCCATGAAACTGTGAGGTCTGTCCATGTCCCCGCCTCCGTGGAAGCCTTTTCGTCACGCAGAACGTCATGGTACAAACGCCGTGCTTCGCTTTCACTGACACCCCTCTCCACCTGCCATGGCAGTAAAACAGGTGCTAGCAAACATCAGCACATATAGCACATGCTCAGAGATATGAATCAAATGAATCAAATGCACAATCATAAAGATATATATTATATAAAGATCATGGAAGTTCGAAGGACGATCTTGGAAAGTCTGCACCTCTAGTCATTCTGCATTGCAGTTGAGACAGGCAAGGTCTTACCCGCATCAAACGGGATGGATTTGAAGGAAAATGATGGGAAAACACGGAAATCCATCAAAATCCCATGGTTATATGATATGTTTATCTAGATACGTCAGTTTATCATAACTCTCGCGATAAGATCCACTAAGATTATCTAAGATTGCTATTTTGGAATATGTTAGATAAATCCAAGGTATTCTAATTCCGTACTCACCATTTTCCGGAGAAACATGCATGTCTTGGTGAATCAGCATGTGATTGAAACGCCTTGGACAAATCGGGGTTCTTCCATGATCCTGCAAGGAGACCTTGACTGCGCCGCTGTTCCGTGCCAGCAGCGGGAGGTTTGGTTTGGTGAATTTAGTGAACCTCTTAGACACAGAGGCTTTTGTGACAAATGCGGCAAGGAACAGTTTGTATCATTTTATATCTCTTTGCACCCGAATTCTGCATCAACCAGTCGCGTTGCCTTTCACCATCTCCCCCTCAAGGATTAGACTTCTGGGTTTGAAGGTCCCTTTTTCATCCCGTACCAAGTGACTGAAGATATCCTTGCCAAGGCAGCTCAAGCCTAACCATGGCCATCCATGTCTTCACGAGGGCATGACTTGCAACAAGAAGCACCTGCCTCGATTCTCCTCAAAGTCTGGGTTTGGAAAGACCTTGGTCAGGTGTTGCCTCAATGGCTTGGGGTACCCCAAAACCATAGGCCATAGGTTTCACCCACACAAAAACGCCCAAATTTTGGTATGTAATTCTGATAATGTTTGGTGATTTTGGGGTCCCCCAGCGGACAGTGTGCAGTGTGGATGTCTACAGACCAGGGCCCAGGCGATGGCCGCGTCAAATTGTAGACTCTTGCTCCACCTCAGGCGAAATTCTGGGGTAATTGATAGAGCAAGTCACCAAGTTCCCAGCTCTCTATCACTTGTTCGAATGACTCAGAGGTTCACAAAAATCCAACATTCCACAAAATCCATCAAAATCCCACAAGACCATCCAATATGCCCTGGACAAAACTTGTCGAAGAGACTGAGAAGAAACGAAACTGGTGCATGTCCGGGCCCCAGACAAGGCTCTGCGCTCCTGGGATGGGAGGTTACCATTGAGGTTACCCACCAGTGGATGTGGTTGGGAAACTCTTGGTATCTTTGAAATTAGCTCTAACTGGCTCCCCATTTCTTAATGGGAATATGATGGAATATGAATACCCATACGACTCCAAACAGCTCCCTCCTAACCATTGAATAGCTGTGATCCACTGCTTTTCCTGCCACACCACACCTGATCCTGCAATGATCGCATGCGGCCCTTGAAGAGCTCCTAGGCAGAGATAAAAACGTGCACAAAATGAGTCCAACTTGTGGAAAGTCTAAGCCAACTTGGAAATATGTTGGAGATAATGTGGTAAAGCTCCATACAGAAACCATCTCCAATGTTGGATATGTTGAAATATTGTCAGTAACTTCGGAAAACCATCTGATAATTCATGATCATCTGTACCTTTCCGAGCAGATGTTCCCATGATTGTCTATGATGCCCAGCCACGCCTCAACAGCGATCTCTTGCGTCCCATCAGGAGCTGGTTCTCCGGGTGACTCTGGTGGTTCTGCCGGTGGTGGTAGAGGAGGCAGTGCCAGTGGTGCACGCACAGCTGGAGCCTCCCAATCAACAAACTATCGCAGCTTCATCTGCGAATGATCAGAAAACTGGGCCCCAAACATCCATTGTCAGTTGAGTGATTCCATGCTGGTAGATTTGTTCGCGAGGTTTGGAGACCTCCAATTTTTGACCCATCACCACAAAGAAGAACGGACTTTGGAATAAAAAACTCCGGGGGAAACCTGAAAATTCAATGTTGTGAGACACAAGGCTGCAGCACTGGTAGGCACTGGTCGGTCACATCTGGTTCATGAATATATAATTAGTACCAAATTGGAGAACTCACCAGCCTGTGGTGTCCCCAAGGTGAAATGATATCGTTTATTGTTTGCTGTATCTGCATCCACCTTCCAACTTGGATATTTGTCGTGGCCGTCCTCCTCAACGGGTCGGAAATTCCCCTTGTCCTGCTTGGTGCGAATCTCCTCCACCAAGTCCTGTTGAAAAGCGGGTCAGCAGTTGAGGGTACAACCAGAACCAACAGGTTGATCAAACAATGAGGTCCACACAAATTGGGGAACCCAAAGCACTCCACAGAGCTATATATATAATATATATATATATAGCTTGTAGCTTGAAAAGATATCAATGCACTTTTCTCAAATATGTATTGGCTTCCTGAGAAGAAATATAGACTTTTGAAGGAGAATACTGTAGTCAATGATTGCACTGTCTTGACGGACCTAGATGGAGTTAATAAACACGTCTTTGTGTGCCACACTGGGTGCTGAGTTTTCGGAAATTCCGCAGCCAAACCTGCTGCTCATTCTGACAATATCCAGGTAGGTGTCTTGATGATCACATGCCCGTAAGGTTCAACATCTTCCTCGTCATGCGTTTATTTCTGTATAGCTTCAAGAACTACAAAATTGGTGAAAAAGCTTCCCCTGCACGCTCCCTCATATATTTTGGTCAGATCAGTCAGATCCATTTTTGGCTGATTCCCCTTTTTCTCAAGCCTGCTTCTTTTGCTGATTCCCCGCTTTTTTCTTCTTTCTGATTCCCTTTTTGCTGATTCCGCTTTTGTTCCCTGTTTTCTGACGGCCCTTTGTTTACACACTCCAGGCTAAGGCCAAGTAACTCCGAGCGCAAGGAATATCGAAATATCCAAAATCAAAGGTTTGAGGATGGCGACAGTCCGAACATATTAATTAAAACATATCAAAACATATCAAAACTATGTGTTTGAATCAGTGCTTAAACGTACGACGTACGGGTACCTTATCAATGGAAAACGGCAGTCCTGCATGTGCATGTAGCTCCGTGACAGCGCAAGACTCAAGTGGTTGCTGCCCGTGGCCTCACAGGTCATCCCGTGTGAACAAATAGTCCAACCACATCAGACCATATCAGACCACCCTGAAGAAAACCGGCGAGGTCGTGTTGCACACTCTTCATAGGCAATGTTTATACATATTTTACACATCTTTACACATATTTACACTCTTTGACATAATATGACTACACTTTTCTGAGTTTGTGACCATCCGTGCAATCACGGAGTCCAGATCTGCAAGCCCTTCAGGGTCTCGCCAGAAGATATGTTCAACCCAAGAATTGGTCTTGAATCTTGAAATTGATTCATCGTACACAATAATGTCCTTCATGTCCCTTCCAAGATTTAGTATGTGAGACAAACCAAGGCAGCTTTGCCATGATTCCCAGCATATTCTAAGCATTTCGGCATATGTCGGCGCTTCACTGGCAATCTCATGCGGCCTTCAACTCGGCGGTCAGGCTTCCTGGATACATCCTGGATCTAGAGATGGGGGCTTTCCCGTCCCAAAAATCTCGGCAATTTGAAGGGGAGAAATATGGAGAAATCCATCCATAATAAGAGCACCTTTATTATCTTTATCAAACCAATTTCAAGTGAAGGAGAAAAAACATACCAAGAGAACCGGGGACCTGCAAAATTGTAGGGCCAGTGAAAAAAACCGGGGTTTTACAACAAAAACCAGGTTCTTAAAAAGAACATGTTTTTTATCGCCCTGATATTTCATCATCTTTTGCACTTGCCCCATCATATCCACACGAATCCACAAGAAACCATTTATCATTCCTGACATCCCTGTAATTTGAGAAAGGAATGCTGAAGGCGTCAGCTTGGAGGCAGCAAGTCATGGATCCAACTTTTTGGGGCAAATTTGTCCTGCAAATTGGGCCTAAACACCCGTCACAGGGCACCGAGGAACCAGAGCCTTCTGCCCAGTTTGAACCAAATACGGGTTCGCTACGGCATCATGACGGGTTCGCTACGGGATAAATACGGTTCTTTAAAAGAACCTATCTTTTCGTGCGCCAGTGCTAAAAAAACATATGTTGTTCCCCAAAAAATCAAAAACCAAGAAAAAATGTTAGGATGTGTAGCTCTGGTCCCTCATCCAAGGCAATTAGATAGAAACCTCTCTCCTAATTTTTTGTTCCTGCTGTTCAGGGGTTTGCTATGTATCCAGGGTTTTGCCTTTAGAGCATGCCTGTGGACAATGACCAAAGCAAGTGTAACACATGATTTGCACCATTGGATCTCTTGATGCGCACCAATGCATCACTTCCTGTGACCATGAGCAAGTGAGCACGTGAATCACTTCCCGTGACCATGAGCAAGTGAGCAAGTGCATCACTTCCTGTGATCATGAGCAACTGAGCAAGTGCATCACTTCCTGTGACCATGAGCAACGGAGCAAGTGCATCACTTCCTGTGACCATGACCAAGTGAGCAAGTGCATCACATCCTGTGACCATGGGCAAGTGAGCAAGTGCATCACTTCCTGTGACCATGAGCAACTGAGCAAGTGCATCAGTTCCTGTGACCATGAGCAACTGCATTGTCACTCAGTTCATATGCTACTGCTTTGCCAAAAATCTTGAGCCAATCTTGAGCCTAAATACCTACATATGACTCCACAATATATATTGTTATGTATATAATTTATATATATATAATAAATATACATATATATATATATTATATATATATATTTGCTTAATATATTATATATATTATACGATAGATAATATATATATATATATCATCAACAAACACACACTCTAAATCTCGGTTTGCTACTTGCGGACTGGGCGAGCGCATTTGCATTTAATGTGTTGTGCAGCACCAGTTTACTTCCCAAGTTCCCTAAATGTTGATTACAGGGTTAAGATTTTGCCTGCTCTAAGCGAAATGTTTCTGAAGTCGGACGATCGAAGGTTTGTTTGTCGTCTCTGTTTTACTTAACCCAAAGAAATCTGTTTCAGTAGCTATTATATGAAACCGTATGAAACATTTACAAGAGGCCAAAGGCCCAACGCGCCAACCAGCTCTATTTCCCCTGGATTGTGACTCCATTCTTCGATGATGCCTCCAGCAAGGGCTGGGGGGCACAGTGAACTGCCGCCGACTTTATTTTAATAAAAAACGTTTAGATTTCTTTCCAAGACAATCTCAGTCTCTCTGATCCAAACAGTTTCTATGTTGTTTTTTCTTGGTCATCCTTTACTACATGGCAATTTTCAACAAGGCTCTGAACATGATTTCCAATGTTCCGTTTTTTTGTGCCCAGCTAGCCTCTGGAAGGCCCGGCCTCAGAAAAACCAAAAATGTGCGATTGAGACCTTTCTATTGGCATCTGAAATGCAAGTCACTGACAAGTTTGAGATGATCCGCTCATTGTTTTTTTTCCCTCACAGGGAATCCACGCTTGAAGAGCCTTCGATCTCGCATCGGTTTCGGTTCAAAATTTTCTGAGCTGCAGTTCAGCTCTTGCCAAGTTATGGAGAGCCATGTCAAAGAGTGCCACGCCAATTTATTGGGGGGTCCATGTCAAAGAGTGCCATGTTAATTTATTGGAGGCCCATGTCAACTTATTGGGGGTCCATGTCAAACAGTAACATAACCCTTCAGTATCAAATGCCGTTTGTTTAAGGTTGGAAAGGCCAACATTCCCAGAACTGCATTGGCTGACATTTGAACGAAAAACAACATAGTAAAAACCATTCATCCCCAGTACATGTAACTTAAAATGCATTACATGTTAACTGAAAAATGATGAAAAATGTTTGAGATGTGTGCAGGCCCACTGAACTGACATCGCATTTCAGGCAAGCAAACTTGCTAGTCTCAGCGAAAAAATCCGCGGCAAATCTCAGAAGGCCGGGAAGTCTCAGTCAACATCCTGAGGATCCTGACACAGGTACAGGCAGGGCCATTGAAACTATGACACATTATCACAACTTTCCATTTTCATGACACAGGGGATTGAGAAACTGTAACAAGGTTTTGCCAAACGATAAAAATCCTCAAGGTTGTAATTTGTTTATTGATGGAACTCCCACTCTTTTTTCCCAAGGGCCTCCACTTCATCATCCTCCTCCACATGTTCTTCCTCCTCTCCTTCGTGAGATTCCTTCGTTTCACCATTGTCACCTTCAGCGGTCGTCTTCTCACTGGCAACAGGTTTCTCCGCCTTTTTCGCAGCTTCCTTGATCATACATTCCTTAGTATGATGCTGATGGGGTAATGCATGAACTCACGCTGAAACTCAGAAGGAACATGACTTGGGATCTCAAACAAATTTTATGAAGGAGACCTGATGTGTGCACTCCACAAGTTCACACAATGTTCATGCAATGCTCATGCAATGTTCATGCAATGTTCACGCAATGTTCATGCAATGTTCATGCAATGTTCATGCACTCCACAAGTTCATGTATTAAGCGCATCCAATGTTCATGCAACTCCTTGCTTGCAGCCACATCTCCTTTTGTTCGTCTGAGCTCTTGCTTCACAGCTTCCTGAAAGATTCAATAGGTTGTGACATCAAGGAATCCATGCAGGAATTGAGAAGAAACATGTGTAGAGAGTAGTGCATGAAAATTAATCCAAGGCACGGCAATTCCTTCCAGTTCATCACTTGGAACACCAGGCACTGGCTTCACCTGAGTAGCCAAGGGATGATCAGGCCGGGAACGCACAGAGTGAACATGACAGAAACGGATTTTTTGACTTTCAAGATGACTTTTGACAAAATGCCACCATCGGTGTTTAAATCGATCCAATGCAATCCAGTTGCTCGAATCACCTCCTTTTTGCCAAGCTTGACACTCCAAACACCATTGGCCTTGCACATGGACTTGCAAACGCTGATAAAATCAGGATCCTTTTGTTTCCCAGCCGGCCGCTTCATCACAGGCTCGGATGACACTGTCCCTGCACTGATCGCAGCTGCAGGCCGTTTCAGAGCTGGCTTCCTGCCACCTGACTTTGGGGCACTCTTTTCAGCAGCAGCTTTCGGTTTTTTGGTCGGGGCTTTCGGAGTAGCTTTCAACGGTTTTTCGGTCTTGGCATCAGGTGTGACAAGGTCTGTCTTCTTATCCTGTGGGCTTGCAGGACCATTTTCATCCGACAACTGATCGATATCTTCTAAAGCCATGGCTTCACTTCAAGCTGCCAACACTTTTAAAAAGTGCTGAGGCTACACGCTTGGCTTCCCAAATGCCTACTGGATTGAAATTTTAACAAGCAATTCTTTGACATGGTCATTGGTAAGAAGGAAGTGTCAAGACAGCAGCTCTCCAAATTATCAATGCAATTTTTTACTTGCCTTGCTGTGACAGGGCTCTCTTGAAGCCTGCCTCGATGCTTTGGTCAGGAACCCCGGGCCGAGTCAAACACAGTTGCTGTTGTAGTCGTGAAATTTTGAACAAGTTCTGAACTCTGAGATGTTGAACAAGTGTGAGATGTTGTAGTGTGAGATGTTGTAGATGTTGTAGATGCTGTAGTGTGAAATATTTCAATAAAATAAAACATTGTGGTGGGCATTGACTTGTGTTTATCTATATAAGTTGAATACTGATATTTGGGGAGGAACCTCCAGTTTTCAGCAACACATGTGTCATCCAAAATGGGCCCATCAACTGCACTCGCAAAAACTACTTCAGTTGCACAGCCGTCTTGGCCTTCACAGTGGTAGAGCACAGCAAGTAATACTTTGGCTTGATTGGAGTGAGAACCGCCGGAATGGCATCCGATACTTTCACCTGCAGGGTCCCACAACTTTTTTGTTTTTTCTCTGGTTAAATTAAGTGCCCCACCCAGATTAAATGCCACACCTCCCAGATTGTTCCCACATTGCGGGATCGAAGCAAGGTGTTGTAGGCTTGGAAGCACCCACCCAGCATGGAATAGCGGACATCCACGGCTGGGTCAACTGGCTTGGGCTTGAATGCATTCACTTTGGACTTGGGGCTGATGCTGTAGCGAAACTGCAAGGGCTGAATCTCATTGTTCTCACCAGTCTGCAGGGAGATGGATGTTCGGCTGGAAACAAAAACCATGTATGTTTACTTTGAGAACAAAAAACATATCAAATGGCATGAGCTTATTTTTTCTTTTGGCTTCCGTCCTTGGTAAGAGGTGCCATGTCATGGTCCAGCATGCATGCCTCGGTGGCTCCCTGGGTCCTTGTAATGTTGCACACTGCGTCCGCGATGGTCATGAGTGTTTTCGACAAAGCTGAGCCATTCTGCTCGCACAGGCAAATGACATCGAGATCTGACTGCACGAGCCAAGGGATTTGGTCGATCAAGGACCCCGCTTCTCCTGCAGGTGAATGATACCAATTGGTTACTCGAAGTATATCTGAAAACAAAGCTGCTTCCTATATGATCTTGGTTGATATTGTAAAATATGAGACAGGGAAACAAATATCTGTCCTGCTGGAACTTCATTGAATGATCCGGTATTGAAGCCAAAGAGCTCTTTGTTGGTAGCCAGGGTGACATCATCAGTTCCATCATTCAGCAGCCACCAGCTTCCATCATTTTGCACCTTCGCAATCACAATTGTGGAGCCAGGCAAAGTTGAAGAGCAATGCAACCTCAACAGGCCGGGTTCTAACAGAACGATTGGATTGGTAAATATCACTAAGTCACTAATTAGTCACTAGATGTCACTAGAATGATTTTGCCACCGTGGTTGCTTTTAATCTTTTGAGGATGCCACACACAGCCAAGAAACGTTTTGGTGGCATTGAACTCATCCAATGGTGTTGAGTCAAACACCACAACCCTGTCGAAATTTGGAACATCGGCTCCATCAAAATCCGGCGATGCAAGTGTCCTCGTTTGCACACCGCTGCCAGGATCATTGGAGGTTCCAGAGGCCGGAGCAGCACGGGCACTGTGGTCATCAGATCTCTTCAAAGCAGTTGTCACAGACTTGTCAGTGTTGATCAGCTCATCAAACGTTGCCAGTCCCGAAGCATGGCTCGACGAATACTTGTTCCGCACCAGATCTGGAATCCTTGGTTTGATGTTGCATCCAAAAGCCAACAGGGTGTAGCACCACATCAAACACTAAGCAACAAATAAAAAAAATAAAGTGACTTTTTGAATGTTAGTGTCCGACAAATACCATCAGAGACTGTAAGCACTTCCAGCGTTGGGAGTGGTACATCGAAACTGCTGTGGGGACGCCGTTTGCTTCCTGCCTCCTCACATTGATCCCACCAAGAACTCATCAGTTTCCCTGCCACATTGCCAGCCGTTTTCACACTCATAGCTGTGTCATCATCCAAGAAAATGCCCATGTAGTGCAGGTTTGCTGCATTGCTCTCGGAGTTGAGCTTGTCCAGCTGCATTTCAAGGCAGGCAGATGACCACTCTGCAAACCTGTTCTGCTTGTGGGGTTGGGGCATGACAAATTGGGCAAAAGTTGGAACATGTAGTGCCAAGAAGCCGGTTTGGCAGACAATCAACCAAGAGCACCGGGTGGTTGTCTTGCAGTGGAACACCATCAAGGCACTTCAGAATGATGTCCTTGGTGGCAGCGACACCGCGTTGTTGCACCTTAGTTTTTCAACCAGTGATGCTGGTTTGATGGAATGATCAAAATGGCAAATTGCAATCTCTTCGTTTAAGATGACACAATACTGGGCACTGAGAAAAGTACACGCCAATGGGGGGCCAATGGCCTATCCTCCTCTGGATTCTGCAACTCGTTGACTCGGGATCTAGGGACTGCATTAATGCTCCCCAGCATCGCTTTGCTCTTGCCAAACTCGACGGTTCTGTGCTGGCCGCATGTTGCAAACAAGCCTCAAGACCCAAAGCTCCCAGTCACAGATATGTTCAAGAGTGTCAAGAGTGTTCAAGTTGAAGCATGGTCTTTGTTTGTCAGTTGACATTTGCAATGAACATGAATGAACAATGTCAAGTTACATTGCTGGCTCGTCTTGCGCTTGTCTCCCTGGTGAGCACTAGAATCAAAGTTGATAGACACCTCGTGCACATCAAAGGACCTTAGATTGCACTATATAATAGCGAGGTTGGGACACATGGATCAAGCATAGATAACACAAGGTAAGATAAAACTAAGAGGAAACTAAGGTAAGATGAAACTGAGGTAAGCAACTCAGATGAGACTAAGGTAAGCAACTAAGGTAAGCAAGGACAAAGAGTAAGATCTATTTGCTGCCAAGCATCGCGACCACCTTATCTTCCAGAAGGCGTCTGTTCTTGAGGATGGCCGTGTGGGAACAAGATGAATGGAGTTGAGGAAGGAGAATCAGCGCCATGCTTCCAGCATTCCCTCCACACACAGCTTGACAAAGCGAAACACTCTCATCAATGGAAAGGGCACCTCAGCTGAGTCTGAGCTGGCAAACATCAAAAGTGGGCACAATTTGAATGCCAAACTGTTGAATTCGATTAATGCAAGCTAAAAACGCTGTGGCCACAAGGTGGCATCCACAATCAGCATCGTCAACCTCAGTTTGGGATTGAGTAAGCCAAAAAATCAGCAGCTACTGGTTGAATATGCTTGTGTTGAACCTGTTTGAAAGATACAGGCAAGGTACGTTGATGGTCCAAGGGCTGCTTGCTTCTCCACGATGGAACCATGTGCCAGCACAATGCTTTTGTGGGTGAACATGTTGTGATTCCCCGACATGTACTGGGCAACAGCGTCTTTGCCCCTCATGTACCGGTTGGACAAATATTGCATGTCCAGCCCACCCTGTCAGCAAAGAATGAGAGTTGATGTCATGGCACAACAAGAACACACACACAAAGCAATCATTCGATTTCAATGTGTATCAAACCCTTAGAAGGCCTGTTGGCTTGCAAACAAATGGAACTGGGATGCCCATTGCTTGAGCTGCAAAAGGTCATTCTGGATACCAAGCTCAGTCTGATTCCAAGTAGTTTGAAGCAAGGCTGCGGATAGCCTCAGTTTGTCATTCCACACATTGTTCTCAATCCAAAACTATCAAGAAAAAATGTTGTTATTCATCAGCTCTTTGTTCTTGGTCTTATTCAGCTGGCAGGCTCAGCTGCTCTCTCGGCCTTCAAATCCTCGGCCTGCGTGGGATGGGTGATTGCAAAGGGCCGGATTCACAAATTGAAAAACATGCTACTATGAGCAAATATGAAGTCATGAGTCCCCCGCCTCTTGCTGGTACTTTGCCAAATGGGCTGCAAACATGCTCACCTTGTTCAGGTCAGGTGGTGGAACAGAGCCAACAAGGATGCTGGCAAGGTCTCCGTCGGCATGTCGGTGCAAGAACCTGAAGCCGGAAGCGGACCCTGTTAGAATTTGAATTTGGAGTGTCAACGAGTGTCAACTTTACCTGTTGCAACATGGTTCAACCAAGAAACGTTGATTCGATCTCATCCTTGACCTTGTCAAAGAAAGTGCTAGGCACAAGGTCTTTGAATCTTTGGAAACATGCCTTGTAGGCACCGCAGATTCGCTGCAAATGCTCCTCAGCAAGGCATGTGGGTTGGGCAGTTGGAAGTGCAAACCAAAAATCTAAGTGGGAAATAAGCTCCAAGTGGAAACTAAGCTAAGTGGAAACTAGGCTCCAGCTCCTTTTGGCCCCATGGTTTCCGCATTTTCGGTGTGAGGCCTTCGAAATCTTTCTTCATGCGGTTCAACAGTAGGCCTAAGACCCCATTGTTGTTCTGAAGCGCGGCATCCCAAGGAACAAAGCCAGCAGAAGCCCCGTTGTAGATGGAATTAAAAATTCCTGCAGCAATTCCATCATGTAGCAAGAATTTGGGTTGCCCATGCAGCCTCACACACGAAGCATCTGATGGTGCATGAAGCTTTGCACGAACATGTGCGAACTCAGACGCTGTACATGTCCATCCAAACAACATACCCCCTGGCCTCACCATTTCCTTGAGCTCCGCTCTGACCCAGGGTGCCACATTGTTCAGGAGATTGGTAGCTGCTTGGCTTTCGAGCCGTCCAACCGAGTACGCTGAAGCAAAGGCCGCAGCACTGTCCAAAGCCTCACCATCATGTCATTCAGTTCGAAACTGAAGATAAATAATGTCATGTTTTCTCTCCAGTTTTATTTTGAAAAAGAATCAGCAAACATGATATTGTAGGATTGAGGTTCCTACAGAAAGAGACTGAACTGCACCTTCTCCAGTGTAGCCGGCCCGAAGCATGATCTCACATTGATGAACTAGGTTGAAAGCATTTGGCCGCCTTCGCAGGTTGGTGCTGACCACTGTCACGCCTGCAGAAGGATTCAGTACGTGGCTTGTTCACCATAACCATGAAACTGATCCCAAGCTTGATTGGATAATTCCAAAGCTCTGACATGCATAGGAATTTTCAAAAATCGTTGAGGGTCCCCTGTGAATGCAATCTAAAAACAGCTCAGTTGGTCTCCTCGGTTCGTTGAAATCACTTCAGATATGTCACCATGCACTTTCGTGCAATGCACGGTGGCGAAGGACCTCAGAATCACGAGGCACGGGCCTTATCACCATTGGGGCTGGACCAAGCAGTGTGCTATGATATGTTTTGATTTGTTTTTCAAAAAAATGAGTTTGGCACCGTGGAACGGTCGAAGGCATCGCCTGCGAAGTCGCTCACATGTTCAATCCTAAAAATAATTTAACAGTGGGCCGTGGCAACTTTCCGCTTTGAGCTGAATTTTAATAAGTGCCCTTGGCAAACTGTTTTTATGCCCAGAAAGGGGTCTCCAGGTCACTTGTTCGAAGTCAAGAAAAGCAGGTTAAAACGAAAGAACATGCCAGTGGGCCGCACCTGCAACAGCTCGGGGAGCTCGTGAGCCGCTTTCAAGACGGCGAGGCAGCAAACAGAACGATTCCAACCCTTCACAGCAAACAATCCCTGGGGGTGCATTAATGTATTCGGTAATCCAAGACCAAGATCAGCAGCTCCGAGGTGGTGCCTTTTCTGACTCAACCATCGGTCGTCCACTTCAGCCACGACAAATTTTTCGACCCCGGGTTGATCCGGATCGCTTTGCAGGCCATTCAACATGATGAGCTGGCACAATGCCCTTTGAACATCCTAAGTTACACACGGCTTCGCACTCCCCCGACTAAGATTGCAATCAAACTGAAGGAACCCCAAGTCCAAGTCTTGTGAAGACAAGATCTTTAAAGCAACCAAAACACTACGTCTGCCGTTCCTCTGAGGCCGAAGTCAGCTCTATGAGGCAACATCCAAGGTCGGATCAGATGGGCACCAGGTGACTTGAGGAAGGCACTTTCAAGAGCATACTGCCTCGTCAAGTGGAAGATTGAAACTGCTCTTGAATATAAATCGATCCAAGTTGTGCACATTTCATGGCTTGCTGTACCAATTCCATGTTTTGCTGAGGGGGCCACACACCATGCTCAGGAGGGAAGCTCGACTCTATAAACTTGTAGAAGTCCAGTGCATCTTCCTGGATGACTCACTGGCAGGCAACCATGTCCTTAACTGATGGGGAGATGACACCAGCAGCACGGGTCCTTGTTTTCCAGTCTCTTTGTCAAGTACTGATCAAACGATCCATCTTGCTTCAGGACTTCTGTCCTTAGTTGTGGGAACTGGAGACAACCTACATGATGCGAAAACAGAAAGACATTCACTATCATGCTATATCATGCTAGCTGAAAGTCATCCACTCTTCGAAGAGAACCATGTGAGGTAGTTTCGCAGAGTCAGGAGGAATTGATGGCAAAGCTGTTTTCTGTGATTTCCCAGAGTTGGGACCATCAGCAGATCCACTCTTCCGTTTCTTAGGCGACATGCCACACCAGAAGTTTGCCGCCTGGCCATGAGACTCAGAGACAGGATTTAGCATGCACGAGCTAAAGGCAAAGTTGACGATTGCATATGACAAGTTGATATCTCTGGATATCTCTGCCTACAAGCCATCACAGAATTTGCAGCCATCAAGATTTGTTTAAACCCAAAAGGCAAATCACTGGTTGGTTTCCGCCGGATGGCACTTTTCCCCCATGGCTTTTGTGCCGGGTGAAACCTGAGAGTTTGGGATTTGTGCCGGGTCACACCTGTGTCACAACCCGTTTGTGCCGAGTTGTCACAGCCCCTGATCGATTTTGTGCCGGATGGCACCTGTTCACAAAGCTGTTTGTGCCGAGTTGTCACAGCCCGGATTGGTTTTGTGCCGGATGGCACCTGTCCCCAAAGCGGTTTGTGCCGAGTAGCAGCTGCTAAACTTCACAAAATTCAATAAAAGATTTATGTCACTGTGTGGCTTGATGTTGAAAAAACCCGACAGAAGTCACGAAACCGTACTCCCCAGATCCTTTGATTTTGTGCCCCCTGCTGGCAGCATCAAGCACAAAACTCATCATATGACTTGGGGTATCAAGTACAACAACATCCACAAAAAATCATAAGAAGGTTTTGGACTATGTTCATAGGTTTTTGTGCTTGCTGCTGCCAACATTACTCTTAAAACAAGACTGCCGGAAGCCCAGCGAAGTTGTGAGCAGGAACTCTTCAGTAACTACACAGGGGGGAATGCTGCCCGAACTCTCGCCGTTTTGAGTTTAGGGTTTAGCCTTCCATTTTGGGTCCGAAATGATGCCCGCTCAATTTTTGGATTTGGGATTTATTGATTTTAAGGGGAAAATCATCCATTTTTTTCGATCCCCAAATCCATGATTTGAAAAAAAATCTATGAAATCCAAGACAGATTTCAAGGTTTGACCCATCCTGTGCCAGGGAAGCTGAAATTATCCGAAGCCGGGCCCTTGGGTAAATAGCAGCAGGTCTTATTGAGTGCGAAGCAACGACAAGTGATGCAACAACTTTTGCAAAATTGTTTTATGTCTATATAATGTTTCTGTTGACTACCACCCCAGCTTCTGTTAAATTTCTCCCGCATCCCTCATAGCCGACTCCACGATCTCAATGGCTGTGTTTATTGGGAGCCCTTTGCTCCAGAGCTTAGCCGCTGCTTTGTACAAACCATTGCGCATGCGAGCTCTACGATACCGCCTTTGCTCGACAGCAGGGGGTCGGTCAACCAGAAGTCGCAAATCATTTGCTGCCTAAGGGGCAAAACTTCAAGTTTCTAGAAAATGTTGCTGACTGCTGGCTGGCATGCATTGATTTTCAAACTGACTGTTGAACTGAAGCCACATTGCCAGATTTGATGCCAAACTGCAGCTTCCAAATTCTGGCCCACCACCCGAGGTTGATGATGGACTCCAGGTCCCACCGCAGGCCCTCCATTTTGAAGACACCTGGGCGCAGGGCACTGAAATCAATTGGTACCTAAAATTCAAATTGGAATTGGGGCCCAAGCGCAGCCACATCCAGCAAGGGATAGCGCCCCACGACATTGTTGGCCAAGTCTTCAATGCACTTGGCTGCCGTCTCCATGACAAAGGGCTCTTGGCCTCAAAAAACATCGGAAGAAAAAGTGTGGAAAACACATTGATTGCTCTAAACAAACTTAGTTTCCCACGCAGGAGAGCAGCATATCTTCTCAATGAATTGTTCTCATCGCTGTCGATGTTGACAGGGTCAGCCAGGTAGACTGCAACAGAAACCAAGTGGAAAGAATCACATGTGAAAGGATGATAGGTTGGTTCACCAAGAAAGGCCCCCACAAGTCCCCAAAATACAGTGGTTTCCCTCTATTTTATGAAAGACTTTGGGACTTGGGGGCCTTTTTGGGGGACCAACCCAAATGGAAAATGGGCAATAGGTTCTCAGAGTTTCACATCCCTTTCCATCATATGGTGAAAGAATGGTTCACACATGTTCACACATTGCCTGGAGGCGGTGGCTGCAAACCTACTTCCGTGGCCACACATGCAGGCAGGTACCAGAAGACCTTCGTCTGGTAGTTGGCATCGCTCATCCACCGTTTTGTCCTTTAAGTGAAAAACGCGGTTCCCCTTACATCATGTGATCATGTTAGAATTCAATTGGCTTGTGAGTTCATGGTGCAAGAACCAGTCCTGAGCACAACATCATTTGCACCATGGGGCAGCCGCCGTCGCCGCCAGAACTTTGAATCCAAGTCCGCAAAGGCCAGTCCTGCAGGGATTGTTGGAGATGACCAAGAAACACCAACTTTCAAATGGAATGCGATTTGGGACGATTTGGGATGATTTGGGGGTCCTGTGTCCCTCAATCTTTCGAGTCGGAAAACATGTGGTGCTCCGGGACCACCTATTCCCTTCAAGTGAACATGGTCCAGGAGATGCCCATAGTGCAGTTTCCTCGGATGCCATAGATGTTTGGCTGAATTGAAAAGATAAGAAATGTTGAGTCTTGATGTTTGCAGACATGTTTCCAGTCCCGAAAACGGTCAAAGACAAGAACTTCTCTGATTGGCTCGTTCATCCGGACTTGCTTGTTTGCCAACATGTTTTGCAAACACTGCCGGAAGTCATCTATGCACCACAATTCCGGAAATCTGTCAAGGTATGCAGAACATACAGCAAAATAGGCATCGATGTCCTCATGAGAATGACCACTCGAGAGATATGAAAATTCACATCCCCTGAGGCGGAAAGTTGCCACCATAGTTCCCATCATCCTCAAAGATGTTTGGTGTTTCAACTCCTTTGAGCAATTGTCTGCCTCCAAGTGGAGGAAAACATTGGGCCAGTGGATATAGTTCAATGGTTTTGTCATCACATAGGCCACCAACTCCATTGTGCGAGACCCACTTGTCGGAACATTTTGAGGGGATAACCCCATCAACACAGCATGGCCGTGGACAATCACTGTTGTAGAAGCTAGCCTTGGCCGAGCCCACGATGCAAACTCTTTGCTTGACATCGAACTGCTTTTTGGGTAGGCATGTTTTTGTTGGTCCATCCCATCAAGGATCATCGATATGTGATTCACTTCAACACCCGATGTAGCCTGACTCCTGCTCTTTGCCCGATGTCCCCAGTAGACCTGCCGATCACGGTATTGTCTACTGAGATGAGCTTTGTACTGTGCTAGCTGTGCCAGGCGACCTGGCCCTTGAGGAAGGCGCTTGATGATTAGGCGGTGCCTCACACAAATGGCACACTTGCTGTGATGGGAAGCCGCTCGGATTCTGAGCAAGTTCCGGAAGTCCTCCATCCACACCTTAAGTCAAGTCAAGTAACTGCCATGATAGTCCCATAACATGGTATGATTGCAATCCGATATGTAACATATTATGATGTGTTGTGATGGCAGCAAAGTTCGCAACACATGGTCATTCATAACATGCACACTGGGTTGCGGACGGTCACAAAAAGTTTTCTGGAGATCTTGGTGTCTTTGAGGTCTGAAGAGCATAGACGGAAGTAGTCTACGAACTTCCCTGGTGGCAAGTGTCTCAGCTTTGATCGGTCCATGTTTTCATCATCAAATTTGAACTTTCCGTGTCTCGGACGCTTGTTGGATGATGTATGATTTGAGTCAGGAAGTGTTTCACCAGCAGTTGTGTAGAGGTTGTGAAGCCAGTCATACACAGCAGCCCTCTTTTCAGATTGTTTCTTGGAGCTACCAGGCATGTACCTTCCATCCAAAGGACATGTTTCATGACCATTTCGGGCAGCAGCCATGAAACCATGAAACCGGCCCTTGCCAATTCCAAGCAAACGCATGAAACCCTTGTTGCACACAGGATGGCCAAGTAGACGCAAGTGTCGAGCGCCCCTGCACGCAGAGTCTTGTCCACGCACCAGGTTGAACACCTCCGCAAGATTGAGATGATTTGAGATGACCACAAAAAGGTGGGAATTGCAACTGTGCAAAATGTTCAAATAGAATCAAATAGAATGATAGTGAGTTGAGTGCTTGACATACTTGTCCTGCTCGAGTTTGCTCATCGCCTTCAGAGTTTTTTGGATCTTCACCAAAGACAGAAACAAGCCCTCCTCTCTGAATGGTTTGTAGCATTCACCAAAACAACCACACATTCCATCTACTCGATAGCGGAGTGTTCTGGTGTCCAAGCCCTTGCTGGGGACAAACTTTACCTTCGCTTTGCATGCAGGTCTTCGTTTTGCCACTTGCTGTTTCTTTGGTGGCCGGTCTGGCACTAAGACGGGGGAAGGCAAGCAGTTCGCATTGGTTTTCCGCCCTTCATCATCACTCAAGATGTCAACATCCAGCAACATGTTTGCAAAAAAAATGGCCCACACCAGTCGCTGGCCCTTTGACCTAGGCTACACTGAATGGCTGATGCTGGAACAGGACTGGGTTTCTGCTTCCTGGGTCTCAGGCAGCATCAAGAACCCCACGGAAGAGCAGGTCCACAGGTTCGACCATGAAACGGCAGGTTGAAATCAAAACCTGTTTATGCTAGCTTTCTGAGCCTCTCAATATTTTGATGGCAGCATGTCGCTTGGTATGGCTGTGGGTGTGCAAAATAAAACACATACATATGTGTTATATTTGATTTTTTAAGTATGTCAGCATGTCAGCATGTCGGTATGTAGGTATTTGAGTATGTAGGTATGTAAGTATGTAAGTAAGTAAGTATGTATGTATGTATATATATATATGTATGGATGTATATATATATGTATGTATGGATGTATATTGTATGTATGTGTGAATGTATGTTTGACCGACTTCCATTCCTTTCTATCTTGGGAAAATCCCTTGGAGCCGCGGGCAGAGAATAACCAGCTGCAAACCTTGCACACCAAGTTTCTGACAGGAGCAAATCAAGTCAAGCCCAGCTGTTAAACATGACAGTGGCACAGGAACAAGGCCTGCCCTGGGAGATGACCGTTCTGGGCCCAAAAGTATAAACGCATACAAAGAAGTGGCTGTCAATATGCTGTCCATCACATGGTGCATTTCTGGTGCATCTCAAGAATCACATGGTTTAACTTCTGAAGGCAATCATAACTACTATTTTCCCCTTCCGCCACATCAATGCGAACAGAGCTGGTCAAGCAGCTAGCGCCAACAGTGCGGGCTTGAATTTTGCATGAGTTTTTCATGAAATGGACTGGTGCACCATCCTATGGAACAGCACCATGCCCCAGCAAATTGGCAGCTAAATATGCCATGTCTGGCATGACTATGTTTCCAACGCAATGGAGGCGCTCCTGATTCTCCTTGGAAGTCTCCTTCGAAAGCCAGCGGTACAGCAGAGGCCGGCTCTCTGGGTGCCATGCGCATTCTGGCCACGATTTCAACGCGTCGATGCCATTCAGCTTCATCCCCTCCATGTGCAATCTTGATCGCATCCACATGTAGACATTTGAGATGCTTGCAAAACTGTTGTTGATGGTGCCTTGAAGAAATCAAAGTCCTTCCTCTGGACCAAAAAGAAAGTCCTTTGTCGCCAAACCTAAGTACAAACATGGAGAAACCTGGAATCAAAAAGATGGCAGCAAAACAAGAACAAATGGGTGCCCTGCCGGTGCTGCGACATCATGGCCACTCAGTGTGACCCACCGGATGCTCAGATTTCTCTTCTCCACCTCCTGCCAGGATGTGAAAAAAGAATTGAACCCCAGAAAAAACAATCATGACTGCATGAGTTGAATGACTCCCCCATCCTGCAGAAGGTATTTCATCATGGGGTGAAGCTCTTTCGACAACAGATTGCTGACATTTTCCAAGAACAAGAATCGCCTAAGTTCCCAAAGAACTCTCAGACATGAGTTTGAAGAAGGTTCGGAAATGTTCGGAACATGTTTGAACATGTTTGAAAACTTTTGAGAAAGTTTTGCAATCCACATGTGCATGCAAGGTTCACACTGGGCGTGGTGTCCCAGAGTCGCCAAAAATGGCGAAGCAGGGAAGACCTGCAATCTTCAAGTCCTTTCTTTGAGCCTGCCTTCGATGTGCCCTGACAGGAGAAATACTCAACAATAATCAATCTCAACTCAACCATCAAACTCAACAAAAACCTAACCAGCATTGGTGCCAATCAGTTTGGGGACCTTGCCTGGCATGGAAAGCCGCCGATATATCCAGATACATGGTCGGCATCTTTTCCCAAATTTTTCACCTCAAACTTCTCAACATCCTCGAAAATGGGGGTTCCTGACTTGTAATGTCCTTCTGCAACGCGGGAAGCGATGACCCTTCTGCAGAATGAAGACTTTTCAACCTCAGAGCGAATAAGCTATCACAAATGAGAAATGAACTAATGTTGGCTGCTGGCAGCACTGAAAATCACAAAGATGCCAAAGTCTAAGAGCAGGGCAAAAGCCAAGGGTTCGATAAACCTTTGCAACCATAATCTGTAGAAAACAACATCTTTGAAGGCTGACCAAGATTGAGCACCACACCCACCAAGACCAAGTTCGAGTCCAAGCACCCCAGAGAACAGGGATACAACCTTGTGCCGCTTCACCTGTGACAAGGAAAAAACAAAGATGCACTGTTGACAACACATCCATAGACCAGCCTTGGGTCCCTGTGGTGGCAGCCATGGAAGATACCAACAGGGAGGCTCCTTCACAGCCCCAACGCAAGGGTTCGTCCATTGCAGCGGAACACCTCAAAGCCAGAGAAGGAAAAAAGAAATGGAGAGGAAGACCTATGATGGTACTTTTTTGACAAGCATGACATATTTTGAGTTCCTTACCAGCCATGTGTTCGGCCAATTCTGGCGTGACATATCTCCCATACTCTTTCTTCATCATGTCACACTGCTCTCGGTATTCGGTCCAGTAGTGAACCTGTGTTGCAAAGTCCTGCCACAATCAAAACGGATACAAACTGATGGTCAAAAATATTGCAAACATGATGGTCAAAAATATTGCAAACATCTGAATATATACTGTGAAGCAAGCGGTCACGAGAGCCACGCACGGAAAGGAAATTGACATTGGCGCTCGTTGTTGATCCGAAGCAACCTGGGAGGCTCAATCACAGTTGGCAAGGCTTGGACCTGACAATCACAAGGCTTGGGAGCCCGACGAATTGTGCCAAAGCTTGTCAACAACATGCTGTTGCCCTTTACAATGGCCCCCTTTTTGGGCACTCGGTCAGACTTTTTGGGCTTTTTTGTAACCTAGGATGACATGACTGTTTCTGAGCTATTCCAAGAAGAGTGGTGGACACATGTGCAATTCACGCACTGTTCAATCAGCTCTGGTGTATAAATGTAACCAAAGACGGTCAAGCAACAAGTTTGATGGTCCACTTTTTCCAGCCTTTGAGGGGATAACACCGAGACTTCCAAGTCTTGACCTTCCCTTTCCCGGCGAGGCATCCAAACTTTGGGAACTTCAGCGCGGCCTGAACAGAATTCCAGAGTTCCAAATTATATACGATAACTTGAATAGATGATGGCCTTGGCATAGGCCATGTCAGCACTTGAAGTTGAAGTTGGCATTTCTTCACAGGAACTTGGAGACACACGATTGCCATTGTGATTGACAAAAGAACTCTGATTCCGAAATCAAGGCACAAAGATTGGGTCCCTGGCTCACTTAGTTCTGCCACATCAGCGAGAGACATTTTCACATTGGCCGGAATGCTGCAGAACCAACAGAAACACATGTCAAGTGAGATAAAAGGTCCAACATGCAGGTGAGATACTCAATGCCGTTAGTGAAAACTTACACATGCAAGTGTTTTGGTGTCTGTCATGTTGACCAACATGTTTCTGTCGGCCACAGTGATTTGAAAACCTTTTTCCATCCTTCCGAGTGCTGACTTTCAGCGCAGCTGGCCTCAAAATGGAAGCAGCCAAGAACAGCATTGCAAGCAAACTCCAGGAAAAAAGAGCATAAACTAAATCTGAAAGCAAGCCAGTTTGGATTGAGTTTAGGGCTCATATGGTAAACGGTTGCAGGGTTCACCAGCATCCTTAGACCAGTTGTGCATTTGGTATGAGATCCGACCTAACCCATCACACGAAAATTCACTGAGTGTGAGACACTGGTTTTTCGAACTCAAGTTCAAGGTTGTTTTCCAATCCTCAACTAGGGCATATCTCAGGTTGTGTTTTTCATCTCGGTAGTGAATGGGAACAGGAGACATGGTGATACATGGTGATTATGTCTCAATGCATCAAAAGCTCCTCCTGTGTCGAAGCCTGTGAGTCACCAAACTCTTCCTGTAGGTTGCGGGCCACAGGCCTTTCTTTGGGTTCTCCATTAAGACTGCAACCTTCGATTTCTTTCAACCTGGCTAAAGCCCACAGAACTACATTGGGTCTTGGGCAAAGCTGACTCAGTATCAGACAAAGGAGACCACTCCACAATCGCACCCTGGCAGATCCGAAAAGCCAGTCAGACAGGACAAGAGAAGATATGCTTATGAAGCATAAATTTGAAGGGTGTTTCCATATTATATGAATATTTCAAAAAAAGACTGCTGATGATTGCAAATCCAAATATACATTTACATCTTTCCATATGCATACAAATATATAGACAGCCATGCATGCATGCATGCATGCATGCATACATACATACATACATACATTAATTACATACATACATACATACATAGATACAAAGATGCAAAGATACAAAGATACAAACATTTTTTGACACAAAAGAAATAGGTACAACTATAATGTAGTTGTACCTATTTATTTTGCGTTCAAACCATGCATACATACATACATACATACATGCATACAAAGATACATACATTTTTTGACACAAAAGAAATAGGTACAACTATAATGTAGTTGTACCTATTTATTTTGCGTTCAAACCATGCATGCATACATACATACATACATATATATATAACCATCCTGAAGTAGATAGAATCTCTGGAATTTCAAAAAAAAAGGGTCCGAAAAAAACCTATAGATAGAATCCCAAAATGGCTCAAAAATCCGGGTCGATGATTGGTAAAAAAAAGGTCCCTCAAAAATGATCACAAAAGCGGTCATTTAGCTTGTGATTTGGTTGTTTGGGCCTTTGGAATGACCACCAAATGTTGTCATTATGCTGGTGTATTAGGTTCTGGCATGCGAATTTCAGCCCAAAATCTTCCAAAGAAATTGTCACTGTTGCTGGTGGTTCCCAGAAATATAGATCCTTTGGCAGTGGTATTCAATAGTCAAATCCAAGAAAGGAATGGGTGTGGGTCAAATTATCACACCCCAAAATTGATAGTTGATTTTTTAAGATGTGAAATTTTGAAATTGAGCTGGGGCCAAATTTGACCCGTACCCATTTAGCTACAGTGTGCTCACCGGACCTCCTGGAGATTTTGAATTTGGACATCGATCAAAATCGGATACTTTAAAAAGTAATCTGTATAGAATTGGGTGTAATTGGGACAGAAGGTTTTGATCCATCCCCATATTCTTCTATATTCCTTCATATTCTATCTATGGTATCAACCACTGTGCTGACCCCTCCCTACTGCATTCTGCTAACAACGGCAGGTTTCCAAAAACCATTCCATGTGTTGTAGATTCTTTGGCAATGGTATTTTTGGTTCCCGGGATGCCCAAATAGTCAAACCCAATAAAGGAATGGGTGTGAGTCCAAATATCATCCCTACAAAATTGATAGTTGATTATTTAAGATGTGCAATTTTGTAATTGAGTTGGTGTGCTCACCGGACCTCCTGGAGATTTTGAATTTGGACATCGATCAAAACCAGCTACTTTAAAAAGTAATCTGTATAGAATTGGGTGTAATTGGGACAGAAGGTTTTGATCCATCCCCATATTCTTCTATATTCTTTCATATTCTATCTATGGTATCAACCACTGTGCTGACCCCTCCCTACTGCATTCTGCTAACAACGGCAGGTTTCCAAAAACCATTCCATGTGTTGTAGATTCTTTGGCAATGGTATTTTTGGTTCCCGGGATGCCCAAATAGTCAAACCCAATAAAGGAATGGGTGTGGGTAAAATGATCACCCCTACAAAATTGATAATTGATAATTGAAGATGTGCAATTTTGTAATTGAGTTGGTGTGCTCACCGGACCTCCTGGAGATTTTGAATTCGAACGTAGATATAAACTGTTGGATAGTCAAACTCTATATGCATGATCATGAACCAACAGTGGTTTTGAATACAGCCCAAAAGGTATTTTCAGAATCCATAAATTATAATACCACTTTGGATAATATATTGATATAGCACATGTTGTTAAATACCACTGGGTATAATCCAATTAAGAAAATTGTCTTTGACAACATGTGATTGTTTTTCCAACCGGGACCTTTTCAGGGATATTCTAACTATAGATCTTGCCAGGGGCTGACAACTCGGCTCCCCCGTAAAGGGAGCATAGCCAAAAAACGTGACGGGATTCCAGAATCCCGTCATCACCCCCCTATGTGGGGGACGCCCCGGAAAGCGACCGAGTGTGCTACTATAGTGTGTAAGGTGCACTCTGTGTGAAATATATGCTTTGTATGTGAATGATATAAAATATGTAGATATAATATGTATGGTGTTTACTATGATTGAAACATATGCTTTATATGTGAATGATAGAAAATATGTAAATATAATATGTATGGTTGGATAGTCAAACTCTAGATAGAATATCCTCTAGAACCATGAAACGACTGAATTTTTAAAGGATGCTTGGAATTAAGCATGTATTTGTGGTGCTCCCTGCCCCTTCCTCCACATCTACCCATCCAAAGTTCATTCTTGGAGCTGTTTGAAAGCAAGCTTTAAAAGGAAAATGGCATTAAAAAAATAGGAATCCGAGATCTCACCATCCAAAGTTGAAATTGCAGGTTTTTGAAAAGAAACCACAAAAGGAAAATGGGATGAGAAAAGAAGGAATCCACGATCTTACCATTTAAAGTTCAGTCTTGCAGGTTTTTGAATAGAAAGCTGTGAAAGGAAAAGGAGATGAGAAAAGTATAGAAAAGTAGGAATCCAAGATCGACCATCCAAAGTTCATTTTTGCTAGTGCTGTGCTAGGACAGTTGGGCAAAACTATAGATAGAATATCCTCTAGAACCATGAAAAGACTGAATTTTTAAAGGATGCTTGGAGTTGAGCATGTATTTGTGGTGTTCCCTGCCCCTTCCTCCACATCTACCCATCCAAAGTTCATTCTTGGAGCTGTTTGAAAGCAAGCTTTAAAAGGAAAATGGCATTAAAAAAAGTAGGAATCCAAGATCTTACCATCCAAAGTTAAAATTGCAGGTTTTTGAAAAGAATCAACAAAAGGAAAATGGGATGAGAAAAGAAGAAATCCACGATCTTACCATTCAAAGTTCAGTCTTGCAGGTTTTTGAATAGAAAGCCGTGAAAGGAAAAGGAGATGAGAAAAGTATAGAAAAGTAGGAATCCAAGATCGACCATCCAAAGTTCATTTGTGCTAGTACTGTGCTAGGACAGTTGGGCAAAACTATAGATAGAATATCCTCTAGAACCATGAAAAGACTGAATTTTTAAAGGATGCTTGGAGTTGAGCATGTATTTGTGGTGTTCCCTGCCCCTTCCTCCACATCTACCCATCCAAAGTTCATTCTTGGAGCTGTTTGAAAGCAAACTTTAAAAGGAAAATGGCATTTAAAAAGTAGGAATCCAAGATCTTACCATCCAAAGTTGAAATTGCAGGTTTTTGAAAAGAAGCAACAAAAGGAAAATGGGATGAGAAAAGAAGAAATCCACGATCTTACCATTCAAAGTTCAGTCTTGCAGGTTTTTGAATAGAAAGCCGTGAAAGGAAAAGGAGATGAGAAAAGTATAGAAAAGTAGGAATCCAAGATCGACCATCCAAAGTTCATTTGTGCTAGTACTGTGCTAGGACAGTTGGGCAAAACTATAGATAGAATATCCTCTAGAACCATGAAAAGACTGAATTTTTAAAGGATGTTTGGGATTAAGCATGTATTTGTGGTGCTCCCTGCCCCTTCCTCCACATCTACCCATCCAAAGTTCATTCTTGGAGCTGTTTGAAAGCAAGCTTTAAAAGGAAAATGGCATTAAAAAGTAGGAATCCAAGATCTTACCATCCAAAGTTGAAATTGCAGGTTTTTGAAAAGAAACCACAAAAGGAAAATGGGATGAGAAAAGAAGGAATCCACGATCTTACCATTCAAAGTTCAGTCTTGCAGGTTTTTGAATAGAAAGCCGTGAAAGGAAAAGGAGATGAGAAAAGTATAGAAAGTAGGAATCCAAGATCGACCATCCAAAGTTCATTTTTGCTAGTGCTGTGCTAGGACAGTTGGGCAAAACTATAGATAGAATATCCTCTAGAACCATGAAAAGACTGAATTTTTAAAGGATGCTTGGAGTTGAGCATGTATTTGTGGTGTTCCCTGCCCCTTCCTCCACATCTACCCATCCAAAGTTCATTCTTGGAGCTGTTTGAAAGCAAGCTTTAAAAGGAAAATGGCATTAAAAAAGTAGGAATCCAAGATCTTACCATCCAAAGTTGAAATTGCAGGTTTTTGAAAAGAAGCAACGAAAGGAAAATGGGATGAGAAAAGAAGAAATCCACGATCTTATCATTCAAAGTTCAGTCTTGCAGGTTTTTGAAAAGAAAGCCGTGAAAGGAAAAGGAGATGAGAAAAGTACAGAAAAGTAGGAATCCAAGATCGACCATCCAAAGTTCATTTGTGCTAGTACTGTGCTAGGACAGTTGGGCAAAACTATAGATAGAATATCCTCTAGAACCATGAAAAGACTGAATGTTTAAAGGATGTTTGGGATTAAGCATGTATTTGTGGTGCTCCCTGCCCCTTCCTCCACATCTACCCATCCAAAGTTCATTCTTGGAGCTGTTTGAAAGCAAGCTTTAAAAGGAAAATGGCATCTAAAAAGTAGGAATCCAAGATCTTACCATCCAAAGTTGAAATTGCAGGTTTTTGAAAAGAAACAACAAAAAGAAAATGGGATGAGAAAAGAAGGAATCCACGATCTTACCATTCAAAGTTCAGTCTTGCAGGTTTTTGAATAGAAAGCTGTGAAAGGAAAAGGAGATGAGAAAAATACAGAAAGTAGGAATCCAAGATCGACCATCCAAAGTTCATTTGTGCTAGTACTGTGCTAGGACAGTTGGGCAAAACTATAGATAGAATATCCTCTAGAACCATGAAAAGACTGAATTTTTAAAGGATGTTTGGGATTAAGCATGTATTTGTGGTGCTCCCTGCCCCTTCCTCCACATCTACCCATCCAAAGTTCATTCTTGGAGCTGTTTGAAAGCAAACTTTAAAAGGAAAATGGCATTAAAAAGTAGGAATCCAAGATCTTACCATCCAAAGTTGAAATTGCAGGTTTTTGAAAAGAAGCAACAAAAGGAAAATGGGATGAGAAAAGAAGGAATCCACGATCTTACCATTCAAAGTTCAGTCTTGCAGGTTTTTGAAAAGAAAGCTGTGAAAGGAAAAGGAGATGAGAAAAGTATAGAAAAGTAGGAATCCAAGATCGACCATCCAAAGTTCATTTGTGCTAGTGCTGTGCTAGGACAGTTGGGCAAAACTATAGATAGAATATCCCCTAGAACCATGAAAAGACTGAATTTTTAAAGGATGCTTGGAGTTGAGCATGTATTTGTGGTGTTCCCTGCCCCTTCCTCCACATCTACCCATCCAAAGTTCATTCTTGGAGCTGTTTGAAAGCAAGCTTTAAAAGGAAAATGGCATTAAAAAAGTAGGAATCCAGGATCTTACCATCCAAAGTTGAAATTGCAGGTTTTTGAAAAGAAGCAACAAAAGGAAATGGGATGAGAAAAGAAGAAATCCACGATCTTACCATTCAAAGTTCAGTCTTGCAGGTTTTTGAATAGAAAGCCGTGAAAGGAAAAGGAGATGAGAAAAGTACAGAAAAGTAGGAATCCAAGATCGACCATCCAAAGTTCATGTTGTGCTAGTACTGTGCTAGGACAGTTGGGCAAAACTATAGATAGAATATCCTCTAGAACCATGAAAAGACTGAATTGTGTAAGGATGTTTGGGATTAAGATTAAGCATGTATTTGTGGTGCTCCCTGCCCCTTCCTCCACATCTACCCATCGAAAGTTCATTCTTGGAGCTGTTTGAAAGCAAACTTTCAAAGGAAAATGGCATCTAAAAAGTAGGAATCCAAGATCTTACCATCCAAAGTTGAAATTGCAGGTTTTTGAAAAGAAGCAACAAAAGGAAAATGGGATGAGAAAAGAAGGAATCCACGATCTTACCATTCAAAGTTCAGTCTTGCAGGTTTTTGAATAGAAAGCTGTGAAAGGAAAAGGAGATGAGAAAAGTATAGAAAGTAGGAATCCAAGATCGACCATCCAAAGTTCATTTTTGCTAGTGCTGTGCTAGGACAGTTGGGCAAAACTATAGATAGAATATCCTCTAGAACCATGAAAAGACTGAATTTTTTAAGGATGCTTGGAGTTGAGCATGTATTTGTGGTGTTCCCTGCCCCTTCCTCCACATCTACCCATCCAAAGTTCATTCTTGGAGCTGTTTGAAAGCACACTTTAAAAGGAAAATGGCATTAAAAAAGTAGGAATCCAAGATCTTACCATCCAAAGTTGAAATTGCAGGTTTTTGAAAAGAAAAAACAAAAGGAAAATGGGATGAGAAAAGAAATAATCCACGATCTTACCATTCAAAGTTCGATCTTGCAGGTTTTTGAATAGAAAGTTGTGAAAAGAAAAGGAGACGAGAAAAGTATAGAAAAGTAGGAACCCAAGATCGACCATCCAAAGTTCATTTGTGCTAGTGCTGTGCTAGGACAGTTGGGCAAAACTATAGATAGAATATCCTCTAGAACCATGAAAAGACTGAATGTTTAAAGGATGTTTGGGATTATATTAAGCATGTATTTGTGGTGCTCCCTGCCCCTTCCTCCACATCTACCCATCCAAAGTTCATTCTTGGAGCTGTTTGAAAGCAAACTTTAAAAGGAAAATGGCATCTAAAAAGCAGGAATCCAAGATCTTACCATCCAAAGTTGAAATTGCAGGTTTTTGAAAAGAAACCACAAAAAGAAAATGGGATGAGAAAAGAAGGAATCCACGATCTTACCATTTAAAGTTCAGCCTTGCAGGTTTTTGAATAGAAAACTGTGAAAGGAAAAGGAGATGAGAAAAGTATAGAAAAGTAGGAATCCAAGATCGACCATCCAAAGTTCATTTGCGCTAGTGCTGTGCTAGGACAGTTGGGCAAAACTATAGATAGAATATCCTCTAGAACCATGAAAAGACTGAATTTTTTAAAGGATGTTTGGGATTAAGCATGTATTTGTGGTGTTCCCCGCCCCTTCCTCCACATCTACCCATCCAAAGTTCATTCTTGGAGCTGTTTGAAAGCAAGCTTTAAAAGGAAAATGGCATTAAAAAATAGGAATCCGAGATCTCACCATCCCAAGTTGAAATTGCAGGTTTTTGAAAAGAAACCACAAAAGGAAAATGGGATGAGAAAAGAAGGAATCCACGATCTTACCATTTAAAGTTCAGTCTTGCAGGTTTTTGAATAGAAAGCTGTGAAAGGAAAAGGAGATGAGAAAAGTATAGAAAGGAGGAATCCAAGATCGACCATCCAAAGTTCATTTTGTGCTAGTACTGTGCTAGGACAGTTGGGCAAAACTATAGATAGAATATCCTCTAGAACCATGAAAAGACTGATTTTTTAAAGGATGTTTGGGATTAAGGTTAAGCATGTATTTGTGGTGCTCCCTGCCCCTTCCCCCACATCTACCCATCCAAAGTTCATTCTTGGAGCTGTTTGAAAGCAAGCTTTAAAAGGAAAATGGCATTAAAAAAGTAGGAATCCAGGATCTTACCATCCAAAGTTGAAATTGCAGGTTTTTGAAAAGAAGCAACGAAAGGAAAATGGGATCAGAAAAGAAGAAATCCACGATCTTACCATTCAAAGTTCAGTCTTGCAGGTTTTTGAATAGAAAGCTGTGAAAGGAAAAGGAGATGAGAAAAGTACAGAAAAGTAGGAATCCAAGATCGAGCATCCAAAGTTCATAATTGAAGGTTTTTGAATGGAAAACTGTGTTTGAAAGGAAGAGTGCATGAGAAAAGTAGGAATAGCTGATCTTACCATCCAAAGTTCATTCTCGCAGCTGTTTGAAAAGGAAACTTGGAAGGAAAATGGAAGGAAACAAATTGGAATGCACGATCTTACCATCCAAAGTTCATAATTGAAGGTTTTTGAATGGAAAATTGTGACAGGAAAAGGACATGAGAAAAGCAGGAATCAAACTTTGAAAGGAACATGGCATGAGAAAAGCTGGAATCCACGATCTTACCATCCAAAGTTCACAATTACAGATTTTTGAAGGGAAAAGTGTGAAAGGAAAAGGAAATGAGAAAAGTAGGAATCTACGTCTACGATCTTACCATCCAAAGTTTATTTTTGCAGCTGTTTGAAAAGGAAAATTTGAAAGAAAAAAATAAATTGGAAGGTTTTGAAAGGGAAAGGAAAATAAAACACATTTTGAGCATCCTGGAGTAGATTTTGGAATATTCTATCTAGGGGGTCCGAATATATAGTTTAGTATTGGGTCAAAAAACCCTGGGTTTTTTCAAAAAAAAAACGCCCCCTACGAAACTGGATTCTATCTACTCCAGGATGACTATATATATATATATATACAGTATATATATATATATACTAATATTCTCTATATATATATACATAGAATACCGAGTCTACAGCTGCGTGTTTACTTGAAACACATGGTCATCAACCAAGTGTGGTGTGTTCATGCTTGAGGGTGGTACACATGCCACCCTCGTCCATCTGTGCATTTTGGATGTGGGCCTCACTGCAAACGGGATTGATTGAAAATTGGACGTCCAAAAATCCGTTGGTTTTGAGAAAACACATGTTTAAGTGGTCAGTAAGTCTGGTTGCCAAGTACCCGAAGTGGGTCATCCCATTGATACCTGGGTGAACTCACTATGGTTACTAACCACTAACCAAATGGGATTATCCTCCATGTATTACAATATCCTGGGTAGAATTTTGCCTGTGAAACCACAATTTTCCCATCTGGCAGAGCATTTCCGATTGGTTGGTTGAATCCAAATCATCAATGCTTCAAACATCTTAAAACACGATGGTTAAACCGCCATGCCTAAAGCCACGGCTGGTGCCTCCGACAGCCACTGGCCCCACTTCTTTGAATTGGGACTGCACCTACCGCAAAATTAGGACAGGATTCGGGGCAAACGTGGCCAAACAAATTAGTGGGTTGGGCCTGATTCTTGACCTGAAAATCTATATTTCCCTTAAATTTCCTGCTCCATGTCAACTTCAGATATCCCAACACATGCAAAATATCAGATTAACCCGCATCAACCCTATGTGATATAGATGTCATAACAAGATGTTGTCCATCGCAAAATCGGACAAATCAACGGCAACATGGCCCCAACTGATCCTCCAGCTCCCAAGCTTTCAGTAATGCCCGTCCACTTCATGTTCCATCCCCAAACCTACTGTTGGCTTCAGGGCGGCCTTCTCAGTCTCATATTGAATCATTATAAATTCAATCAAATTAGGTATCATAATTTCATTGTTCAAGTGCAAAGTACTGTAAGCACCAACAAACCAACCAACCAACCAACCAACCAACCAACCAACCAACCAACCAACCAACCAACCAACCAACCAACCAACCAACCAACCAACCAACCAACCAACCACAATTATTTATGGTTTACTTTGAAGTATAAGTACTCACTATTGAATATTAATTACCCCACCCCACTTTTTGGTTCAAATTACCAATGGTCAAACAGCTAATAATCCTCGATAGTCCCAATGTTACGTCAATCAAAGTCAACATGTTTCGTTTTGAACTAAAACCCTGCTGGTGGACTGAATTTCCCGCACTGATCATTTAAAAACGTATGTATGTATGCATCTCAACATCCATGGACATATGTGCTTTGTTCACTTTAGAAATAAACACAATAAATATATATATATACACAGTATATCAACTGTATTTGTCTGTGTATTATGTATATATATATATATATATACACCTTATATTGCGGTAGTATGATCATATAACTAGATTGTACGTAGCACAAGTATACCCATAATTATCATAGTATCATCATATCACGCACTACACCCTCTGGTAATTTAACATAGCTAATGTTACGTCGACAATAGTAAAGGGGGGTCCCCCCCTAAATGTTATTTTTATTTTTATTTTTAGGGAGGGGGGGGGTCTGCTTTGCAATAGTAAATCGAAAATCCCAACTCTTCCCCAAAGGCTTCTGTAAGGTTTTGACAAATCCTCTCTTTTCTGATGGGCTCTGATGGGATCTTCATTGGATTCTGATAGGAAGAAGGGAAAAAAGGCCTGCTAGAGCCAGGAAGGTTGTTTCTTATTGCAAGTGCTAATTCCAGTTTTTAATTGCAAATGCAAGGACCTGCAAGGGGGTACCCTTTGTGGACCTGTTTTTTGCAATTTTTTAAAATGATTTTAATAAAGAAAACAGCTTTTTTGAACAAGGTAAAATTTTGATTTGGTAAAGGTTTGCTTTGTTTTTGCTTTTGAAAAACATGCAATCACAATTTAAAACCATTCAACCACAATTAAAAACACTAAGGAAGAAGGGAAAAAAATGCCTGCTAGAGCCAGGAAGGTTGTTTCTTATTGCAAGTGCTAATTCCAGTTTTTAATTGCAAATGCAAGGACCTGCAAGGGGGTACCCTTTGTGGACCTGTTTTTTGCAATTTTTTAAAAGGATTTTAATAAAGAACACAGGTTTTTTGAACAAGGTAAAGTTTTTGATTTGGTAAAGGTTTGCTTTGTTTTTGCTTTTTGAAAAACATGCAATCACAATTTAAAACCATTCAACCACAACTAAAAACACTAAGGAAGAAGGGAAAGAATGCCTGCTAGAGCCAGGAAGGTTGTTTCTTATTGCAAGTGCTAATTCCAGTTTTTAATTGCAAACGCAAGGACCTGCAAGGGGGTACCCTTTGTGGACCTGTTTTTTGCAATTTTTTAAAAGGATTTTAATAAAGAAAACAGCTTTTATGAACAAGGTAAAATGTTTGATTTGGTAAAGGTTTGCTTTGTTTTTGCTTTTGAAAAACATGCAATCACAATTTAAAACCATTCAACCACAATTAAAAACACTAAGGAAGAAGGGAAAGAATGCCTGCTAGAGCCAGGAAGGTTGTTTCTTATGGCAAGTGCTAATTCCAGTTTTTAATTGCAAACGCAAGGACCTGCAAGGGGGTACCCTTTGTGGACCTGTTTTTTGCAATTTTTTAAAAGGATTTTAATAAAGAAAACAGCTTTTATGAACAAGGTAAAATTTTTGATTTGGTAAAGGTTTGCTTTGTTTTTGCTTTTGAAAAACATGCAATCACAATTTAAAACCATTCAACCACAATTAAAAACACTAAGGAAGAAGGGAAAAAATACAGCTGAACTGTAACTGGTTCTGATTTTTTTTCCTGCATCCATACTAAATCTCAAATTAGTTCCTTTACAAATTTAGTATTGGAAAATCTGATAATTTGGGAATTTTCTGAATATCATTTGTAGCTATTGCGAATGAACCACATTTATTGCAGATGCTCTGGACCAAGGTTGATGTTTGTAATTTAAAATCAATAAGGCCTAATTTAAAATCAATAGGGGCTGAAAAATCAGATTCTGAAAATTATTTGTAGCTATTGCACGCGCTTTACTATTGTCCATCCAACATTATTGAAAATGACCATTTATAGTGGGTTTACCCATTGAACATGGTGGATCTTTCCATAGTTATGTTAGTTTACCAGAGGGTAAACCGCCATGAAACATCCCATAAACATCCCCAATATCACCATTTTCTGGGTGCCATATGCCATCCTCAAATATGTCCTCTCATCTTTCACAATTTGAAAAATTGCAGAACTCGGACGACCTTGAAGCGATTTCAGCGACTGGCGTGGTGCTCGCTGCCATCATGGGCCTTCCGTGGGATCATGAGGATGTCACGGTATATATATATATATATCTATCTATAATTGTGTGTATGTAAATATATATATATCCACCAACAGTTCCTTTTGGGAGGAAAACAAGTATAAAGCGAACGAACATTGCAGAATAACCGGGACTTAATGGCACTTCAATATCTTCAATGGGGATTCAATGGGGTCTACCTACTGGGGATATCTTGGCCCGGTCGGAACACCATTTGTCATCATCGGTTGGTTGTGAAAAAACGTCACCCCACTCTTTTCAAAAACCAACCAGTGGGGAAAGGACATGTTTTTGTTACGCGAATGTACAGCGTGTGGTATCATCTTCAACACGCTCTATATCATTGGAATTCATCTCTTCTGTTGCTGTTATGAACAAAATATAAATCAGCACTTGCGATTCGTAAAGTGATGCACCTAGATCGAACCCCAAGTACTCCATCAAAGGGTATGGCTGGGTCCATAGGGTAAACTGTTTGGCACCTTGAACCTATCGACAAACCTTTGTTGGCACGTGCCTTAAATCTGCATGGAAGGCCAGCATGTACAGCAGTTGGCACGCGCTCTCCACCACCTGGAATAAGGGAACCCAAGGTCCCAGGGTTGTTTTCCACGGCCTTGACCCACCGCTCAACCCTCTGTCCTAATATCCAAAATGTGCCATTGTTGGACAAATCATTTCACTTTCGTTTCAAGCCTTGGCATGGGCAAAGGCCATGCGACAATCAGATCCAAATCGAACATGGCCTATTTCAACCGAAGGGACACTAATGTTCAGTTTCATGTTTGCTCCTCAAAATTCAAAATGCATGTGCCACGTGCCCTGATGATGATTTAGGTGTGGACACATGGCTCCTGGTCCCTAACTAAATAAATAAAAATAAGCAGATTTAACCAACTAAACTAAACTAAACAAACTAACTGCAGTTCGATAGTATTCCATGTATATATATATATATGTGTATATTATATTATATGTATATAAGTATATATATATACATACTTGGTCACATGTGATGATTTATTTAAACCTAAACCATCACAAGTTGAAATAGGTTGGGACATTGACAATTGTTTCACGCAAATTCACAGAAATCGTATCAAAACACACATGTTATGTGACTCACCTCAAATGCACCAGCACCTAGAAATTGCTTACTTGTTTCACATGGTTTTGCGTTGTTGCATAGTGATTGCACAATGGGTTCCATATATCCGCAAATACCGACACCTTGCGATTTGGATTTCTCAAAAAAAAACATCAAGGCAAACCAAAAATCACACACAATAATCCTTGAGATATGTTCAAAACTGCAAAAAACATTTTCTGGTTGCAAAGAAAAATTGGCGGTTCACCCCAGGATTTGTCAGTGAATTGCAACCTCACCTCGCCCCAATGAAATTACATAAAATAGACTATGCGTACTTACCATACATATATCACGTAAAAACAAAATTAGTTTTGTCTGAAAATTGCATGTTCCCAATTCCAATGGACTGTCATGTGTTAGAAACGACTCTATATTTGCAATGTGATCGTTATACCTCAATTTCAAACACATCCCAATCCAACCTGCTCACAGGCAGCATGGGTCTGGACGACGTTGGCCACCAAAGGGCCAGCACCAATCTGCGAAGGCTGCGAAGGCCGTTTTGTTTGGGGAATGTTCAGGTTGGGTTGGGACAAGTATGGGGGAGATTCTCACAACCTCTGTTCAAATTCTAACATGCGGTGATGAGATATGAGCTGCTCCATGTCATTTTATCTCATGTGACGGAGCTGTGAAAGTCGATTAAAACCCTTGTGGACGTGAAAGTGAAGGGAAACCGTCATTCTCCCAGCAATTTGATGGCAATAACTTGGGGATGTAACCCATGTTCATATGGTGAAATCATGCGAAGGGTGAATCTCTAAGGTTGGTCGATATCCAGATCTACCTGGTGGTCGAATAAACTCTAGGAATGGTTGAAATATGTTGAACATGTAGAACATCAAACTCATCACCAGCTGAAGGTTCATCAAACGGGCTGAAGTGTGTGCTTCAATGCAATACTGTAATTATGCCTAAAATAGTTGATCCTAGATGAAAGAAGGACCCATCTTTTCTTCATCTCTTTAAGCAGCAAATGGTTTTTGTCCATCATGAAGTGGCGCAGCAGCAGCAGCAGTGCTAAGGAACATGGTCCATTCACAAATTATGTGGAGGTTTCCTAAAATAGGGGTACCCCCAAATCATCCATTTCAATGTCGGACTTTCCATTATAAACCATCCACATTGGGGTACCCCCATTTATGAAAATTCCAAGCCAAGTCACGGGTGTAAAAGGTAGTTGTCCCTTAGGCTTAGCTGATCCGATTTTCGCATGTGGTGACCGTCCAACAATAGGGGACCTATTGAAAGCTCCCATGGTGATCAACATGCAATTCTGGGAAATACATGGAAATACATGGAAATACCACATTTTTGGACAAAGCCAGGTATTATACTGTGGGTGCTACAGTTTATATATATATATACATATATGTGTATATATATATATATACACACCATTACATCACCATTGTGCTTGGTTATAACCCCGCATGTTTGTTGGTTGAATCCCCTACATAGACAATTGCAGATTAAAATTTCTGAAAATCTCTATATCATTAAAACCAACCACATTGTTAAGATCCCCTGTATTAAAGCGCGTTACCCTGGAACCTCCACAATTCGACGTCGGTTCTTGTCCATCACTGCCAGGTTCAGCAGAACTCCGCAACAACCAACCTGTCAAAATCTGGTTGAACAACCAACAAAATGTGAATTTACGCCCCAATCAACTTCTGCAGTAGGTCAGTAGGGATATCGGAACCATTCCGAACCAAAGACCAATTCAAGGGAGGATCTTTTCAAAAGCCCAAATGTTTAGAATCCCTATTTTCATGGATCAATCACCATGTTTGGATCTTAAATTCTGATTTTTGATGGTTAAATCATATTAAATCCCTATTTTTGGTGGTTGAATCACCATGTTGGCTCTGTCAAATCACCATTTTGGTGCTGCAAAAAGCTGGACACCTCGAGCTCAGCACAGCTGGTGTGCTTCGCCATGATCTCAGGACGGGGATGGGTCAAACTCTCCCCCAAAACCCACAGATTTTGGATGATTCTAGTGTGTATATTATATACTGGTTGGTGGTTTCAACCCTCTGAAAAATATTAGCCAGTTAGGATTATTATTCCCAATAATTATATGGAAAAATCAAAAATGTTCCAAACCACCAACCAGTATAGATAGTGTATATTTTGTATTGACTCACTATATGAGTGGAATACTATGTTTGGAATGTCATGGAATGTATATTTTCTAATATGAACATGTACCGAATCGAATGAAATTGGGCTACCCAATTTTGACTTACACCCTTTTCTTTCCTAAACACTTGGGATTTGACCATCAGCAATATTTCCAAAGTAGTCCAGAACCTTTCTGAAGTTCATAAGACTTTAACCAAGATGGAAAAATCAACCAGTTAAAACGGGGTTCTAAAGGTTGTATGAAATTCAATCAACAAACATGTTAAAATTAGGGATTATGATTATATTATACCATATTATGCCCAACAGATAAATGTGGGTTGTTGGTGCAAACCTCTAGGGACGAAATCCGTTACGATATGGGAGATCACGGTCAGAGATGGAAATGGTGAGCACGAACATCTGGTAATTCAAAAACACACAAATCTCGTGGTTGGTTGTTGCAACCCTCCTGGGTTGTAAGTTGTCAATTGAAGCTTATGGTTTTGAGAAATGGGCATATAGGAAACATTGGCAGCCAAAAAAAAAAAACGGATGTGGTCCAGAATTTGGGAGTAACGGGAAAGTAAGCAACAACAGAAGAGGTACGAGTATCACACCAATGATTGCGGACAATAAGTTAGAATGAGAACCGATCTTCAGTTAGGTCACTCAAGATACTCAAGCAAGAGTAAGCAAGAAATAAGGCATGCAGGTTAGTGTAGACATGGAGTGGTCTGCCCTAAATTTGTTGCTTTGATGGGCAACTGATGATAAGACATGACAATGTGTCGTTTTACCAGATCCTGTGGGCATATCCCCATTTGATAATTGTTGAATTACGTAATTACGTCACCACCACATGTTTACTGGGCAAATCCCGATTTCAGAAATGAAAGATCAGAATCAAGATCGGATTCACGATCGGTTTCACCGAATATGATTGAAGATGTTTGAAGAGAAACGTCTGAACACCACAAAACAACTATCTGAATACAATTAAAACAAGATGCAGCCCACGAACCCGAATGCAGTCACGTAGAACACTTTTGTGAAACAAATTATTTGAACAGTCTTGGACAATTTTCCCCTGTTACCGTACCACTAGAAGTGCGGAGCGTAAAGTGTGGAGTGTGGAATCTAAAGTGGAAACTGTGGAGTGTAGAGTGTGGAGTGTAGTGTGGAGTGTGCAGTGTAAAGTGTGAAGTGTGAAGTGTGGAGTGTAAAGTGTGGAGTGTAGAGTGTGGAGTGTAGAGTGTGGAGTGTGGCAGTGTAAAGTGTGAAGTGTGAAGTGTGAAGTGTGGAGTGTAAAGTGTGGAGTGTAAAGTGTGGAGTGTAAAGTGTGGAGTGTGAAGTGTAAAGTGTGGAGTGTGGAGTGTAGAGTGTGGAGTGTAGAATCTGGAGTGTAGAGTGTAGAGTGTGGAGTGTGGAGTGTAAAGTGTGGAGTGTGGAGTGTAGAGTGCGGAGTGTAAAGTGTAGAGTGGAAAGTGTGGAGTGCGGAGTGCGGAGTGCAAAGTGTAAAGTGTGGAGTGTAAAGTGTGGAGTGTGGAGTGTAGAGTGCGTAGTGTGAAGTGTAAAGTGTAAAGTGTAAATTGCGGGTGTAGAGTGTAGAGTGTGGAGTGTGCTGTTTAAAGTTTAAAGTGTGGAGTGTAAAGTGTAAAGTGTGGAGTGTGAAGTGTAAAGTGTGGAGTCCACAGTGTGAAGTGTAAAGTGTAAAGTGTGGAGTGCAAAGTTTAAAGTGGGGAGCGTGGTGTATGTATGGAATGTGGAGTGTAGAGTGTAGAGTGTAGAGTACGCAAAAGTATTGCGCTTACCACACAAAAAGGACTCTCGATACGTTTCCAGACACATGGCAAAACCACATTACAACTTGCTTTGACACCTTCAAAAAGGAAATGTTTTGCAGCTTCCCCCATAGACACGGTGAGACCACAGACATGTTGGAGCATCAAAACGAGCATTTCCTGCGAGACTTCCTCAAAAATTCACACTTTGTAGCTTCAAAATCGACGTTTTCCTACGAGTTTTCCTTAGAACATGAAAAATTGCAACCTCAAATTCGATGTTTCGTGCGAGGCTTCCGTCAAGTTTCAGCGCATCTCACAAGATGCCACGCCTGCCACGGAATTTGCACCTTGTCACCACTTGATGCAGCCCTGACAATGCGATTCGCACAAAACGATGATTGTCTCCAAAGTGTTGCGCCTGCCACGAAAAATGCAGCGCATCTTCTGAAAACGTCGCAAGAGTATTGCGCATGCCACACAAAACGATTTTGTCACGTTATGAAACATGCCTGAATGTCACAAAGTGCCACGCCTGCCACGCGAAACGAAGCTACGCGACGTTTGAAACCCTCAAAAGTAACCCCTTTTGCGGAAATCGCCATAGGCACGGCCATACGGCCCTCACACGAACGGTTGCGGACGGTTGCGCAACGTCGAGCGAACACACCCTCAGTGAAACGGGAACCCTTGCTATTATACGTATTCGGGAAAAATCCACTGTCACTGAATCCACCAACCTGAACAGTTGGGCCATTTGGGGTTAATCTCCCATCACGATCATTCCCTAGTGGGAAAACTCATCCAGAGTATCCACATGATATCACAGTATGCCACCATTTTTGTTGGTGAAATCACCTTTATGGTTAAATATCCTCATCTTCTCCAAAAAAAAAGCTCCATTTTCATGGTTGAATCACCATTGCTCCAGAAATTGCTGGATAAAATCACCATTTTTTGTCAAGCTAAATCATGTACCACGGTAAATCACCATTGTTTGTTGCCTAAATCACCATGAGGGGTTGGTAAATGTCCCATTTTGGGAAGATTGGACATCACCTTATAGTAGTTATTATAGACCATATACCTAATGGTTGGGTGATGTTCAATGGGGACATTCAATGACCCATGACCATGTTCGTCCCGTAAGTTCAACGGTCACTGGGTGCGTCCCCGCAGTGGTCACACAATCCACCGCACCATGGGCCGTTGCTCGATCCACAGCCTCTGCGTACGCCAAGCAACATTGGGGCTACCGAAAATTTTTCACATGGTGAAATAGGGCCAAATAATATGACCATTAAAAATGAAACATGATCATATAAATGACGACATGATCATATATAAATCAGGGGACACGTTGCGGTGTCAGATAGACAGCGTCTCCACTCGTGCGATGTCTGAAGTCTCACGAGACCGCCTGTTCATCGTAGGTCAGGTTCCAAAAGCTGTCCATCATGGGCTTCAAGAGCAAAGGATCACACTCCTTGCCATTGCAAAGCGGACCAAAAGCTTATGACCAGCTGGTTACCTGCTTGGAATGAATTTGTGCCAACAAAAACCTGAACTTGTTGATGTGAATGCATGATTCCTGCAGTGGTTTCAAGCAAACCGGTTCAATTACAGTAACTTCCACCAGAGTTATAACTGTCTTATCGAGTCCTATATATATATATATATATATATAGTCGTATTATATACATAGATAAAGCTATTATATACATAGATAAAGCACCCCCAAAGATCGCAACGTTTTTAACCCGTTTATTTTGACACATAATCTGCGCCAGCCTGGGAATATGTTTCTCTCTTTTTTTGGGTTGCTGCAACTTACTCCCCAAGCATCACTGGTTTGAATGGTTATATCACCACGTTTTGTGCGTAAACTCCAAAAATCCAGCGTTTTTTTTTTTAAATCTACTAGTTTAAAAAAAAAACAAGTGCCCTTTTAGTTTATGTATATGTAAATATGTACCTATTTATATGTATGTATATTGCCTTGGATATGATGTGTATAATACATATATACATAAATATATATATATATGAGAATATTATATATATATATATGATAATATTATATATTTATATAATTATATATACGTATATACAAATATATTTAAATATTTGTGTATATATATTATATATATATATAGATACACCATGATACACCCATACTACACCATGCAACAGCACTTTCTTCAGCCCACGGCTCCTGGTGCGCCCGAAGCCTGGGCGACTCATCAGTAGAAACCACGACCAAAAAAAGTGATGGGATAAATCATGGAATGAGGGGATTCCATGATTTTTTTAAGAATTTCTGGAATGATTCGAAACGTTTTCTGAATATCTAGCATAATAATGAATGATGATGAATAATGTTTTTTTCCATATTATATATTACATTGGATTTCAGCCTCTTTGTCTGTGGCACTTTTGGAGGCTTGGCCGTATGGAAAGGAATATGTTGCAACCTATGTTGTAACATATGTTGGAACTCATGTTGGGTCTTCACGAATCATATGGCATAAGTCACAGCCATGTTGGAACTAGTGTTGGAACTTGTGTTGGACTAGGGTATACAGTATAGCTGTATAACAATATAACTATAACTGCAACTCAACTCTGAGTAATATGCTAATATAATAATATGATATATAAAATAAATCTAGCCAGGACCATAACCTGCATAAGTTCATTTACAGGCCATGGTTAGGGTTGAACACGCTCTCATTAACCAACCAACCTCATTCACAACCAAAAGTACACTGCAGTTTCAGTATGGTGACCGGCTGGTAACCCCAAGACTGAAGAGATCTAATGTTAACTTAACGTAAGTTATACTTAAAATGAGGTGCCTCGTCGAACGGTTCAGAACGGTTCTGGGGGTACGTGGGAAAGTTCCACTGAACGGTTCAGAACGGTTCCGTGGTTACGTTTTTTCCCATAAATCACTGAACGGTTCAGAACGGTTCAGAACGGTTCCAGAACTATGTCAATTTTGGGGTTGGTTGGCTCGAGAACGGTTCAGAACGGTTCAGTGGCCACGTAAAAACACATATGTGTTTAGCTATGTTTTAACCTGTATAAGTTATATAATTATATAATTATATAAGTTTAAGTTAAGAAGAGATATGTAAAACATGTGTTAAGTCATAGGTAAACACCTAAAGAAGAGTTATATTAACTATAAGTTAGATTATAGATGATAGATGTAAGCGGCAAGTAATACATTGAAAGTATGTTGATAATAAAGTTGTGATAAACAATGATGATGACAATATCTTTGTGATCATGATGAGGATTGAATTGTCAACTTGTAAGTCAGGAGTCTCATGGGTCTTAAGCCACACATGACCAGTGAGTCGTGAGTGATGAGTAAGTACCAGCATCATAAACTGGCAAGTGGAACCAGTTTTTGGATCTTCTTGGCAGTTTCTTCAGATTTCCTCCCCTCTACATCCTGCCCCGGCTGGCTGCTTGAGGGCTCACCCCAGATTTCGGAAATGCAAAATGAGACATGATATAAATATATGGATAGGTGATAGATGATAGATAATATATGTTTATATTATATTTACGTAGGACGAGAACTATCCTGAACCGTTCTGAACCGTTCTGGTGATCACCTGGTTGATATGCACATGTTGGAAGCTATGTTGGAAGTCATGTTGCAAGTTATGTTGGAAGTTATGTTGAAAATTTATCTTGAAAGTCTTGTCAGGAAGTCATGTTTCAAGTAATGTTGGAAGTTATGTTAAGTTATTTTGAAAAAAGCTTGAAAGTTATGTTGGAAACCAAGAGCCCAGGAGGGATCTGCATTGATAGTATGAAGCAGTTGTGCATAGATATCATTAGTAATCAGCAATGTGTTGAAGTCAGTCTGTGAAAGACAAAGGAGGACACAAATCGAGTCGAGTTCAATCAATGATGATGTGGCTGATGTTTTGAAAGCTAAGCAAGGGCAGCGCATAAACCATGAAGGATCCCTGGGACATATGTTAAGTTTTACAATACAAGAAAAGTACACAGTATAGAAATGATTGATGATCGATACATTGAAATTGAAATATGAAATATGACATGTGACGTGTGTGTGTGTGTTTGTGGTACTGTGTGGGTATACAGTATACGGTGCACATTCAGAAGATATTATATTAATATGATTCGACTATGATATAATTGATATAGTCATAGTTGCAGTCATAGTCACGGTAGTCATACGTCATATGTAGGTGTACTGCACGCTAGTACTGGAGGGGTCAACAATGTCACAATATCTTCACTATGCATGTGCGCACTACCAACATATACCAACATCAAATAACATCAATATGATTTCAAAAACATGGTTCAAGATTAAGATGAAACGGTCTTAATTAGTATCATATCATGTGATTAATATGCAACGGTCTTACAGTATGTGCGTTCCATAGGATTCAAGATTCAAGATGATTGCACAGGTTCATGGTGTAGCTGTTTTATGGCAATAATATGGACACAAATGCAATACATTATATAAATTATATATGATTATGATAAATTGCAATATAAATACCCACATATTCAGATATTCATATTTCCAATACAGTATGTGTAACATGGTTTTGGGCTCATCCTATGCCTATAACTAACCTTGTTACAGTACCCACATCTTTCCCAACATCATGTCTAACGTAATTTCCAACATCTGTTGGTGCAGACTTGGGTCAAGCCTGTGTTCAGGGTTTCTGTATGGCAGAAAGCCTCCTTTAAAGAGGCTAGATTTCAATGTAAATTATATATATATATATGTGGATGTGTCAACTATCAAAAGATCTATCTGCCTATCCATCCATTCATCTATGTCTCTATGTACATATATTCAGCATGATCTAGCTACTATTTTGTGTACTGGTGAATAATGTTTTTTTCTCCAGGTTGTACCATGGTGTGTGCATGTTGTGGGCGTTGGTGGTGGGACTTGATCAATCGGTGATAGGTCCTACAACGTTTTGAAAGATGGCATGCATTGAGAGGTTGTGACACCTCCGTCAAGTGACTAACTTCATGTCGGAACGGGAACTTCTCTTTCCCAAGAACCAGACTGATTTCACTGGTAAAATGGCAAGTTCTCTTTGGAAGCAGTGTACCAGTGGACAAGTGGACACTATGCTATCAAGACTTACCGTCTCAATTAACAAAGACATAGACATCATAGACCAGGGATGACCAGGGTCTACGTATGTCTACGTGTCTATGTCGAGATGGTAACTCGTCATCGGGGATCATCATCCCGTTTGAACAAAGCGAAACAAATGAATTTGACACCTCCACACAGCAGCAATGTCAGTAATGGAGAAAATGCGGGATGATTATAGGATTACAGCATCCCCAAACATGTTTTTTGGTCGAATAAATGACGGCAAGCCGACCTCACCGTTGCTTCCAACCATCTTCCCATCACCCAATGGGAGTCCCAGGCGTCCCATGGCGTGAAACGACAGGGACTCCCGACAGGGACAGGATCACTTCAACAGCTCCAGAAGAAATCAATTCTTGTTGGCCATCCACCTAGGGTCGAAGCGGCAGCTCACCAACCTGAAAATATGGAGATTGATGGGGATATCATGGGATTTATATGGATTTATGATCAACAATCTGACTTTTGGGATGTGCGGGATCTGCACACATGCATGGGGCTTCAGGGATTTCAGCATCAAAAACGGACATGATCCTATGAATAATGGAAATGGGTTTATATGCAAAATGCAGGATGCCCCAATTGATAGCTGAGTGATGGCCGATTTCACGGGAAAACCATGTCATGTCTGACATGCCTTTGAAAACGGAGAACTTCAGAACCAAAAAAGGACATGAAGACCTTAAAATATCAGACCCAAATGGAGGAGCTGGGCTAGGATCCAGGACTTGGGATAGGTCTGAAAGCTAAAACATCTTGAAACAATATGAAGTAACAATGGTAAACACATAGATATGTGAGTGTATACATATATATATGTATTGTATTTACACAGGTCATAATTATCAAATATGTTGAAAAGGCAAAGCCTTTCATACATATATGTAATTATATGTATATATATATATACATATATATTCATATGGAAAAAAACAAAACATGTATTAGTAATAAGTATGGCCAAAATACCATAAGTATGATATATATATATATTCCTACATGGTTAAATATAGCTAATATGATATATATATATGGTTAAGTAACAGTATTCTTATAGCTATATTCATGAATCCACTATTGAATATGTATATAGTATATATAGTATATATCTGGGTAAATTATACTAATTCACTAACCTGAAATAAGGCCATGTTGGGATGATTCCTCTTATTAACCATGATTTCCAGGGCGAGGTCACAGTGAGGTCGTTATATGGTTACCAGGCCGCCGCACATCGTCGAAGCTGATGTCCTCCAAGGACCTGCACACCTGTAGGGGTTATAACATGTAGATTAACCCTAGAAAAATCTCAAGACTGAAATAACTAGGGAAATACGAGGGATATAAGCCACTTAGTGGGGTGAGCCACCAACATAGCTATGAACATTGGCTCATTTTGAGATTTATTTATGATTATTTATTAAAGATGGTGATTTTCCATAGCTACATTAAGATACCAAAAAATGGCAGCCAGCTGTTTTTGTGGATCAATTTGAATGTGGTCAAGGTTTTCCTTGTTTGGACGATAAAGCCAGTGCTACATTAGGGTATTCCAGCATCAGGATCCTCCATGTAAACTAGTTTCACTGTCAACTTGCTTATGTATGAATGAATGAATGTATGTCTATGTACATGTATACATATATATATCTATGTATACACTGTGTATATATATATATATATATATGTGATTATATATGGACCATATGGATGTATATATAGTATGCGTATATCAGCTACTTCATGCACGATTGTCGTGGATGCGCATTTGCACAGGTCAAGAATATTATTCAATCACATCCTTTGAGTTCTACTGGGATGAGTCCCACTCACCATCAAAGAGTATCATGCACATATCCCTATCCAAAATATTGGAGAAACCATGCTTTCCCAAGAAAATAGGATGATTACACTATGAAGCATTCATGGTAGACTGTAATAGTTGCCGGAGAGTAAATCCCCATGTTGGCTTCTTAAATCTTCATTTTGGCTGGTCAAACCCTGTTTTTTTTTTAAAAACTTACATACCCATTTATAATATATGTATATATATATAATGTTGTATCCTGATTAGTAGCTAAGTTCGCTATTGTGCCAAAAACATTATATCACTCTACATTATCTGTGTCATAATGTGTATATTCCATAATTATTAGTGTTATTTTTTCCTTACCCATTCACCAACCAATATTCTGGTCAATTCTTTTTCCCCCACCCTGGCGGGCGCCGCCCATGGGTTGCCCAGAGCCCCGCCTTAGAACAGGTGGCCACGTCGTGCTGACTCTTTATCAAATGGGCCATCAAATCGCGAATGGCTCCAGCCTTGCCGACACCTGGCGTCGTAACCCTGGAATTGACTTTTTTTTTTTCTGTGAACTTTGTATCTTTAGTGATACAATTACACCTAAATGGGGTAGTCATATCTATTATCTGTTGTTCCATATGTTTCAATGGAGAATTTAAAGGGGTAACATCCATTAAAACAAACGGATGTTCGTGAATCATATCTGTTTTAGTGACATGTGGCAACAAACAAACGGATACGCTTCCCGTAACAATGGCAATCGTTTATACTTTAATGGTGCCATTAAGGCCAGATAATCCATTGAAATTCAAATAAATCCACCTGAGATCACTGATACATTGAGATGTTCAAAGCAACAAATTGATGGGACCGCAATTGAGAACAGGCTTCCGAGTTCATGAGTAAAGTGAATCCCAACTAAACCACGCTTTAATTCAGAAACTCGCTCCATGAATCCCCTAACCCCCGTTAACAAAACCAGAACCCCTGATAGTTCATACATAATCAAATGGGATTTTGGTCATTGCTTACCTGAGATCTGTTTGCTCGGAGATTGGTGAATTTTCATGATTTTTCCACATGGCCAGCACCAAGCCGGGAAAGTGAGACATGTATTCTAGGTAGGGTAATAAGCAGGAGAAAGGATGATGTACTGTAAGGATCTGTAAGGGTGTGAACCACATGCAATCTAGGAGACTGTTCACAAAAAGGACAACAAAATTTGGGACGGTCCCATCGCTTACCACACGTGCAGCTACAAACATGATGGCAAAATTGGGAGGTTCTCTCGTGTAGGTGATATAACCTTCAGAGGGGGTATCGCTGGAAAGGTCCCATCACTTGCTCGTCCTGTTTGCAGAATTTCTGAAAACCAATGCCCGTCCCTTACAAGTGTCCTATTGAAGTTTTTGTGGTGGCTCAAACAAAGCGTTTTTTTTCCAAACGACAAGAGCTGGGGTCAAGAGCTTTCCGCGGACTCCCGAGTAAAAGATCGTAGAAGGTAGTAAAGTATATATTACCTTCTACATCCTTCTACTATCTTCTACTCGGGCTTCCTCAATCCAGTAGATGTAGTCTGCGAAGCCGCTGAAGCGATCCATGGCCTCATCCAAATTGCGCCTTTCGAAGTCTTTACCATCTGGGCATCGGTGTTTCTCATAGAAGCACAGAATCGGTTTGTCAAGGATGAGTTGGCCCTCTCAAGGATCACTGTTGTCGTTGCCATAATCCACCTTGAGGCACTCATCAGGTGTTTCGACTTGTTGGGGTCTGTTGACATCAGGGTCGATCATATTGACCTGGCACTTGGGGGGGCTTCCACGTGGTCCTCATCGGCACCAGGTTTGGCTGAGATCTGCCATGTTTTTTCCTGCAAACCTGTCTTTAGCACATATCTCCACGTTTGTTCCGCGCAGTGCTTTTTGTTGTTCTTCATGTTTTGCAAGGTGCTCTCAAAGGTGCTGTCCCCGATCTCGGCCAAAGAAGTCGACATTTCCTGAGGATCCTTCTCTTCCCGGAACCATCCCTTCTGAATCCCTTCCTTAAGGATCCTTAAGGAAGGGATTCAGAAGGGATGGTTCCGGGAAGAGAAGGATCCTGTGGACATCTGGATTCTTTTCCAGGAAGTCCGAGCTCACTGGCTCGTTCTCTTTGGGCTTATGCTTCAATTTGTTGGTCCTGTCCAATGTACTCACCACAGACGTCGCCTTTCTTGGCGGTGTCAAACTGGGAGACCCATGGACCTGCTTGGGGCTCAGGACTGAGTCGCACATTTGTTCCCTGCTGCTGTTCTGCAGCACACAACGGATGGAAGGGCAGGTCCTGCCGTTCCATCCGCATGAGCGCCCACAGCAGCCCAGAATCTCTGCCTCAACTTGGCGAACGACTCTATCAGTGCAGGTCTCTTCAGAAGGCACTGCAGACCTGATATCACTGGTCATCTTGTAGATGTTCTTCAGGGTCTCGTTGACGATCTCTTTGCATTCATCCTGGCAAACATGGTGCAGCAACTTCTGGTGCTCTGTGGAAGCTGGAAATCCTTCTGTGACCAACAGGTCCAAGTAGCCCAATCCCTTGGTCGTGCTCCGAGAACGCATTGGCTTCACGGAAGAGGGCTTTGAGAGGTGCCGAAATTGTTCAAGGTGCCGATGAAGACCTCCTGACAGACCTGCGGGGTCACCCCCAAATCCTTCTGGGCGAAGTTCTCGACCGTAGTCCCACAACCGTATGTCCAACATCTTCTCCGCGACGGCCGCGCAAAATCGCACGGCTGCCGCCTCCACCACCCTCGAGCGCTCCTGGGCTTTCTCCTGGCCACCGAGACATTTGCAGCGTCGGGTTGGCAGCTGCAAGGCGAAAAGAAAGCAGCGTGTCTCCGTCGGCATCTTTGACTTCCTCAACATCCCGCGGCTGCGGCGAAGTATAACTTCCCCGCAGCCGTGGGATGGATATAAATTGCGGAGACAATAACACCTCTCTTCACTCGAAACTCCCCAAATGTGCAGCCCTGGACGAGCCGCTTGCACGGCATTCAGGGCCAAAACAAAAAGGATAATGAAACAACGAAGGCGCTTCCCGCAGCACATTGCAACGGGTGGAAAGGAGGCTTATGAGAGAGAACCGGGCGCGTTTCAGAGAATCGGGCGCTTGAGTTCGAACAAAACAGGAAACAATATGCTATGCCGAATTGTCAAGTTGCAAGAGTTCAACACAAGCATTCTCCATGGATTCTGGATGTTCGGAACTTCTCAAGTTTCACGGATTCTCGTCAACAATGTAACAATTTGTGCAAATGTGGAAATGCGCAGATCAATGGGTCGGTCATTTGCAGCATCACAGACCGGAACGTTCCCTTACCAATCTGGAGAATTCCAAAGACAAAAAACACTCATTCAGTTCACATGGCAAAGGGACTTTTCCCTCACTCTAAATGTTCAGACTATGTTCCAACCATGTTTCACTTGGGGGTTCAATGTAGTTAGAAGCGTTTGGTTTGTTGGGGCATGCTGGGGCTAATTATGGGGGTTACCATAACTTGGCTGCTCGTGACCACACAAACCCGAGGCCCTCGGCACCTGTGGCTGCTCCCTCCTGCAGGGATCGTCATCACTTACGGAACATCCCCTTTGGTAATTTAACAAGATGGAAAACTAATTATATATCCCTCTGGAAAATGCTATCTTAAATATGTGGAAAACCACAATTTTTATCCATGTTTGGTAAACTACAGTATCTACAGGGATCGCTTAAACATGTCTCATTCACGACGAGCCCCTTTCAGACACGTGAGTCGTAAGTTTCTCAATCGAATTCAAAGTTTTGTTGTTGTTTTCCCCCAATGCTATACAGTTATAACAGTTATGGCCATTTATCAGTTATAACTGGTTATAAATGGGATTATACATTCTATAAATGGGCTTTTCTACCAGTACTTTTAACTGGTATAACTCGGGCCATAACTGCAGACCATCCCATCAACACTGGGGCTCATTTTAAATCATCCCATTGCAAGGAGTATAGCCACCTTATTCCACGTCGACCTCGTTGGAGATCTGAGATATGCGCTAAATGTGTCCCTTCCGAAGGTGAGACCACTTGCCACATGTTGGACATGTGTTTGCATGATAATAACATGTGTATACAATTATATATATATATATACACACTATACATATATATATACATATAAAAGCATATGAATCCCCACCATCAGTACAAAAAAATAGCATCGTCTTCGGATCCATTCATATAAACCTCCACAAGGATCATAACACTAGATTGCTTTTTTTTTTTTTTAAACATAGTCTAAGTACCCAATACATCAAACAAGTAGAAAACAAACATAACATACAATATACTATATGTACACTGATATATACTCTACTGATATATACTGCTACATACTGATATATTATATATATATATTGCATTACATTGCTATAATATTGCTATAATATGCTATAATGCTATAGAACAATGGTGGAACTTATGTAGGTCACATCCAGCCGTTGGAGCTGACCTCGATGGGCGAAAACGGCGTTGGCGCAAAGGCCGGAGCGTCCTGGCGGGATGTCTACCGGTGGGATTTTAGGGTGGTGCCAACCCATAGGATCCATGTATGGTATATATATGCTAAATGACTGGGTTATATTGATGGGATCCATGTTGCCATATATAGCAGCACCATGGATCCTATGGGCAATGGGATATGCATTGAATAAAAATGACATGATCCAGTTTTTTTGGCATTGTGAACTATTGGATGTAATTGGATAAACTTATTTTCCAGAAGTATTGAATATGCTTATTTGATCTTAGTTGGATAACGAATTGGACTATTAACTGGGACTATGAATTGGGACAATGAATTGGGACTAAATGGATAATAACAAACTTAGATAACTAATGGGATACTCTCGGGTAATCAAACATGGCTGGCTGGATTTCTCCAATCAATAGCCATTAAAATGGGAAAGTAATCTAAATTGGTGATTTTCCAGCCAGCCATGCTTGATTACCGAAGCATATTAAAGGCAGTCAGTGAATCTAAGCATTCAACTGGGATAGTTGGGATGATTCATTCAGACTTCCTTGGATATACATGAGGAGTCGCAAATAGGTCAACTAATCAAATAGATAAAATAGATCAAATGCCAACCAGGCAGTTCTAATGTGTACCCCTTTCCAACTGGGACATGGGATGCCAGGCAGTTAACTCATGAGTCATCCTAATGAGGTCCAAACCCATCTGAATCCATGGTGCAATGGCCTCACCAATTGGATTTCATAGGACTTAGTGAAAAATCATGGGAATTCATGGGAGTTCATCAAATTTCATACAATTTTCTGGATGTTATCCGAATTCTTGATTTCAATCCGCTCATCTTTGGGCCTCGCAATCCCGGTATCCAGGTCATCAGATGCACGACATCTCTGACTTCGTTGCGTGCCCTACCGTGTCTTCTGCTGATCAACCCACATGTTGTATTGTGTTTTGATGATGTAAACTCAATTTCTGATCAGGAATCCCTATTTATGATTCGTGCATCCGAAAGAATATCCACTTGCTTCATGGCCAATTTGTATGTTCTTTCCTAAACATTAAATTTATTTCATCCCAATGTTTGATGACACCGAGCTGGGTAAAACAACAACACCATTCGCCCGCCAGCGAGCGAAGCCGGCACCTGCGTTCCCATGGCTCCAGCAGCGAACCTTCCAACACCAGAGGTGGCTGTGAAAGTTGGGCATACTATACTGATATAGTTGATGAATAATCACTAATAGATACTAATAGATGATTCATACCTTTTATCATGAGATAGTTGATGACTGATACTGATGAATAATGGTTACCCTCCAGCAAATTAACATAGACCCTGCCATTTTTTGAGGGGGTTGGAAGATGAGTTTCCACTAAAAAAAATGTTATCTTATGATATGTTCAAGGTCTATGTAATGATCCAATCAAATTCGGAGGTCCATTTTCAGATAACCACCCAAATATATTACTGGTTGGTAGATGAATTGTAATGGACAAATAATGCAATACACCCAAAATCACAAACCCATAAACCATCCCCATACCATTCCCCGACTTGCCAACACTGCGTAGGATGAAAACCATCACCTCGTGGATGTTTATTCTTGGGTTTGCCGTACGGATGGTTTACCAAATTGGTGACGCAACAAAAAAGTATGCCGACAGTATGCGCAAGAATATACAACTTCCAGTTGTACCCATTGTCAAACGGGGTCATGTGCACATTGTTTTGGCTACTTGGATGGTATACTCATCTTTGTATCCAAATTGTTTTTTTCCCAAGCGAACCTGTCGGTCAGCCTTGCATGATATCCACAGAGGCACCATCTATTCATCCCATGGGCAACTGAGTTGCCGAACAGCCTCCCATTCAATGAATCCAGCTGGAATCAAGCACTTTCCACCAAGGAGCCTTGATTCCATCTCAAAGAGTCTGGCTTGGAGCTCCTTGTTCTTCATTTGTTCTTCCTGGCAAAGGCTGATAGCAAAATAATTGTCCATCCTTGCCATCTGTGACCCTGATGCAAATGTTAATATTCATATACAAATAAAGAGCGTATCAAAGAAAATCTACACAAAGGGCCCGCAAGAATCCCACATCAATATGTGGATATCTATATATATATATGTATATATATATATATATATGTATATATATATATATACAGTATATACATATATAAAGATATATTATTGTTTTTTATAGACATACATATATACAATTATATACATACATTACATTACATTACATTACATTGCATGACATGACGTTACATTACATAACATGACATGACATGACATTACACTACATTACATTACATACAATACAATACAATACACTACAATACAATACAATTCAATGCAATACAATACAATACACTACAATACAATACAATACACTACAATACAATACAATACATACACACATTAATTACATTACATTACATCACATGACATTACATTAACATTACATTAACATTACATTACATTACATTACATTACATAAATACATATATATATATATATACGTATATATATGTCATACATATATATATATATATATACCCAGATACGTTGGGTTCACGTAAGAATGCAGTAAATCACTAGTATGTCCGGAAAGTAAAAGTTTTATCTGCGTAAAAATACAATTTCGAAGTATACCGGTATGCCGTAATTCTGGACGAACCCGGACTTGTATCAGGTTCTTTGCAATGGTCCTCATTGTGTACATGCAAGAATATCTACATTCAAAACAATGGTCTCAAAATCCAGGCAGCTTAATCTCATGAATATCCCTTGCTCTACACGTCTGGAAAATCCGCACCAACTAGCAAGGGATCAGTCCTGCAGCGCTTGGTTCTTGGCGGCCTCCAATTGTGATAGCCTCAGGGACAATGCTAGATGGAGTGGGCACGTGAATCGCCTGATCGATGCTGTGTTGATGCTATTTGATTCCCTGAAAAGGGGGAGGGCTGAAATGCCTGAACTATACCTGGACAACCATGTGCCATTGGCATTGCCTGCCTCACAAACCCTTTCCTGAATCATCACAGGCAGCGTAAAATGTCGAATTCAAGACCTCTATATACAGGTCTTTACGTTAAGCACCATCAGCACTCATTGGCCGCAACATGCCGCAATCAAAGCAACATACTGTAAAATCTGTAAATATTTTTTTCCCCTGAATTTCCCCTAAACTTCCCCAGTAGCTGAAAACACAAGTGCGCAGAAGTAATCGTATAGAGACATGATGACACATGATCCCATATAATTTATAATACTTCCCACCAAGGAGCTTTGATTCCATCTCGGACAGTTTGGTTTGCAGCTCGTTGTTCTCCTGTGGCCTTCCCTCCTTGCCACGTTCCCGTGATGCAAGCAAATCGAGAAAAACAGTGGCCTAGCAGTGCCAAGCAAAAAAAACGTAGCGAAAGATGAACAAGTCTAGAACAAAATCAAACATGATTCGTCAATTTGTGGGGTTCTGTGCAATGGCCTTCATCTTGTAGATGCAAACAACACTCTGCATTCATCTGCATTCCAAACAAAAAACTGAATCCAGCAGCGTAACCTTCTGAATGTGCAGCATTGTGATATCATTGTGCTTAATGCACAAGAAACCGACAATTGCAAGCCACCACCCCCTTTATCATCCATATATTGGTCAGTCCTGCAGTACTTGCGCCAGCCTAGGGGACAATAGTAGATGGACTGGGTGGATGAATGCTGGATCCACTTAGTCTCTGATCGATGCTATATTTACCTGGAAAGCCATAATCCCATTTTTTTTTGGTCAAACGGCCTTGACCATTTTTTTTTGGTCATTACGGCTTTGATCGTCTGGAGCCACTTCTGTGAGAGTTGCTACGGCTTTTTACGGCCTTTTTTCAACAAAATGTCGAAAAAGTACGGTTTTGCTACGGGTAGGCTTGTGTGAGAGCTGCTACGGTTTTTTACGGCTTTGTTTCAACAAAATGTTGAAAAATACGGTTTTGCTACGGGTAGGACTGCAATGTTCTTTTGATTTGAACATTTTTTTTGGTCATTACGGGTAAAAACAATATTTTACAAAAAAAAAAAGAAGTTCATTACGGCTTTTTCCCATAATGACCAGAAAATTTTGTGTTTTTGGCTTTCCAGGTATATATACATATATATATATATATCGATGTATATCGATGTTATTTCATACCCTGAAAAAGCAGAGGGGGGTGGAATGCCCGAACTGCAGCTGGACATTCATGTGTCATTGGCTGCGTCAGAAACCCTTTTCATGAATCATCACAGACAGCCTAAGTTTTCAAAATCAAGAGCACTCTACTGCCGCCCCACTGCCCTACACAACCACAATGGTTACTCACTGGCCGCAGCAAAAACAGCATTTAAAACTTCCCCAGTAGCTGAAAACACAAGTCAGCTCAAAACACCAAGGAGCTTTGATTCCATCTCGGACAGTTTGGCTTGGAGCGCGTTGTTCTTCATTTGCTCTTCCTGTGGTTTTCACTCAGAAGGGACATGAAGGGTCCATATTGCTCACTGGATCCCATATACTGCTTATATATACCACTTGCGTTCCCTGCTTGCCACATGCCGATGTTGCAAAAACATCAAGAGAAAACTGATAGCAGAACATATCAGCAGTGAAAAATAGTGAAAGCTGAACAAGTCTGGGACACACATGATTCATTATTCGTCAATTTGTGGGGGTTCTGTGCAATGGCCTTCATCTTGTAGAAGCAAACAACACTCTGCATTCATCTGCATTCCAAACAAAAAAACTGAATCCAGCAGCGTGACCTTCTGAATGTGCAGCATTGTGATATCATTGTGCTTAATGCACAAGAAGCCGACAATTGCAAGCCACCACCCCCTTTATCACCCATATATCGGTCAGTCCTGCAGTACTTGCGCCAGCCTAGGGGACAATAGTAGATGGACTGGGTGCATGAATGCTGGATCCACTTAGTCTCTGATCGATATATATATATATATATATATAATATATATATATATACATACATATATATATATATATATATCGATGTATATCGATGTTATTTCATACCCTGAAAAAGCAGAGGGGGGTGGAATGCCCGAACTGCAGCTGGACATTCATGTGTCATTGGCTGCGTCAGAAACCCTTTTCATGAATCATCACAGACAGCCTAAGTTTTCAAAATCAAGAGCACTCTACTGCCGCCCCACTGCCCTACACAACCACAATGGTTACTCACTGGCCGCAGCAAAAACAGCATTTAAAACTTCCCCAGTAGCTGAAAAAACAAGTCAGCTCAAAACACCAAGGAGCTTTGATTCCATCTCGGACAGTTTGGCTTGGAGCGCGTTGTTCTTCATTTGCTCTTCCTGTGATTTTCACTCACAAGGGACATGAAGGGACCACATTGCTCACTGGCTCCCATATACTTATAACTTATACCACTTGCGTTCCCTGCTTGCCAGATGCCTATGTTGCAAAAACATCAAGAGAAAACTGATAGGAGAACATATCAGCAGTGAAAGATAGTGAAAGCTGAACAAGTCTGGGACACACATGATTCAATATTCGTCAATTTGTGGGGTTCTGTGCAATGGCCTTCATCTTGTAGATGCAAACAACACTCTGCATTCATCTGCATTCCAAAAAAAAAAATTGAATCCAGCAGCGTAACCTTCTGAATGTGCAGCATTGTGATATCATTGTGCTTAATGCACAAGAAGCCGACAATTGCAAGCCACCACCCCCTTTATCACCCATATATCGGTCAGTCCTGTTGTACTTGCGCCAGCCTAGGGGACAATAGTAGATGGACTGGGTGCATGAATGCTGGATCCACTTAGTCTCTGATCGATATATATATATATATATAATATATATATATATACATACATATATATATATATACATATATATATATATATCGATGTTATTTCATACCCTGAAAAAGCAGAGGGGGTTGGAATGCCCGAACTGTAGCTGGACATTCATGTGTCATTGGCTGCGTCAGAAACCCATTTCATGAATCATCACAGACAGCCTAAGTTTTCAAAATCAAGAGCACTCTACTGCCGCCCCACTGCCCTACACAACCACAATGGTTACTCACTGGCCGCAGCAAAAACAGCATTTAAAACTTCCCCAGTAGCTGAAAACACAAGTCAGCTCAAAACACCAAGGAGCTTTGATTCCATCTCGGACAGTTTGGCTTGGAGCGCGTTGTTCTTCATTTGCTCTTCCTGTGGTTTTCACTCAGAAGGGACATGAAGGGACCATATTGCTCACTGGATCCCATATACTGCTTATATATACCACTTGCGTTCCCTGCTTGCCACATGCCGATGTTGCAAAAACATCAAGAGAAAACTGATAGCAGAACATATCAGCAGTGAAAAATAGTGAAAGCTGAACAAGTCTGGGACACACATGATTCATTATTCGTCAATTTGTGGGGGTTCTGTGCAATGGCCTTCATCTTGTAGATGCAAACAACACTCTGCATTCATCTGCATTCCAAACAAAAGAATTGAATCCAGCAGCGTGACCTTCTGAATGTGCAGCATTGTGATATCATTGTGCTTAATGCACAAGAAGCCGACAATTGCAAGCCACCACCACCCCTTCCCATAATCCTATACAGGGGACAGTCCTGCTGTATTTGGTTCTTGGCAGCCTCCGATTGCGCCAGCCTAGGGGGCTACCACAATTTTTTTCATGCGGATTTCAAGCAACCAATGAAAAAATGTCAACGTTGGTTTCCGTTCGTCAACGTCGTCACCAACGACGACAAGATCAAGCCATCAGTCGTATCAGCAAACTGTCTCCATTTTTGATGCTAGAAGGGACAGGCTTTTGCAGTGACGACTTCCCAACCATTGAAAAAAACAAATGGGAAATCAAATATAGCATTCTCCAGGATACAACAATAAAATCGGACTAAAGTTCCCCCAAAATACTGACAATATAGTAGGGGGGCGCACTGTAACCAAATCCATTGAAACACAACGTCTTGTTGACTTAAACTCCGTTGCAACACCATTTTGGGTCAATCGGGTTATCAATTCAATTCCCTGGATTGAGCTAGTCGCCATACCATAACTCTAAGCAATGAAATTGTATTCATATCCATACGGATCCCTTTATGGAGTAAACACAACATCACTCTGATTCTAAAAAACAGCTACGAAAAATTACCATTTCCAAGATGATTCATGGTGATTTACCTTAAGAATAAAAGGTAAAAATGTTCATAGCAAACTTAGCAAACTGCTCGATGACCAGAGGGTATACCTACCAAAATCCAGCTTGACGGCGGCCAAGAAACCTGGACTCCATATCCAGGAGCTTCATGTTGGTGCCCTCTGTGTCCTTCAAGGCACTTGCGGCGTGAGAAGCTCCAAAAAATTGCCCTTTGGTGAAAATCCAAGATGGGGTAGTGGGAAGTCCCCTAAGAACAGGAATGATGAATGGGAAAATCATCTACCATCTGGTTATGACTAACAGTTTGCCATGGAAATATCCACCATGCTATTAATAGGTAAACCATCTATTTGAATCTATTTCTATGGGCCATCTATACCATGGCTATGTTAAGTAACCAGAGGGTATAATAAAGAAGTATCATTCGGTATCTATAGATTGGGAATCTTCCGTTGCAGGTATCTATAGATCGCCGGAGGGTGATCAATTTACGTAAAAAAAATCCTGTCCCAGGTCCCATGCCTCCAATATGAAATACGTGAAATACCCATCATATGCCCCCCAAAATGACAATTAGAATGGGCTTCATCCACCCATGTTCAGCCAACAACTCAGGATCCTTGTGGATAGCTTTTAACAAATAGTCTGGGCAAATGATCATAAATCATAGTTCCCAAAATGGACAGGTGAGGTTAGGTCAATGAATTCCACTTCTATTATAAATCATTATAAATCCAGAGTTTGGGAAATTGGGAACCCCCTAAAAGGGGAACTGATGATCACCAGTCACCAACCACAGTGGTATGCCAAGTCCGTTCAGAACTGCCTCTGAAAATACGGTCCCATAAGAGCGGCCCAAATAGGACTAGAAATAGGACGTTAGAGCCGAGTGTTTAGTATCACAACATATCAAACAGTTGAATTTGGTGCTTAGGATACTAGACACTGATGGGTGACATACTTCAGTTTTGATCAACATGACCCAACAGGATCATATCATGCAACAAATCTCCTCCTGTTTCTTCTCTTCAGGCTTTGGCAATTCCTTTTGCCATGCACCATGGACTCAGAGTCTGGAAAATGTGGACCAGTCCAATTTTGTTCCACCATTTTCTACCATCTTCCACCCAATTTTAGATTCGGAAGGAACCAGGAATCAGTAGGAAGTAGAGATTTGACACGGATGAGGGTGTTTTGTCGAGGGGTCATGATGCTTGATGGTTGTTGGCTTAAACCAGACACCAGAAACACCCTGGCACATTATACAAGATCATAAAATATGAAATATCGTACCATGAAATTAAACCAAACAAAAACAACACACAAATAAAAAACACACACCCCTTCTATTTGGCAAACACCTCAAATTCATTAGACAACAAATCGTTAAAAAATGCCGACTGATCGCTCCCGTTCCACATGACCGTGTAGTTAGCTCCTGGGCTAGTTTCACCATCCTGGGGGTTTTCCAATGTTACCCACATACCATCAGTGAACGCACCCACCCGGAGAAAAATATGAAACGTGTATTTAAAGAAACATAATTAAAATGGACATGCGTGATATCGACTAGTTTCTTGACTATCGTTTCTCTTTGATAATCTGGACATATCGAAGGCGTCAACTTCGTTATCGCCAAAAGCGGGGTTCCCCAATCACCCAACAAACTATGACCCAATGAGGCCAATGGGATTCACCAAACTGACTGGAAGAATCACCAGGGGAAAAATAGCACACAAAAATAACCAGAAAAGACAAACAAACTGGAATGTCACCAGTTTTTAGTATGATTGTGTTATTTTTTTTTGGTTGTTTCTTTATTTTTTGTTCAGGTTTTGGTTCTCTGGTTTGTTTTTCTGTTTGCTCTGATTTTGTTTCTTTGTTTTCTTTTTCCCCACCTGCCAGGTGAGGGTTGTTAGATTTTTATCAGAGTTGTTCTTCTCCTCCTCCTCCTTCTCCTCCACCACCTCTGCCTCCACTTCCATGTCCACCAACTCTTCGCCAAGCTCTTCGCCAACTTCCACACGCAGTGAGCCCTGCTGGACCTCAACTGCAAGGGTCTGAGCGAAAGCTGGACCTCAACCTGGGACCTTCCGAGCTCAGTGAGCACCGCTGGACCTCAACCTGGGACCCTCTAGGACCCTCCGAGCTCAGTGAGCACCGCTGGCCCTCAACGGCCAGATAGAATGCCAGAAGATATGCCAGATAGAACGCCAGATAGAATGTCAGAAAGAATGCCAGAAGATATGCCAGATAAAGTGCCAGAATGTTTGCCAGATAGAATGCCAGAAGATATGCCAGATAGAATACCAGAAGGTATGCCAGATAGAATGTCAGATAGAATGCCAGAAGGTATGCCAGATAAAGTGCCAGAATGTTTGCCAGATAGAACGCCAGAAGATTTGCCAGATAGAATGCCAGATAGAATGTCAGAAGAAAAGCCAGAAGATATGCCAGATAGAGTGCCAGAAGATATGCCAGAAGATATGCCAGGTAGAATGCCAGAAGATATGCCAGATAGAATGCCAGAAGATATGCCAGATAAAATGCCAGAAGATATGCCAGATAGAATGCCAGAAGGTATGCCAGATAGAATGTCAGATAGAATGCCAGAAGGTATGCCAGATAAAGTGCCAGAATGTTTGCCAGATAGAACGCCAGAAGATTTTCCAGATAGAATGCCAGATAGAATGTCAGAAGATATGCCAGAAGATATGCCAGATAGAGTCTAGAGTGCCAGAACATATTGCAGAAGATATGCCAGGTAGAATGCCAGAAGATTTGCCAGTAACAAAACGTATAGATGTCATGGTGGGGATAACTCGAAGTAAAGTATATAATTGTGGACTCATTCTCCGTGTTGTTGGACTCATAAACCTATATTTAATGGAATCAAAGAACAGGGATCGATTTGAGGTCCAAAGGAAACTGTAGTATTTATGAAAGATAATTTACTCGTATAATATAGCATTTCATCTTTGTTGACATTCCCCTTGATGTGTCCAATTCCCCAATCTTGCCCGGGGAATTTTGACAAGCGAGAAGTACAAGAAGTGACCAACAGCTGCACATCGCATCACCCAACAAACTATGACCCAATAAGTCTCCTCCGGCTTCTGTTCCTCTTCTGGCTTTGAGGCCTCCAAATGCAGTCAAGCACAACCAGCTTGCAACGCTTCAAAGGTGTTTACATTTGGGAAACATCAGTGGGATGTTCAACTTTTTTCCATATAGATATGGATGGTTTGTTGTGAGAACATTAATGACAGATCATGGTTTGTTGCCTAAAACATCCTAAGACCAAGAACCCAATAACAGCATGTTTCTGAAACATCATATCAAACCCACCTAGAGTCACTCCAAAAACAAAAGAACAGGTCAAGTGCACCCCAACAGAAATACACAGGAAAAGCGCAGTAGATACTGCCGAGGTTGGGACTTAATATTTGCTGTTAAATCGACCATCGGAAGGTCTACCCCACTTTATAGATTCCAATCTATAGTGGGGATGTCAAGGAATAAATCCAATGGATGGAAAACTGGCAAACATGACAAACATGTGTTTCACAGCACAACATCCGACCTCTTCTGGTGAGAAGCTGTCGTTCTCCTGTCGGGCGACTGTCTGCGCAGTTTGAACTAGATTGTATTTACGGATCCTCCCGCTTACATTGGGTGTGTCCCAAGTGACATAGATTGAATCAAATATCAGCAATCACTGCAACCAAGCGAGCCATCTCTTGTTGGATTTACCTGGTCTACCTCCTGATGGAAAAATCTGACCGCATAATGCATACCGTTGGTTTTTGTTGGTTACGCACTTATATAGACTTAGTGGAAGTTGTAACCAGCAGAGCAATGGATAAACAAATCACATGTACAGTATACTGACAAATAATCCGATAAACAAAGCTAGACCAGAAAGCAACAGCAGGGAACAATATACTTCATGGAATCAAAGAACAGGGATCGATTTGAGGTCCAGAGGAAACTGTAGTATTTATGAAATATAATTTACTCGTATCATATAGCATTTCATCTTTGTTGACGTTCCCCTTGATGTCTCCAATTCCCCAATCTTGCCCGGGGAGTTTTGACAAGCGAGAAGTACAAGACGTGACCAACAGCTGCACATCGCATCACCCAACAAACTATGACCCAATATCCTTACCCCTATAGAGGGGGAGGGCGGGAGGGGGACAAAACCAACCTGTCGAATTCCACTTTTTTTTGCTTGGAAACCCTGGGATAGTGATCCAACCCCTCGAATGGAATTGTAAAGTAACATTTCTTAACAAGCCTTGGGCACTGGTTAGAAAATACTTGCGCTTAGCTCCGGAGGAGCTAAGCGCATGTATGATCACGGCAGCGCAATTTTTGGAGGGATGCCATCCCTACACATGTGCTGCTTCAGTCTGACATGTGCTTAGCTCCTCCGGAGCAAAGCGCAAGTATTTAATTTTCACCTGCTTGCCAATGACATGGAATGATGAGGAATATTGATCATTGAGAAAACATGATTGCAAAAATGGCATTTTAAAATGAAATTTCAGTACGACTCCCCCCCCCAAAAAAAAAACATTTTAAGAGGGTAGGGATGAGCCAATAAGTCTCCTCCGGCTTCTGTTCCTCTTCTGGCTTTGAGGCCTCCAGATCCAGTCAAGCACAACCAGCTTGCAACGCTTCAAAGGTGTTTGTATTTGGAAAACATCAGTGGGATGTTCAACTTTTTTCCATATGGATATGGATGGTTTGTTGTGAGAACATTAGTGACAGATCATGGTTTGTTGCCTAAAACATCCTAAGACCAAGAACCCAATAACAGCATGTTTCTGAAACATCATATCAAACCCACCTAGAGTCACTCCAAAAACAAGAACACAACACACCCTGGTAGATTGTCACAGGCACCTCAACTGAAATACCCAGTGGGTACCACAACAGAAATACAAAGCGCAGTAGATACTGCCGAGGTTGGGACTTAATATTTATTGTTGTTTCAACCATCGGAAGGTCTACCCCACTTAATAGATTCCAATCTATAGTGGGGATGTCAAGGAATAAATCCAATGGATGGAAAACTGGCAAACATGACAAGCATGTGTTTCACAGCAAAACATCCGACCTCTTCTGGTGAGAAGCTGTCGTTCTCCTGTCGGGCGACCGTCTGCGCAGTTTGAACTACTAGATAGTAACTAGATAGTAACTAGATAGTAACTAGATAGTAACTAGATAGTATTTACGGATCCTCTCACCGGCCCAAACTTGGAACAAAAGATCAGGTGTGTAAACAGATGCAAGGAGGTACATTGGGTGTGTCCCAAATGACATAGATTGAATCAAATATCATCAAACACTGCAACCAAGCGAACCATCTCTTGTTGGATTTCCCGGTCGGGACAGTGGGGTGGGGGTAAGATACCAAAAGGTATGCAATATTGAAATTGTGTACCTACAAGTATGGACAGAAAATATGATTGCATACCGATGGAAGTTTGCTTTTGGTTGCTGTATCCACCTAGTGGAAGCACCTGTAACCAGCAGAGCAATGGATATGTAATCAAATCATATCACATTTATAGTGACAGATCAGCCAAAAAACAAAGCTGGAGCAGAAAGCAATAGTGCAGTGCAATATATGTCATGGAATCAAAGAACAGGGATCGATTTGAGGTCCAGAGGAAACTGTAGTATTTATGAAATATAATTTACTCGTATAATATAGCATTTCATCTTTGTTGAAGTTCCCCTTGATGTCTCCGATTCCCCAATCTTGACCG